GTAATACTTACTACCAAATGTATATAAAACCTAAACATTTCTTCTGTATACGACAACCAACACTAATTACCTACTATGTATGTATAAAAAATCTCTGCAGAAATCAATAAAAATAAGTAACGAGAGTAGCGCATGTCGGCTGAATCTACTAAGGTTGTCAGAAAAAACGATTAACCTAATCTAATTCGAAAATTTCTCAAATTGTTCTTGTAATACAACCTCAAATCTTACAGAAGTGTACACAAAATGCAGAAATGTCTATATATTTAAACATTTACCTCCGATTACACCATAAAAGTGCAAATATCTTCGAATAATTATGTCATCCATCCGAAGCTATTTCAATGTGACTAAACTGCAGATCGCAGATAACCCTACACTGTAGGCACCATCTGGACAATTTTACTGCTCAAATCTCGCAATTGGACGATAAGAGCGTTAATTTAATTATAGCTCCGATCGTGCGTGAACACTTAATTGTACACAACTGTATGTTTTATTACGCCCCTAATACAGTTAATTTATACGTCAGTGGCACTGACACGTTATGCTGCTATATGAGAGTTGCATATGGAATACATATTAATGACTGCTTTACTTTGCATCTAGCCAACGAATTAGTAATAACACGCTTTAATTAAATGTTTATTTCATAAAGAAACATACAATTAGCTTCTTTCTTTAATTCTGACCGAGTCTTGAATCTTTATAATCTCACCAAATTATAATATTCGAATTTGTACTTACACCTTTTTTTCAACTGAGTTTATATTTAGGTGAGTTTCACGATTTCTTCGCCGAATCAAATGGATTTAAGTATTATTTATTTAATCGATCGGCTTTACTGTCTTGTAGACTTTTCACGTTATTCACGATTCGTGATACGCTAATACACAAGCCAAATAAATATATCCGTTGTATGGAGACGCTTTTAGTCGACAATAAACGTAAAAACGAGTACATATTGATGTTTTCTTTGGTGATGAGTAAATGGATTTCTTTTCAGTACATATATTATCACTACATTTGGCTTTTGGCTTTGTTGTCGCACATATGAAAGAGGTATTTACTTGCCCTGATTAAGACAAAAGTACAAGTTCCAAACAACATCCATAACAAAATGGAGGTAATTGTTCACATCAAACGCATACCAACTGACAATCATTACAGAACTCATAAATGTACAAATTGAGGGACCAAATGTTTACTCCTTAGGCGCCGAACTCGTTTCCGGTACGAACACTGCGTATAGCGACAGTACTATGGCGTTAACGTCAATTCAAGCCACACAAATGATGCTTCTTAATGGCATCATAGTCAAACTAAGAGTGTTCTATAGTCATGTATTATACAAGTTGATAGTTGTAATAATTTTTTCTATCACTTATACTACATTTATAACCATATTACATTGTTGTATATTTTAGTAGAATACAATATTTAGTAGAAATTAGTTAAATAAATCATAATTGCACTGATTACTCTGGCCTTCAAATTAGGAGACCTTGTCTAATATACCAGATTACCATCAATTTTAAGGTCATGACTAAATATCTTATTTCAATGGTTGGAACCATACTCGGAATTCGATGCTTGCTAAACTATCCAAACAGGTGATAGGGTGGTCAGCCGTGTGCCAGGTGGTCACATTGGGTTCCCTAAAGTATTATTAAGTGCAATTATGGCTGGCTCAATTATTATAGTCGTGAACGGGTGTGGGTGCTCTTGTAGGGACTCATCTATCCTTATCGCTTTGACCTATTTATTTTGTTACTCAAGTATAGTTATAGTTATTCATCTGTATTTTCACAAAATTGTAAAGTTGTACAACATTTGTTGCAAAGAGCAATAAGCAAACTTTGTGCTCTCTAAATGTGCATTGCAATTTATCGCAATAAAAAATATTCTATTTCCGTCGGAGTCAATAATGACTTTCCAACTTTTCTATGGGTTCTCTCAGAAATTAATCCGTGTGATTATGTTATATAGGGGGTTCGTACTATTCATATATGTAATTATACTTTAACATAATGGCTCTAAATTTCTTATTTTAATATCTAATTCTGTGTGTGATTGTATTTATCATAACATTAAACGCTGAATGTTAAGGAAGAACTAAATAGATATTGATACCGTGGTTACACATTGTGTGTTGAGTGTTGACATCGATATTCCTCGCTTCAGCTGTTTACGGTACAGTATATATTTGGAATCATATGTCCTTTGTGGTTGTATTTGTATTACGTTTTGAACTACCAATCTCTGTTTTCGTGATGTCCAAATCTATCTTCATGACCAATTAAAAAACTATTCAGCCGTTTAGTCGTAACAAATTTAATAAACAGACACTCTTTCTGTTCGTTCCAACAATCTCTTTACATAGTCCTATAAATTCATTGTAATGATGAAAAATATAGCATGTTTCAGAATTAATAAAAAAGTATTTCCTTCCGACACCTTTATACTGAATTTTATGTGTCATTACGTTTAAATGGTTTCTATTATAGGAGCATGAATCACGCACGTTTCTATTAATTTCATCTGTGGTGCCCAACCTTTTATTTAATCATAGCCCATTATAGGCTTCAATCTTTTTTGTTAGACTCAAATTTTATAATAAAGTATATACTTGTCAAATTGAAACTTTATTAGCTCATTTTCAGTGAGTGAAAGTCGAATGTATTCTCCTTTGATACTATATTTCGTACTTATAGTGGATTTGACTATATGAGTATTGTAATATTTGGGTCATATAATCCATATTGTTCCACTGCTGGGAATATGGGTGACGTCACGTTAAATGAAGCTTAGAATATATATTTTTTTAATACATTAAAAATGCGTTAATTTCGCTAAGTTACGTCCGTGATTCAGTCAGTGTATGTGACTCATCGACGATGAAAAGAATTTTGGACCAGCTGCAATAAATTAAGATGAAATATTAGTATATACACAACATATACCAGGAATTTAACCAATATAATATGTATATTCTCCTAATTTGTAAATCTTATTGAATTATTTCTTTACTTAAAATAGACAGTTATGGAATCTGTGTTTATAACAGTGAAGGAACAAAACATATCTTTATTCAAATATCGTATACTATTATTTATCAAAGATATATTTTTGTAAGTCGTTACTTAAAATCTTTCATATTTTCGTGTACACAAAATCATTCCTGCTATCAGCCGTGACTATATTAGTATTTGATGTAGGACTGACGTGGCTAGTAAAGCCCCTATCGATTACAAATTTGAAGAATCATCGAAATCCCGTCAGTTTTGGGGAAAATTTCAAGTAACAGCACACGAAATAGACCCAATTGAGATTCAAGAACGTCCTTCTGTTGACATACATATATATACATATATCTGTAACAAATAAAAAAACAATAAATTAATAAGTTTTACTTTAATTCTGTGAGGACCACACCTTTTTCAAGATATTTTTACTAGCAAAAGCCAATAAAAGTTTAACCTTTTATATTTTTACTCAGGGTCTCTAAAAGAATGTTTTCAAAATCGTATTATCAACATAATATTTTATTATAATATCGGAAAGAAAATAAATCTTCAGATTATGTGGATCTTGCGTGACCGACTGACGATGAGAGGCGACGTGCGACGGTTCGCTGAATTCGTGAATAAAATGTTTTCGTGTTGAATACATTTTCATAATGTCGCCTAACATTTGTTATGGGAATAATTTATTTGTGTTGTTTTGCTTACAATTTCTTGAGCCACTCATTTGCTATTCATTTCTTTGATCGATTACAGTAAGTAGAGGTATCAGCTCGAGTTCCTTGTTACTAATATTTTATATTAGCTCTTTTAATTATACTATTAAAATAGCGAAATATTTTTCATTGCACTTTTTTAGTATTGTTATAATGAGAATATAATTAAGTATTAGTAGCATTATATAATTTGATTTGTCACAGTTGACAGTTTTGAAGTATAGTTTTAGACGTATTCATCTCGAATTTCTGACTTATTAAAACACAAAATTATTTCTAATTGATCGTAGTTTTAAACTTCTATTGCGGTATGTATGGTATGTGTGTAGGTATGTATATAATTATAATTTAAATAACTTCAAATAAGACAAAATCAGATTAGACTTTCTTATGGTTTTCGTCCGTGTTGATTTTCTTATGGTTTTCGTCCGTGTTGGTTTGTTCGATTTATGAGGTAATTATTTTTTTTTTTGCAAAATCTCTTTCGAATATTAAATAGGGAATAATCTGATACAATATGTAATATGTTTATACATAACAATTTTGTCATACATAACAAACCCCATACAGTATCTGCGCCCCTGTATTTTTCGAATATGACCTATCAACCTATCGTACTGTTTTATAAACAGGAACTGAGCGATCGAAATAATTGATATTTGCTCCCAACCAACCAATGTACGCTAATCGGCTAAATCACAATTGCTTCCTGACATTGTTTAAAAACTATAAACAATGAACTCCGATTTCGTTAACAGTTTAATAATGTGAACACTATAGAACCATCTTTCATATAATTTTCCTAATTTAAAAGAAAGTGATAAAACATTGATATTAGATTTTGCATTGTATTTAGATTATATTATAGTTAGATCTTGCATTCGTTAATGTATATCAGATGGAACGGAATTGTTTTCAAGACGTCAACCCCGGGGTAGTCTTTTTAACTAGTTAGAAAATAAGCGTACACTTATACTAATATTAAAAAAATATATCGAATTTGTTTATTTTTGTTTGTTTGTTTGGAATAAATTGCGAAATTACTTAATAAAATTTTACACTGTGTGACTTATGTACATCTTCAAGAAGATTAAAAGAAGTTCATAATTTAAGTGTTAATCCTATGACTGACCAGTATTTCTTTTCGCGTAATATGTATTAGGCAAGACAATGTTTGTAGAGTGAACTAATAATATATATACCTATGTATATCTACATTGTTTATTTAGTGCAAAAAATAATTCAAAAATGTTAATTGCAGGTAGTGCCTCGAATACTGGGATCCCTGGTGGGCGGTTCCATGAGCCCTACGCAACATCTCGAACAACAGCAGGCTTTGGTGAAACAATTCGCTGAAATATTAGAATTCGTCCTCAAATTTGACGAGTACAAAGTAAGTATAACTTTACAAGTAATTTATATAATCCATCACATAGATTAGATCCATCATAAAAGTAGTATAGATAGTACTAATGAGGCTGAAACCTATTGTTTCAGCCTAATTAATGCTAATTAAAATAGTCTGCTTTGGAATATCATTTTCTAAGCCTGTTTTACAATTATTAATTAGAAGATTATCTAAAAATATCCTTTGAATAATCTATATTAACTGCTTTTGATATTGTTTCTAAAATTTATGTACTCTATAGATAATTTTCAGGACCAATATTCGGTACTAATTTTCTTAATTTGAAAGCCGTTGTATTGAGCCGAACTGAAATATCAGACCTATTGTCCGCGATATATGTATTTGAAACTGGTTGAAAGCACAATAGTCATCTTTACAATAGCTCAAAAATGCAAAGTACTGTGTATATAGTATATTGTAAGCATATATATATTGAAGAAGGAAGGGTGTATGGTGCAACTTTCAATATACGTATTTTTTTATGTAATTGAAATGGCAAACCAGCTGACGGTCCATGTAACCACAACTTGTATACGTGAATACAGTGATCATGTAATGCCCGAGATCCCACTTGCGCATAATTATTTCGGAGGACTAAGATGTCATGCCTCTTATTCCTGTAATTTCCCACACCCTTAACACATTTTACAACGCAAGATGCTTCGTGGTTTAAATAATTCTGACTGAGATTCACTGAACGTTAGATTTATTTTAGTCGCAGGATTACACATAGTAAAAATAACGTCACATTTGACTGCATCTTTGTCTACTATCTGTTACCTGCAACTTCGTCTGCTAATCAATACATTAAATTGACGACTCGGCTTATTATGTGCTCCCGCACACTGTATCATTGGGTAGACTACAGCTTAGTAGCTTTGGGCCGACTTCCATGGAACATACAATTAGATTCATAGTTCCGCCTGAAATCCGTTTACCTGATTATATACAAGGGGTGTAAATATAGCAATATACGGTTATATAAATAAGAATTACAGCCGGTCTGGTGTATCTAGATTGAATAATGAGTAATTCACTGGACAATTGCTTCGGAGCCCTTTTGACCCCAACCTTGGCGTGTCATTGCTCCGTTACGAGCGGTAATGTGGAGTGGCAACAAAAGGAGTTATATCACTTACGCTTTTCCGTCAACTGTTATTGATTTTTTATCTTATTAAATACTACCTAGTGTTCCGCCCCGGCGTCTCTCAACTTTTTGCCCATAAAATTTAAAAAATTATATCTACGAATAACGTGACCTAATTTATACCAGTATCGCTGGTATAAATTAGTTTATTGCATATTTTAACGTGAAAAGTAGTTCTTGTCAAATAACTGTAATATTTGTATGTTAGCCGGACTTTTTGTAGATATTAATGTCCTCTATAAAACTGCAGTATAATACATCACTGATCTTGTCAATTATTTTGCGTACAGTACGCGATATAGAATTTAATGTTTTTTAATACGTTAAGTTACAGTGTCTGAAGTTCTCAAACGTATCGCTAACGTTTTAGACGATATTCTATAGTCTATTTTCATCAGAGATAATGTAGGATTCTACGATGATGGTAAATGATTGTTCCAACTCGGTCTAGTTGTTTCGAAACCGATTCAATGCAAATAAACACACAAACAATAAAATATTTCCTCTTAATAATATTATTATAGATAGTAGTTTATTTTAGCACGGCAAACAAATTGACAGCCCACCTAATGATAAATAAAGTGGTTACCCGACACCTACCTATAGCTATTTCTATATATACCAAAATGTTATTGTATCACTAATAATTTAAACGTGTTTATTTTTCTTGTTTGATGATTGTATAACCAGTTCTTTTATGTAAAAGATTTTATGTATATATGTAAAAGAATATGACTGTTGAAATATGGTGCATTTATTTATCCTAAATATACATTTTTTGTAAACACAAAAGGATCCCACTTCCTGAGGGATAAGATAGGAGTCCCGGAAATTACTGAACCAAAAGGCAAGGCTAGAAGCCTTTAACCTTTGCTTCGTATATACGTAGAGGAATCCGTCGTAAAGACATGATAATATAAAGTGAAACCGCTACTTTATCCACTTGAAATACTTGCAATATCTCATCTACTGTTATACTACCTCCATCTCTAATGGCTGGTATCACTCAATAGTGTTTTCCACTAGTCCTTCGGAATAGCAACGAATGATGGGTACCGCAGTTAAAACATGATGACGTAATGTCCATGGTGCTGTTCTTTTATATAGGACACTGTGGCCTCTTCATCAAGTTTTTTTTATGGGTGATAATGGATTAAATCACACGGCTGCGCTATCGCTGGCAATGGAGGATGATAAAATGAGCGTGAAGTCAGGTCATTTAGCCCATCAAGACAATTTCACTAGGAATTTATCGTCATGGTTTCCAGGGAAACCGCACGAAAGTCAACCTAACGTGATACATTGCTAGCAATGGAGTTATTAGTCCACATTACTAACAATCCCCTTCCCCCTCTCATCAAGTGGGTTGTAAGCTATGCCAATCGCAAAAAAATATGACAAAGTATTCACTTCTTGATTAAATTGCTTAGCGGTCCAAACTAGGCTTAATATCTTGTATAACTTAATAATGAAGTACGACCTCTATAACTTTATATGGAAATTATTATTATTAGATTGGATTAGATTTTCTCAAGCAATGTCTCCGTATTATTACAAGAATATCCTCGAACGGTGAAGGTCACCGATAATGGGTACTCAATCAAACTAATCACTAACCAGGCCCACCCAGGGGACCCTATAGACAGTTAGCACAATTCCTATTATAAATCGACCTTGACACGTAAGATATAAACAAATATCTTAAAATTAAAAATAATTATATTACATACTACAATAAAGGATACGAAAAATGGTAAATTAGTCCGTTTCTATATACACGTTAATGCTTCAGCGTGAACGAAGTAACTTTCTTAACAGTTATTTTAGAAGACCACGCCTCATTTGCATTCCTAGTTTAGAAGTAAAGGTGTCTTCACAACTGATACCAGTAATATTATTTATATCGTGAACATGTCAGATAAATTCAATCTAATATTATATATTCAATATAAGTTATAGAATATAAATAAGAAAAATAGTAACACAACAAATTCAGAAAAATACATCCTATTTTGACTAATATTTTAAATTGAAAATAACGGTTTATAATTAAATTTTATATGAAGATTAATATCATAAATAATGAAGGTATCACGAGAATCGACATGTATTATCTAGGGTTCATTCCCGGGAATTCTCGGTTCGAGAATTCCCGGGAAATTCATGGGTTTTGTTCCCGGGAAATCAAGCTCGAGAAAAGTCGAGAACTCGAGAAATCATGTACCTATATAGAAATTAATTGCCCTTTGTTTTCTTGCGTGGCGGCGCAATAATTTAAGATATTAACGTTTTTGTTTTCTTTCATGTTATTTTTTTATTTTGTAGAAACTATTTTTGTTTACATTGTTTTTTTTTTATCTAAATAAGCAGCCAAAAATGGTGCTATCATTATAAATATAAGTCTGAATAATTAGGTTCTAAAAAAATGAAATTGGCGTTTTGTAAGGGAATAACCTAAAGTTTTATTTTTTTCAAAATATATCAATGTAAATAATATATAAAATATATTTATTTAATCAAAGTATGTACCATTTCTATTTATGCACTTTTGCCTTTTGTTTTTGCACTTTGGACTGCCCCATCGGAGTGTAATTTTTTCCCTTGCAAGAAGTTATCCAAATTTCGAAAAAAAAAATGGTAATCTGTTGGAGCAAGGTCCGGGATGTACAGTGGTTGTCTTAGACATTCCAATTGAAGCTCTACTAATTTGGTAACTGTCTGTTGTGCACTATGTGGTCAAGCGTTCTTGGCGATTGACCAGCCTCGGTTGTTTAGCAGCTTTTCCATCATGGTTTCTCAATTGGTGACAATACACATTTGCCGTAATCGTCTGGCCAGATTTAAGAAAGCCGAAGTGAACAACACCGGAAATAGTCCACCAAAAGTTCACAAGTAACATTTTTTGAGCCATATTTCGCTTGGGGCAGGATTTGGTTGGTTCGCCAGGGTTTAGCCATTGCAATGAGCGTTTCCGATTATCGTACAAGATCCATTTTCCACCACAGGAAATGATTTCATTTAAAATCCCTTCATTATTATGCCGGTTGATTAATGTAACGCAGCAGGCTACGCGCGTTTGTCGATTTACTCCATTGAATTCATGAGGGACCCACTTTTCAAGCTTTTTCACCTTCCCAATTTGCTAAAGGATTAAAACAGTTTTGTCACTAACACCGCAGCCTGCAGCTAACTCGGACGGATTTGCGATGGATCCGCTTCCACAATAGCCTTCAATTCTTCATTATTAACCTTGGATTCCGGCCGCCCACGGAGATTGCTTTGCAGGTCGAAATTTCCAGAACGAAAACGTTGTAACCAAAAATGCACGTGTTTTCTTTTGCGAGATCACTGCCATACACATCATTAATACTTCGAGCCGTTTAGGACTGTGTAGCACTGCTGCCACAGCGGAACTCGTACTCGTAAATAACGCGATAATTTAAGTTTTTTCATTTTGTATGCTGTGAGTGACCCAAAGTGAATAGCTGTATAAATATGGAAATGGAATTCCTAACCAAAGAGGAGATATTTGAGACCAAAGTGGCTAGTACGACAAAACGCCAATTTCATATGCAAGGACCTAATATTATATCTCTATTTAAAAAAAAATCATAATATTAATTATATTAAATATACTCAATAAAAGTTTAATTTGATACTTTTATTTGAGAGGAAAACCACTGAATTTTTTGACGTTATTGGAACCAAATAATATGAGAAAACGTACGTAAATGTAAATTTCTCGACAACCCGAGAAGACCCGAGAAATTGACCTCGAGAATTCTCGAGACCCGAGAAATTGAAAAGCTCGAGAAATCATGATCCCTAGTATTATCTTTTATCTCAAAGAAAGCAAACAAAATAGCGGGTAACATTTCGTCTATTATACAATGTTAACAGTAAAACTCATCCACTCCTAATTCATTTCACATTCCAATCCGACAAATTACAGTTTTACACATTTATTATTTACAAAAGTCATCAGTACCCTGAGTATAAACTACAGTCACTCAGTATATTAACATCTGAAATAACTATTATATACCTACAACCAATTACGATGTTATTAATATGTAATTTGTTGTCATAACGTCTGTATTAGTCATCGGCCACCATGCTGTCTAATAAGGTTAACGGATTGAATCGATCAGCAAAATTGGCATTGTAATAGAAAGCGAGGCTTGGCCGACCTTTAGTGAGTCATAGTTTCATGGATAATGTACTCTAAAGGATGTATATATAGTCTACGACATGTAAATATAAAGGAAAAATAAATTATCATCATCTGTAAATATTTATAAATTTAAACTCACACCCACAAAAATAGGCTAGTTGAACACATTAAAGTCAGCAAGCCATTTTAGTATAATGATAAACAAAATGTATGACGCAATTGGTTGTTGGTTGATTGCCATTGGTTGTTTATATAAACATATCCTTGCTACTAATATTGTAAATAATGTGGATTTGTTTGCTTTTAGTAGTATTGAAACAAATGTAATATAAATTATGACTAAATACAAATTACGCTACCACAGGCGACAATGATCGTCAACTTGTTTGCCTGTCTGATTACAATCTACCAGGGATGCCGACACTATGGAAATCCTCGTATATAGGTACGAGATTTTTGACCTTAGCTACGAGGATATTCATCCTTGTACAACATTGGTGTGTACATGCTTTTTACCTACGGTCAGAATACGATGATGTACGAAATAATGGAATCAAATGAAACGAATATATGAGATGTTTTACCTCTACGTACGAGGCATGTTTTAAATTTGGTACCCCTGGTGTCTAATAAGAAATTAAGGTTAAAAAATGAAATACTTTCTAGTTAGAAAACTTCTAAGGCTATCCCATATATCTCACAAGGCTGGCCCCTCCTAAAGCCTATCTGTACTATAGATTGAACAAACTAGCCCGATAACAATTTTTATTTCTAAAAATTTTCTGTTCTTTACAGATGAAGATGCCAGCCATTCAGAACGACTTCAGTTACTACAGAAGAAGCGTATCTCGTGGTGGTCTTATCAATTCAGATTTACCCCAAGGGGAAGAGCCCCATATAAGCGCAGAAGTTGCCAACAGAATGTCACTGTTTTATGCGCAGGCCACGCCCATGCTGAAAGTCCTCTCGGAGGCAACGAGTCAGTTCGTCAACGACAACCAACAGGATCTCGAGAATACCACAGAAACTCTTAGCACCATGGCAAAAGTCTGTTTGAGGATGTTAGAAAATCCGTGAGTATATCTGCCAGTTTTACCAGATTATTGTATTTTTAAGATTCCTTGATATGATATTACAAGTAGATAAAATTAGAATGAGGTCGGTCTGCTGTATATAAAAAATATTTAATTTTATGTTCATAATACAATCCCTCTCTTTCTCTCTCTCTCTCTATCTATCTCTATCTCATTTCCACACACACACACAAACACAATATGTATTTAAAAATGCTTTAAACATGTACCGCATAACTTTATGACTAAAATTATCATCGCCGTTCATATTTTGCTTTTGAGTGTTCAAATAGTCTGTTTTACTGCCAAAATCTAATTTTAATAAGTTGGAAAGTTGTATAATAAGAAATTTTATTACATTATTAATATGCTCGTTGGCTACTTAAGTAGTACCTACTTATGTACGTGTTATACTTTTATATTTTTTATACCAAGTCAGTGGATTTGTAGTTCATATATAGACCTATCAAATAGCCTCACAGCCTAAACAATTGGAACCACAAGCTTGAAAATTTAATTCAATTCCATGCCTAAGTCATTAAGACTTCGCATGAGTGTTCACGGCTGTCACATGGTGACGTGATCCGTGGTGTTTTTCATGGATGTCGTCGACGGTTACCGCTTAAACCATCAGACGCGCCTTAAGCTTGCACGCCATTCCATTTACAGAAAAAATGGATTGTCTTACGGAAACAGGAGTTAAATAAAGCCGCATTGCTAGATTAAATACAATTAATCCGTGTGGCGAAATCCTTATAGTATGTTAGCGTCTTATTACTTACTAATGCTATGCAGCAAGCTAAATACGTCAAGGAATGAAACATTCCTTGACGTATTTAGCTCCCGCGATTAGACCAAGTAGATTGTTTATTTTGTTTTACAAATAAATTGTGTTATTTTATAAACATGTTATATATGTTATATTATAAAGATAATACCAACATAACTCATGTCAAACGATACCGACCCAAAAATAACGGATATAAAATATTGTAATCTGTTTCAATTCGTCTGAATACTATGATCGCCATTTATTAAATCTTAAAATAATTAAAAAAATATTTTAGCGCAATATCCCATAAGGTGTATTTGCTACCCAAGATCATAAAAATATAAATATATAGTAGTTTGTAGATGTAGTAGTAGATTTTTTTGTCCATATCCTATATTGAATAGTTACTTAATAGTTTTAAGTTTAATTATTAGTATTTAGTTATTAGTTCGGCGACCGTGCTGTCTCTTATCCAACAGTCAACACTGCAAGCTATAGCCGAGCTCTGCCTCGCCTGATGATGCTGATTAATTGAAGTGTGAAATAGATTCAATGGTTGGCTAAATGGAGTTTATCTGCTATCGTCTGGCACATTTTACATGCTACCTTTTCTAATTTATATTATTTATAAAATGAATGTAACATAAATATCCTAAACAAATCATTCCATTGCAGGCACCTGTTGCTAAAAACAGTAACGAGACCCCATTCCTAAAGAATCGCGTAGGTACATTTCAAGTCAACCTTTTAGAATCTAGTCCAACAACGTAGCTGGCTATGTATGCATAAGTTTCTGATTTCTCATTTAAACCTGCTTTTCGTACTATATACAAACGTTATAAACCCGTATTCGTTCCCGGTCACAGACCGCTTAACAAAAGGCTTACAACAACTCAGGGTTGCCAACCTTAAAACTTTTTGCCTCGTACTAAAGATCTTAACCTCAAATAATATATTCTCCAAGCTCAATCTCGTACTTTGTCGTATTGCGATAATTACCACAAGTCACTTAAGTTTGTCAGACACACATTTTGTGCTTAAAGACATCGATATATTGATGTAAATCCTAGTTTAATATTCACTGATTTTAGAATTATACTACACTATAAAATGTAGGCTGAAGTGTAAGTGTCTCAACACATAAATTTGTGTATAATAAAATACGAGAATAATGAAGACCTTGTACCAAAATCTCGTATCTGTACGAGGCTCCGCGTACAGAAGACAACCCTGCAAGCAACAGCTTGCCGCACAACGCTTGTGATATGAGTAATGTGAGTGTAGGTTGATTTGAATGAGCAGTGATGGACTCGGTGTATGCATTGGACTCGTATCTCCGTATCCTTGCCACAAGGGCGTATTTATTACATCGAGAGATCGTATGTCAGCCGGCATTCGGGCTGCAATATCTATACTGTGCTCACTATCGGTGACACAACATTGCGATAAATCAACTGTCACTAGTATACTGCAGTCTAGACTGACTCTACATTCCGAACTTACGATAGAATAAATAGACAAAAAGTGTGTAATCCTCGGGGTTGTTGGCCCCTAAGTCGGTGCAAAGAGATTCGTACACTAAGGCCCCAATCTGCACCCCCTAGGGGGTGGCCAGAGTCGGTCAGATATTATGAAAACTTGCAAAATTATATGATTGCATATTATAACTACAAACGACAGTCCTTTGATGTATGTAGTTAGCATTTTAATTCTTTTAAATTTTATAGCTCTCAAATAAATTTAGAAAATATATAACCGACCAAATTAGAATATACGTTACAATAAGCAATGACTGAATTGTTATGAAATAGTATTTACTACACTATTACATAGGGACATAACAATTAGGTATTTCTTCATCCTAACGGAAACGTGTAATATATTTAGCAAATTCACCGATACCCGTTTCCTGAGATACCGAAAGTAGAGGCAATATTACAGTTGAAGTACTTTTAACACTTAATTTATTGTTATTCATTATAATTATATATACACATTAGATCCATATATGCAATAACTCATTTATAAATATTGTTATTTTTAAAATTACAACGAATTAAAAATATGGACTTCAAGTAATACTTTTATTGAGAAATATCTGTATTAAAAATATACATTGACAGGAACTGGAAGAAAGGTTCGATTTTATTATTTTACAACAAATATATTGAATGAAATATATTTATAAATGTAAGATGATTCAATAAATTAATAATATAAAAAATAACAACAATTTATACAATTAAATTAAATTATTCAAATGACCTTTCGGGGTACATATTCATCATATAATCATTTAAAATGACTGATAATGTTTAATTGTTTCTGAAAATTGATGTACTTTGCCGATATCTTCGGCTTTCGATAATTCATTCTTGCACACAGTTATTGTTCGCCGATTAAATTAGCTTATTTTTTCCGACTTTACTTGAAAAAGAAGGTGGTTCTTAATTCGAATGTATTTTTCATGTTTGCTACCTCAGAACTCTGTCAGGAATAAACCAGTTGGTATTTCTTTAATCTATGTATGTATGTATGTAATATAAAGCATATGGAAGTGATGATTATACAGTCATTAGAATATTTCCAATGTACTGCCTAAAAGTAGATAGAGATAGAGGTTAGGTCTCATTTATGTGGTAGCAAATGAATTTTTAAAATTATAAATGGAAAATAAAATAACAAATGTTACAGACCTACCTATTTATAGTATTTTTTAATACAAACTACAGAGAAGTAGAACTAGTTTCTAACAATATCCAGCATAGTTATTTAATTTAACAGTTTACGTATGCTACTGTATTTACTCCACGTATAGGGTCTGGCGACCCGAATAGCCAACCGTACGTAGTTTTATTGTGCTGTAAATCCCGCTCGTTGGTCGTGTAAACACTGCACACATGTGACCCACAAAATGTCCAAAATATTTTATTTTCTCTTTTATAATGTACGTACTTGTCTACATATATATACTATTTTTTTATTTATTTATAATTTATTATTTTTATAGCAGTTATAATGTAAACATATAATTATGACTGTTATTTCATTTGGGGTAGGTAGTGAGAGGCATTGTCAACTGTCGATTTTGCGATGAACGCAACATTTGTTTTCGCTGTGTTTTATTTTAGATTAAATGTGGGCAAGATGCGACCCTATCATCATCTTTATGCTTTGGTGTTTTACCGGAAAATCAATCAAAGATATAAATTAACGGCGTTTTTTTTTATTGTGTTGGCCGGATTCAAAATCATAACTTTTCGATTGGCTATCACTTCACAACTTTTTTATACTACTATGGTGGCAAACAAGCATACGGCTCATGTAATAGTAAATGATCACCGTAACCTATGGACGCCTGAAACACCAGGGGTCTTATGTGCGCGTTGCTTACTCTGAGGTGAAGTCAATGAAACTTGATATTGATACATGTATCAGATATATAGAACAGAGTTAATTCATATTAACCTAAAACAGTATCAACAAAATAAAATACAACGTGAAATTTTATATACAAAGTACCAAGTGATCAAAACTCTAAGTAATTATTTTTATTTTGGTTTTGTACAGTACTGTATTAGATAAAGAAGACATATTATTATCTGTTATCGTATTATCTATTATGTATATACATCTAATCAAACTCCAACTAGATTACGTACATTCAATTACATAATTTGTTTGGCTATACATCAAAGTCAAAATCAATACCTTATATACGACATTTTTTTACCACTTACGCACATCAAAATTTATATCACTATTCTTACCGTTCATTACGGATAGCTACTTCAGTTGAGGACAACAAGAAACTCTACTGGATTTTTTAAAATAATCTTTTAATGTCGCATTTAGAAGTATATGTCTAAGATTCATAACTGAATACTAATGTTATAAAAACTGAAGTGTATGTCTCCTTACAGCTGGCCCACATCATAGGGAATTGACCACGATAGTTACTAGAAGGATCCACTTAGAGGACGACTTAACATAGTACATATTGGGAGCTAGTCCCCATTACCAATAATAATCGACTCCCTACCGAAGGGGATAATTAGTAAAGTGGCTAATTATTCCCATTGCTAGCAATTACAATGTCAAGTTGACACCACGCGGTTCCCAGGAATTTAACATGATAGTTTCCAGATCATCATGTTAAATTCCTGGTGAATATGCCACGATGGTCTAATTGGCCTGAACTCATACTCATCCTATCACATCCTACACATCCTACACTGCTGCCTCGCCAACGTATACCGTTAGCGCAGGCGGATGCACCATTCCATTATCGTCCCTTAATCAAAATCCACTCTCCACCACGATGATTTCATATCCCAGCCTAAACTTTGTATACATAAGGAGTACCAACATGCCAAACAGCGATGGCGGCGACTTTGTTTTATACTATTTAAATATTTATAATATTACTAGCTACGCACATGTATACATGTATTATACATATAAACCTCCCTATTAGTACTTCATAGTTTTAAAAATTTAAACATACATAGGGACAGACAGCGATAGCGACTTTGTTTTAATTGAAATAGATTTATACTATGTAATGATATATATATTGACCGCGGAAAACTAATACACTTCTGTGGATATGATTCATTCAGCCATAATAGTGAACTTAAAACTAGCTAACACTAAAGACTCGTGTCAATATAGTTCTGACGGACTCTACGGCGATGATAACATCGACAATATATTAATTTAACAGGAACTAGCCTATATTGTGTTGCACCCATTATATATGTATACAATTTAACAGGAAAATTTTATGAGGAAGTTATTAAACTCTATTTACATATAAATATAGTATAATATAACATAAAATGATAGATTACATACGAGTCCATTTTTTAATTTGAATAAATACATTAATCCGTACATTGCTAAAATCGTGAATTTTTGGTTCGTTTTCTTGAATTTGCTTATTTTACGTAATTTGTATGGATAACGAGCTGATAACCCACCTGATGGTAAGTGGTAAATGTCGCCTATATGCATGAATAGTACCACTCATGCATTGTCATTCCGAACGGCAAAGATGTTATATCTATCATATAACTATATATAAAATATTTCTTAAAAGTATCTGCTTTTAAAATTGGTTGACAGAATCGTAAACAATGTCTATTGACAGTTAATTAAAATGTAAATATTAATAAATATCATATTTGTTTATTAGAGTTTCATTCCTGTGATCTTGTCATCACTAAAGATAATTTCCATATTTGAAAGTGAGACGCCATCTTTGTAACAAATTGTATAACAAATATAAAGCCTGTGTTACATAATTGCAATTTATTTTATTTACAGAAAACTGGTCGCTCAGTTCAGCCGTGAAGAGACATCACTGCTGGTATTACGCGTGATGGTAGGACTCATAATCCTATACGACTGGGTCCACCCTTCAGGCGCCTTTTGTCGTTCCTCCTCCGTAGACGTCAAGGGCTGCGTCAAGTTCCTTCAACAACAGACACCGGCTAAAGCAGAACCACTGCTGAACGCTCTCCGGTACACTACCAAGCATTTAAACCACCAGTCTACACCAAAGAACATCAAATCACTCCTAGCGGCGTGAGGACACCACTCCAGCCTTGCATGTTGCTGTGGGGAATGATTCGACAATAATTATTTGTGGGGATTTCTCATCGGCACGCTATGATTTGTGGTATTTTATTTAATTTGCTCATTACAACATAATTCGTCGCGACTCATGATACTTTAGAATAGATTTATCGTCACAAAAATTAGATGTTGTAATATACACAAAGCAACGCACATTCGTAATTTTGAAACGGACATTACAGTGTGTATATTTGGAATATTAAAACAATATCAACTTAGTGATGTATCAAAGGGACACAAGTGACACAACCATTGTTTAGAAACAAGAAACATGCTCATTTCTGCATGGTTCACTCATTTTTAACTTATTAAAGAAAATCGGCGAATTATTTTTATTACAATTATTAGGAATTTAATTTATGCTCTAACTACTAAGATCTGTTTATAAATCAGCAAATTGCAGTAGTTATATATATTTGGAATATAAAACAATAATAGCAATATAATGTTCATGGTAAGATTTTATTTTGTTAAATTAAAGGAATAGGTATTGATTCTAAAATATGCTCAAAAGTTTAAAGTTATAACATTCATAAACAAACCAACAGCAGCAATAATGTTATTTTTTCATATGCACTGTATTTTCTTCTAATTGCTCAGAGAAAATCGCTGTATTATTGTTTAAACCAAGAATTTAAGACTAAATTTATATTTAAATTTAATTCATTAACCGTTATATGAAATTACGAAGTACGTATCCGTAATTATTCTTCACGTGTGGTTTCCAAAACACTAACGTTAAGAGGCGTATATGGTATTAGAAAGCTTTAATATTTTTCAAAATTTATACGATGTTTAATAGTTAATTATAAATATGTTCTTTCATATATCAATCGGTGCCAAAGTATTGAGCTTAACTAAGAAGCGTTAATTTTCTCGAAATTCGTTAATACAACTTCTTTCAACGTATCTTTGCATAAATTGAATAAGAAATATTGGGGCTAAGTTGGTTTATTTGTTAGGTGTACTCGTAATTACAAATTGATTGTAGGTCATTACACTCGAAAAGTAAAAAAAATATTTTACTTAACTTATTTAAGTACCAGATACCAACGAACCTGCACTGCGTGCTTTAAAATATGATACTACAAAAAGAATAAAACATACAGACTCTGCCGAATGGCGTATCTAATAATGAGTGCCGGTCTGTTTAACTAATTAAAACCTGCTTGCTAATTAAGTTCTGATAAAAAGAAAACAAGATTATATAGAAGCTAGTCGGAATCGCCTCGAATTATGCTGTAATGTAAATATAGACTTATATCCAATAATGTATAATTACCCAATAAATTGTAGGCATTGTTATTCATAATAAATAACATAAAAAAATCGTTATAACAAATATTGATACGGATGATGTTGTTGTTTTCCTTTTAAATTTAATAATTTACGACTGTAAGGTTAATTTCCTGTTGTAAGTGCGCTTCGATGTATAACTTTAATATTAAAACATTTAATACTATCGATTTTCTTAAAAATTAGATACATATACCTACTTAGTATTAAGGAGAGATATTTTTAGATGTAAATACTTTAGCGCACTGGTTTAATTTGAATGGTTATTGTGGATGCTTTAAAAGCAAAATTATAAGATATGGTTGAGAAACTGCCCCCCTACCCGCCCCACACGTGTGCAAGGTAATGTAGGTTTGTACGTCACAACAGAATTTATAGCAGCCTACCCCAGTCTGTACGATAGCTTTTATAACCCTTGGAGTACTAGGAGGAAGCTTAGATAGATAGACGTTCAATAATAATAAGGATAATGTATTAAACTAAGAATTGCCTTGGTATAATAATTAATCGGTTACCGTATGGCGATTGTGCAATATTTCTCTATTGTCAAACCTATTTTTACACACAAAATCTAATTTAGCTTTAAATCTAACTTAGCTAACTTAGTCTGTACCCTCATAAACATAAAAGGAAAACAGAAAAAAAAAGTACGTAGTTATTAATGTACATCTATTATGTTAGTACCTACGTAATAACAGATTCACCAGGAGACTGGCATTTTTTCCAGTGGTCATATACACATTTTAGTAATGAATACCCATTCTAAAGTATAATCAGACCAAAAGACTGAACATTGAGATGCTAAATTCAACTGTCAGTATAATTTATCTTTTTAAGTAACTACTTAACAACTTATTTAATATTAAATTATAGTATATATATTGCCTTTAAAGCCTGAGGCATTTTTAATATGATGTAACAATCAAAATAAAATCAGCCTTTGTTGTCAAATGTTTAAGTGTTAGCCATGTTGAATTTATGGATGTACCACTGCCTTGATGTTATCTATCCAATTTTTAAAGGAATTTATATATGTTTCTATTGACGATTATGTATAAATTTATGTGTAAGATACATAGGCTTAAGATGTATTCTCCTAAGTCAAAAAGCAATATCTTGAGAAAATATGAAGCAGCACAATTTAAACACCATTTGTGTTTAAAAAAAAAGACTACACACATATCTTATTCTTTACATTTTTTTGAGCTACTGTTTTTTGTCTTTTGTAGCCAATACATAAGTATAAGTCATTTATAAATTTAAGATAATATAGCAGGTAATTAATTTAGCCCAAGGACAAAATAAATTATACTACATTGACATCATCTAAGAAATTATATTTTTTCAATTTCTTACAAATTGTCATAATATATTACAATATATTATGCATTCTCTTCAAGTATATAAATATTGAATATCTACCTATACGCCGCCGTTACGCTCAAACTTTTTCTAGTATTTTTAAGAATAGTTATCGTATAATGATCCATTTTATAGTATGTGAGAGTATGCCTATACATTATGTTACAATAAAGTATATATATACCAGAACGGAATTGTTTAAAGACGACGTAGTTGTTTGACGACGACGACTTAGTCAATATTATATTCTCATTACTACGTAAGTTACTCATTATAAAATACTTTAATTAATTGATATATTTATATAGAATACAACCGTTTTTAATTGTTACGAACTATCACTTGAGCACAAGCTTATCTTCGTGTTTAGTATTTAGATACCTACTAGTGAACATATGGATTTAAGATGCTTAAATTTTATTCATTGCACAATCCGCACAAATAAATTATTATATGCTAAATATTGTTGAAATATGTTCGTTTATATTAAATTATGATTGTTATTTACGTGGATTGTCTAAGTAATTCCGAATTGCATTTAGGTACTGTTGGGAATTCTTCAAGATATTAAATTATATCAACATTGCCCAGAGTCTTAATTTATATTTAATTTCTAAATTCTAAACTATTCCAATTTATTAATTCCAAACGGATAACTCTATGACGAGTCTAAACATAAATTGAAAAATGCGAGTAGTGTTATAAAGTAATAAAAAGAAAGCTTGTGATTGTAGAAATCTCTATTGGATGTTAAATAATATCATTTCTTGGCATTGTGGATGTTGCGACTATGAAATTAGTAATAAAAAGCTAAAGTATAATAATCTTAAAGTGCACCAGTGTATTATTAATACAGTGACAATTGGTATTTATTTTAAATGCACAATTGTTATAAACTTTAGTAAAATTTTTAGTAAATTTTATAGCACAAGTAATAAAAAATCAGTTGGTAGTTAAAATAATTGTTATCCTATACCATGAGTCAAATATAGTTCTGTTAATCATTGTGTGTGGTTTGTATGATAAACCTACATAAGTTATTCTTATTTATTGTATATAATAAACACACCAAAAATTATAAGTAAATAAACTTGAATAGACTTGTAAATGTTTTTTTATTTCTTTTCAGTGACCAAATTAGATGTTTACACAATCTCCATTTATCTTGTTACCATAATATACTTAATGTGTTACTATAATAAAGTTTTACTACTTAATGATAATACTAGAACTTTAATGATAAAATGCATATTTAGATCAACCATTTAATTTTTTATAATATTTACAAAATGTCTATTATAAATTAATAAGCTTCAAGTATTAGCAGGTCTTGGCTTAAGAATCAATTTTCCAGTCTCATCACATGACATGTTGAAATCATTCAAAACCGATCGAGTTCTAGCTGTTATGATGCTTGGAGCTATTACTTTTCTGTGTACACCCATCATGAATAGTAATACTGAAAAGAAAATTTTATACAATTACATACAATATATGTGCATTAACATTTCAATTTACAAGAGCTTGAGGTCATTCTACAGTTACTATTGTAATAAAACAACAATGGGCTGTATACAATAAAAATATCAATTACAACTGATATGATGATGACTAAAAAACATTAAGTATTATTATTATCTACTTACATTTATTAAATTCAACTGGTATACAAATAAAAATAATTAAATTTACAAATATCAAATAGATATTTTAATATCCTCAAGACATGTAAATAATATAAAATTGTCATAGTCTATAAATAAATTAAACTAACTATTACCTAAAAATGTAGAAGTGAATGCAAAAAATGGATGGTTCCACAGTGACTGTGTTAGTGATACTACAGGTGTGAGTGGATCGGTGAGCCAGTGCCAAGCAGCGATTGCAGTACACACAGACACCACTGCCAGGACAACTGAAACAAGGAAATGATATTTAAAAAACTATGATAAATACATTACAATGAATGAATTACATACAAATGAACTGATTTTTTCACCTGTTTTTACACAAAAATAATAGTTACAAGATTATTTTATATCACGATGTTGGCAAACAAACATAAGAGTCATCTGATGATAAACAGTTTAAAGAAATCTTAATATACACTGGTTGAAAAACCCCATACTGTATCTCTCAACAAAACCTCAACTATAGAGGAATCCTCTGAAACTGTACTCCCAAGACCACTTAGGTTCCATTAATACTAAAATCAATAACTGAATATGTGACTTATAAATATAATATAATTTAAACAATTTTCCATTAATTTATTGAATAAAAGATTTGATGTTTATCATGCAGTTTAAATGGAAAACATGCTGATGGCCCGCCTAGTGCATGGTAACCTATACCTATATACATGAACAGCACTAAGAACATTATATTATCATGTAATGTCAATGTATACATTCTGCTGTACAAAGATATCATTTTGTATCAGAGTAGTTACAGAAAATACAACATGATGTATTTTCTGTAATTACTTTGGTACACAATGATATCTCACTCAGTCGGAGGACTCAGTTGTCCAACTGAAAACTCTTTAACCAAAACAGCTTACATAGGCATTAAATATTGGCTGTATTTTACAGTAATCTACACAATATGAAACTGTAGCAGGTTATTATGTAAACAATTTAATAGTGAAATTAATTTGATTAGTAAATAAAAACAATATTTACTTCTCCATCTCATAGTTGCTGGTTGTAAACAGCCTATCACCTCCGTCAGGCGACGTTCGAAAGCCTTCAAATCTGAAAAAGTATATTGTAAATATAGTACATAATATAAAATATATTGTAAATTATAATAAAATCTCAATATTTATTCACTAACTCTTAAATGGTTTATCACTTCGTTTTAAATGTATACCGGCTATGTTCCAAAAAACCTCAATTATTTAAACAGTTACAATCTGTAATATTTTTTGCATTGGTTTAATATCTGGATCAATAGATGCCAAATTAATGATTTAATAAATGGGAGTTTCAAACTTACTCTATCCATATTTTTTACAGCTAAAAATAAGTTTTATGAATAGATAATTCAAAACTAATTTTGTATAGAAACTCACCATCACAAGCAGTTTGTTCTAAAGACATTTTCGCTTTTGTGCACTATTTACAATTCTTAATTTACAATATAATAAGTAGATTTAATACAATAAAAGCATTTTTAATAATCCCTATGTCTTATTTTATAAAACTAAATATTGTTTAACTGATTATTATTTATGGCTATTTATCAATAAAAAACTGTGTGATAAGAACTGGCTGGATTGGACATAAGGACTGAGTCTTTTTTGACATTAAACTGACTGATTGACAAGGGTTTGTTTTGTCCATTATATATGACAGTTAGAAAATGACATTAACTTAGTTAACATCAGAATTTTATAGTTTAGAAATAAGTATTAATTAGGTTTTCTGTAGTTTATGTTCTTATTTGTAACATCTTTCTCGTAATTGATTTTTAAACTAAGTGTTTGAAGTCCAAGGTACGATTTAAATTGCAAATTTGTGCAATATTTCTTCAAATAAAAGTAAGTTTTTATTCTGGGCTCAGTTTAATGTTAATTGAAACATGGTCTACAGTTTAATGTTAATTGAACGTAAAATTCTACTATAGATTTAAAATTGCAAGTTTACTTCCATATTTTTTTTGTATAGAAACCTTATACCTCTGTAGATAGAGAAATTACAACACCAAATACTCTGTTTAATAAAACTAAATTAAACCTCAAACCTATAGTTTTTATTTAGAATACTTATTACTTGGTTAATGACATATTTTCTCTACCAGTCCCTTATAAGCCTGGTGTGAAGATCAGGAATATTTGTACTATATCATAAGACATATTGTGCACTTCAAGTAGAGTAATTAAAAATAAATATTGTATGTTTTATAGTTATGGCGTCTTTGTATGAAGGGGACATTTATTGCAGATAGTCCATGTCTGTATAGTTGGCTAAGGTTCATTGTATATGGAAGATTATAGATGAAAACCAGTGAAATTGATTAAAAAAATGAAATAATAAAATGTATTGTATTTATATACATGTTATATATATTATCACATATACATATATCCTATAGTATATATCACATATCCAATATAGTGTATTCATGAGCACTGTAATCTGTGAACACAATTCTTAACATGCATATTATTCACTTACTTTGAGTATAATTTGGCGGTGAGTCTAGTGCCACATCAATAATTAAATTAGTTAATATTTTTGGTGTTAACCAGACATGAATCCAAGATCATAAATCTAAACATAGATAAATAACTATAAGGACAGTACATATTGCATAAGTATTGTAATTGTTTTATTAAAATATTTTCTGTTTTAGTTTTCAGAATGAATGCCTTGCGCCTATTTACTCGAAATGGCAGACAATTTCTACCTAATGTCAGACCTATGTCTGCTAAAGCAGGCCCCCTTGTGGACTTATCAGTTGATAATGAAGGCATAGCAACACTTACAATGCAACGGCTTCCTGTAAATAGCCTTAATCTAGAACTTATTCAGGAAATTGACAAAGGCCTAGATGAAGTAGCTAATAATAAGGCAAGAGGAGTTATCTTGACCTCGGTTAGTTTTACTTAATATTTTTTTAGGATATTGTATTGTATCTTGGGAGTCCATCCATCTTAATGCAATATGTATTAAGATGGATGGATTATTTGGAAGATGATATGTATAAAAAGAGAATAAGTTCAATGGGAATTTATAAAAAGTAGGTAGGTATATAAAATGCAATAAAAGCAGCATGAACCTATTACTTACTTACTTTTTGTTTACATTACTTTTTGTTCTTTCATGCAGTGCATTGGGATAATTTGAAATCCGAAGTTACATAAGGTATAAATTTATAATCACTGGCACCCATTATTATTAAAAAATATAACATTAAATATATAGAAATGTAGAAACTTATTAGATTATATATAGCTTTTTAAGTTTCCATTACCAAATTGCTAAAAATATAATTATGTAGTAGTACTACGACTCTGGACAATTTACATTATGTAAATATTTATATTTGTACTTTTCAGGCATCATCATCAGTATTTTCAGCTGGCCTAGATATTATGGAAATGTACAAACCTGATAGGAAAAGGGTGGAGCAGTTCTGGACATCTCTCCAAGGTTTATGGTTGAAATTGTTTGGCTCCAAATTCATTACAGCTGCAGCCATAAATGCAAGTATTAGAAACTATGCATGAAAAAATGTGTATTTTTTTAAGTGTCATAATCTGCCAACAGTACTGTGTGTCAATTTAATTTTATGATTAATTGAACCTCCCAGATCATCCCCAGATATTAAATTTAAATTTAACAGGGTATTTGTATTAGATTACTACATATTTCAATAAAACAGTTAAATACACAGTGAATTGGGGTATGTCAAGTGTTGCTTCCCCTCAATGTCAATATTTGCACTTTCTGACTACCTCATCAGATGAGATGTTAACAGTCCTGAAAATATATAATTTGTTTACATTTCAGATTATTATTATTTAATCATTCATTATTAAAGAGGTGGTCTGTTATCCGTGGGACTATTGTCACTAGTTAGTTATTTCAACAATTTTCTTAACACGTTGACGGACAGTAGGAACAAGCGAAGTTCGAAAATTGACACTATATGTTTAGAATGTTAGAAGTATAGTTTTACTCTTTCTGCTTAAATAAACTTATATATTATATATTATATTATATATATAATATATATTTATCATTTACATTATCATTATTTATTTATATTTCAAATGTAAAACCAAAAAAAAAAAAAAAGTAAACAGTATAACCTATAGTATCGTTAACCTAACCTAAAATGCTAAATTTTGTTTTTTTATTTCTGTTTAAAGTATAAAATGAATAATAAACAAATACATACCAGTATAGTTATATAAATAATAATAAATCGATCGCACTACTCTCTTCACAACCACGTGCATAATGAATCTGCAACTCGTATAACAGGTGAAATATGAACTTCAACCTAAAAAGATGTTTTCAAAACACGACACTATGCTTCTACGTATACGCCAGTAAGTGCACATTTGTGCTGCTATAGCCGTAGTATCTAAAAACGACCGTTTCGTTTTGGACGGCTATAGCAGTCATGCCACATTGTGAACTTCGCTTTGACGGCTATAGCCGCAATTGTCCGTCAACGTGTTAAAATATATCAATATTTTAAGAAAATATTAGGAATATTTTAAGAAAATTTTCGAAACTGACAGTTTTCAATACTAAACAAAGAGTGTTTAGTCTTGTTCCTTTAACCTTCTGTGGAACATCTCCATTTTATCTTATTAGCTTCTGTTTTTATATTATTCATACAAGATTATATAAATATAAATTTAAATCATATGAATAACAATTAAAATTATGTTATGGTATCAATGTTTGTATACAATGATTGTATACATAAAATGTTAGAATCCTAAAATATCTTTCATAATTTTATTATACAGGGTCATGCTCCCGCCGGTGGTTGCCTCCTAGCTATGTCATGTGAATACAGAGTTATGGTGAATGGTAAATTTACAACAGGACTGAACGAAACCGCTCTGGGAATTGTCGCACCCAGGTGGTTCATGGACACAATGTGTAATACAATATCAAAAAGGGACGCCGAGATTGCTCTCACAACTGCCAAAATGTTCACTGTTGATGAAGCAATAAAGGTGACTAAATAATTGTATAACCAATTAGCGATCTCTTATCATTTTGCCTGTATGGAGCAATATATATACGAAGATCTCAGATCTAACGGTGTAGCACACCGCCTTACTTCCGATGGTCGCGGGTTCAATTCCTCGCACGGCACAAACCTTTGTATTCATTTGTATCATTTATATCAGTTATTTAGCACGCATAACGCAAGTTTTAAGTAGCTTAACTTTGGTCTAGATGGCACTGTGTGAATTGCTCTGAGATTAATATTATTATTATTATTTAATATATACATATGTATATGATACTATACTTATTATTTTTATATATACTATAAATTTATTTTAACAAACTATGTAAAAAGAACTTCCATTCTAGGTGGGTTTAATTGATGAGACAGCTACTGACAAAGCAGACAGCATAGAGAAGTGCAAGCAATTTATAAACAGGTTCAATAGGATCCCTCCATTAGCGCGAGCTTTTACCAAACAGAAGATAAGAGGGGATGCTCTCGCATGGCTGCAAAAGAATAGGCAGGCAGACCTCGAGGAATTCCTCACATTTGTCACCAGCCCTAAAGTACAACAGTCGCTAGAAGTTTACCTGGAACTGTTGAAACAAAAGTCTGCAAAGAAATAATGATTCAAAAGTAACCATTTTCCTACATTTCCTATTTTGTAGAACAGTAGGAATTGGCCTGAAATTACTATCATTAGTGGACTTCTGTTTATGTCTCAATTTTACTTCCCTCCGCATTCTTTTCACTTGTATGTGTATAGTGTTAAATTGGTAATCTATTTTAGGCATACTATGTATCATATTTTGAAATTGTTATTTTTTATTATTGTTGAACGATATTATTATTAATATATACATACTACAATTACACAGTTATGTATATTGTATCGCTGTCCATCTCACGATCCTGTAGAGGTATAGTTTTCCCTTTATTTAATGTTCACTAGTTTTCTAAATCTATACTGAGACCGTAGTACAGCTGACTGTAGATAGAGATGCTATTAAATACTCTTTATAGGGACTTTTAACTTTATTTATAAAATGTAAGTAATGTTCAGACTTATTATGTTTAATAAAATTTTTAAGAAATATTTTTGTGTTATATTTTCAACAATAATTTGGTACCACAATATTGTACTAATACTCATAGTTCTGTACTGTTTGAAGTTGTTTGGTTATTAATAACGTGTAGGAAGAAGTAAAAATATACATATGTATATATTTAACATAAAGACGTTATCATTATCAAATAACACATGAGGCTACATATTCCTTATGCCATATCTTAGACTAGGCTAATTAATTGAAAATAACAATATATAACAAGAGACAGTATTTCTACCACCTGTAAATACAGACAGAACCAATTCTGCTATTTACATATTAATTATGTGTACTCTAAGATACGGCCTAAAAGCTTTGATATTTTTTTTGTATATGATAATGAAATTGTTCACGCGCCTGCGCTAACGATTTACGCTAGCCGATTTACTAGTGGAGGAAGAAATAGAAATAGAAATAATCTTTATTCAAATAAACTCATTACAAGCACTTTTGAATAGTCATATTTTGATTCTACCACTCATTCGGAATGCAGATTCATCACAAGAAGAATGAGCAAGAAACTTGTGTGTTGCTCTTTTTAATAGATGTTTTTTTTTATATATAAATAATTACAGTGTAACAAGTAAGAGGCATGCGACAATCAACATAGAAATCGCTACGCACTCATTATTAGTGTAATCAGATAATATTGTCAGTGCTATGTATTTAAAATTTTTCTACAAAAACATTATTATCGTTAACGAATTCTTCAATTTTATAGTAAGCTTTTTTGCAAAGGAAGTGTTTTATTTGACATTTAAATCTTTTTTCTGGCAGATTTATAACAGACTCTGGTATTTTATTGTAAAACCTTACGCAATTGCCATAAAACGAATTACTAAATTTAGCCAAACGACATTTAGGTAAAATCAGTTTGTTGTTGTTACGTAAGCTTTTATTAGTGCAATCACTAACGATGATGATGATATATGAGCAATAGGTCAGTCCACATTAGCTAACATGTAGATTTAGAAATCGTACATATGTTGCCTGGCCAATATCTCTATATATTATAATTCGATTCGATTTCATATAATGTAGAATAATATGATAAACAACAAAGTTTGTAAGTTTGAATTTTCGGGGAATAATATCTGGTAATACTTACTAATCTGATTTTGAAAATTCCTTGTATTTTTATTGGATGGCCCATTTATCGAGGAAGGCTATAGGTTTTATTCGCAATAACCAATAAAAACGGAGTTGCAATGAAAAATGTTTGCACAAACGGGGGAAATATAACGAAGTTGCGCGGATCAACTAAAATTTTAATAAACAATATACAAAAATAGAAGTTCTTCGTTGGCCCTCGTGAGTTAGTAGTAGTAGTTAGTAGTCCACAACTAGGTACCATGTCAAATTGAGATAACTCCAGGACCTCCCTAAGAACTATTAGAGTCAATTCCTGGTGAAATCGCCACAAGCGGTTATCTAACGTAACTTCATGCTCTTCCTAAAACCTTTGCTGATGCTTTTTTAATATTTATTTATTTATACACCGTCAGCGTAGAAGAGCAGCGTTACATTATCATACTATCCATATTCAGTGCATCCTACACTTCTTAACCTTAAATGGTGTTCACTTAGCTTCATAATACAACTCTCTTTACCATTGTAGAAGTTTTCGGACGAAATGTTATGATTAACCAAATTTTTCCCTGGCTCTGAGACTATAAGCGTTGACTTATTTCCGTTTCTTACGTAGGTATATAGATACGTACAACAATAAAGATTATTCAAGGCAAGATAAACAACAATTTGGAGTTTGATACTTAGTAAGTACTCATTCGTTACAGATATTGGTATTGTGTAGAGGGCAGATATACGTACATGTGACATGTGAGTTAAGATTAAATAAACAAATACGTTTTGTAAATTATTTTTATTACCTATACATATATAATAGTGTACGGACTTATACAATTGCGTAGTTTTCATATATTCTCACAGCTTCAGATTTAATATTACTTATTTGTAGGAATATATATACATATGTATATACTGTTGGCGTTTTTTATTTTTCCATTCGCCGAAGATCACTAGCAAGTATATATATATATTATCTATGATCACTAGTACCTATATGTAGGTGCGTCATACACGCGTCAGGCCGTAGTCAACAAGTCAGTGAAGTCAGTCGAGCTGGCTGTTATGCTCGTGTGTGATACGAGTATTGTGCGCAATGTACTGGAAGATTGGCGTTGTTCTATCATAATTCCTATCTGTTTTATGGATTTCTATACATCATCATTTCTTATTCCTAAAAAATATATGATTGTGCTAAAGTTCTAACTGAATATTATTATTTTATGATTTGAATAATAGCAATCTACCTTATTATCGCTTTTGATTCATAACACTACCATAACCTTACATAACTACGTAACAATGTAGAGGACAATTGACTTAACATTTTAATGTAATGTTTTTTTTTAATGTTTATTTATCTCACTCACTATACTGCAGTGACAGTAGCGTCAACGTAAAACTAATAACGATCAACACGATACATATATACCTATGTAGTAGATTCAAATTATAATCACAGATGTCACAGAGCAAGTAACCTAACTTCCAGTGTTGCTCGTTTGAAATGACGGTACGAGGAATTAAAGATTGAAAGTATGTATAAATATATGTATGTAAAGTTTTTTATACATGGTATTTACCTACATTTGCGCTTTTGCAAGACGCTAATACAACCCTAAACCCAAACAATAACATTTTACAAGATTGCCCATAGAACAATGACTGAAAGTTACAGCACGGGCAAAGCCGCGAAATTGTAGTCAAAAAAATTATTTCTGTTGTATTATTTCATCATTGTATTATAAATATAATTTAAACATGATATTGAAGAGCGCCCACGAAACATGTCTATATGTGAGGCGACAATAATTCCCATAAAGGTGTGTCCACCATTATCAGTACCAAAATCTCATTTTGTCACTAAATAAATGTAAATATATTATATGCGGCTGACATGACCAATTACTGTCTAATAATACGCATGTTAAATCTATTAAAAAACAATTACTTTAGCATTAACTATAGATTAGTTACTAAGTCTATATTATTTGCCAAACTGAAGAGGAAAAGCCACTATTAATACCTATATAATATTAACTACCACACATCCTATGTGGTAGTAACCCACTAATGCTTAAACAAAATATCTCCTTTGGAAAGTTTAGACTCTGTCCTAAGCAGATAAAAACCATCGCTCCTAAGAATATCCTTCAATTCATGTCATTGACGGGCCTAGGTAGCAAACTCTGAAAAAGGATGGGGGAGCACTGCGAGTACAGCGATCTATGTAGGTCGCAGTGCTTCAGGTCCAAGCACCTGACAATAGCCCAAACAACCCAATACAAAAAAGTCTATATTTAATGAGCACAATTAAATATGTTTTGTTAGCAGAATGTCTCTTTTTCGCCAAATATCCAGAGTAAATAGACTCCAATTATTATCGGGATGCATGAGATCAATATCCTCGAGTTCGGAGCCTTTGTTGGACCTCTCCGTGGATGGCCAGGGGATAGCTGTGCTAACATTGCAGCGGCCGCCCGTAAATAGTCTCAATTTGGAACTACTTCAACAGATAAGTCAATCATTTGATGATTTGGCTGCACAGAATTGTAAAGGAATGGTTGTCACTTCAGTGAGTTCATTTTTTTAATGTAACTAGAATATTAATAATAATAACTCAGGACACCAATACACAACACTTGTGTCATAGGTAATAGACACAACACATAGATACAGACAACTGTTAGATTTTTTTTAAATACATAAATAGATAACTTCTAGTGTAATACTACTATTACAACAAATACTAACAATCGCCGGACGGACAATAGCATCCGATAATCTTCTATCTCATTTAAAAGGGAATCTCACTTAAGTGAATAGAACAGAGAAGTATCTTCTCTGTTTTCTTAGATTAAAGTTGTATACCAATTTACCATAATTGTATACCAATTATGGTATAGATTTATTATTTTATTCATATTATTTGTTGGTTTATTCCATAAATTCTTCTGCGCTACTCCCAATTGTCTCTCTCATGTCAGTTGGACTTTACAGCTTCACCAAATGAACATGTATTGGCTTATGATGGGGAATACGGCGTAAATTACAGTTATTTGATAATGACAATGTATTTAAGTTAGAATATGTTGATTGAAAGGTGAAATACTGGTCCAAAATGTTAAATTATGTATAATATATTTTTTTTATGATTTACCTAATTTGTTGATCATAAAAATCAAGCATAAATAAAAAGAATATTATTTACACTTATTGAAGAGCTAGGGTAAATGCGCGTAACAACATCTATCGTGTAAACATAAAAAAAGATGAGGGTAGATATCCTTATAACGTGTTTTATTGTAGCGTGAGTACCTAATCCATAATAAAACAAAAACAAATTAATTTTAAAAGCATTTCCAATATTGTATACATGCCATATATACGAGTATCTACTTAATTAAAATATTCGTTTAGGGTTGCAATTGTAGACCACTACATATATTCAAATCGAATTTCACTCGAAAACCGTTATTCTATAAAACCTAAGTACCTACTTATAGATGGTTGTCTTAAGTGACTATTTGTTTCAGAGCTTACCTACCGTGTTCTCAGCTGGTTTAGATATAAAGGAACTGTATAAGCCTGACATTAAGAGGTTAAATTTGTTTTGGTCCAATTTTCATAATGTAGCATTGAAATTTTTCACCTCCGAATTTCCTACGGCTACTGCTATTAATGTAAGTGTGCATATGTGTGTATACATAAATTTGTCGGTAACGTAATTTTACGAGCATTGCGGTGAATTGACTAGGAACTAATTACGATGATTTCCAATTGGGACTTCATGGAAGTCGACCAGTTAGGGACTGACCCCGAATAATCCCGTGCAAACGGGTCGAGCATTCCATATTTATTCGTTCATAAAAAATATAAAAACTCAGTAGGAATTGCTTAATTTGTTTTGTAGGATATAGGGGGCAAACGAGCTTGAGGCACACCTGATGGTAAGTGAGCACCCGCTACACTAGGTAAATTGAAAGTGAATTGACGGCTTTTTAAGAAGGGGTTTTTAAGAAAAGGAATAGTAGAGAAGTAGTTGGTCGTTGGGATACAGCGTGCTACAGTTAAGCAACTTTAGTTTAAAACTATAATATCTGATATGGTATTATATTTCTTTTCATTTTCAGGGTCATACACCAGCAGGTGCATATGCTCTTGCTATGCTCTCGGAATATAGAGTAACCGCGAAAGGTAATTTTACCATTGGTTTCAACGACACTGCACTTGGTATAGTGCCATCTACCTGGATTATTGAACTAATGCGCCACACAATGAACTCAAGACGAGCGGAGCTGGCCGCGACAGCATCTACAATGTTCTCTCCAAGTGACGCGCTGAAGGTAAACCAAATCTATACATATAAATAAAATTGTAGTGTCTATTTGTAATATTGAAAAAACCGTTTTTTGGCAGGTGGCTGATGTAATAAGGAGTAACTTATGTTACTTTTAAATTTAGATAATAAAGTTAAATTCCACGCGGACGAAGTCGCGGGAACAGCTAGTAGTTAATATAATTAAATCCCATCAAAATATCACGTAATACGTGGATGGTTTTAAACAATCGTTTATAATCAACTATACTACATGCGCTGTAGCATGGCGCTGGTGACAGTTTCTTCATTTAACAATTGTTAAATTTAAGTTACTGCTGTTATTAATGATTTAATATATTACTTTTAAGAGAAAAACGGAACTGTGACCCGCACCATGCTGCAGCGCACATGGTATAGTGACCTGTCCCGGCTGCGCACTGATGCATTACAAATCTTTGAATTTCTTTGTTTGTTCTATACTACAACACGCATGTATTATAGGCACATAAACATAAACTTTTCTCTTAAATCACTTCTTCTATTGCGGAAAACTATATTAAAATCCCTTACATAATGTAAAAGATATACGCGAAAAGATGCGGGAACACTTTGTTTTATACTATGTAGAGAAATTCCATTTATACTATTTTTTTTTATTTGCGAAATAGATGACAAGGCTTTTACCAAAATCATTACACCATCGGTCTATTAGTTAGATATTAAGCTAAGATATTCTATTGATTTACTATAACAAAATTGAAAAATATAAAACTAATGACTATGGTTTACGCGTTTGCTCTAAATTCTCAACTGTATACAAATTGCAAGAGACCTTTTTAAAACTATTTGTTATAAATCATTGATAACACATTTTATTATAAACAAGATATTTACCATGATAATATTAAGAACTCTTGTAATCGCCACGCTGTTAGAAACGTCCTGGTTACAGAACATTTGTTAGAATCATATTACTGTATGTTGTAATAATAAAGTTAATATTATTTGTACTACCACTTCTTTGCTTCATATATTTCAGGAGGGACTTGTTGATGATATAGCCGATGACAAAGCCGAGGCTATTGAAAAATGTAAACAATTTATAAAGAAATTTAATAATATACCAAAGTGGACACATTCTGAAACCCTGCGGAAGACAAGAAGTATACCACTCGAAACGCTTAAAAAGTTTTTAGCCGAAAACCCCAATCAAATGACGGAATCGGTCATGAAAAAAGACACTCAGGATTCATTAGGAGTCTATATTGAAATGATGAACCAAAGAAAACGACAGAAGACCACTTAACACAATTAACACAGTTGTAAATACAATTAAGTAATACATTTCATACGATAATTCTTTGTTTTTGTATTAAATTAGGTAAGTTTTGGGGTAAAGAAATACTGATAACATCTATTTAAGATTTCAAAGCAAAAAGTTGCTTATAAAATATTTGGTAATTTTTAAATACATACATATACATATATATATTATAAGTATAAATATTGTATGTAAGTAGTACCAGTGGCACTCAATGAGGAAGTAGCCATTATTATTGCTAAAAGTTGCATATAGATGGCGTGATTGGTATCGATGGAATTCTTCATAGTTTTGCAAACGTTTTAAAAAACAAAACTGTGTTTTCAAAAATGTTTAATCAATTTTTAAAAAGTTATATATACATGTTAAAATGAAATAATGCGTTTAGAAAAGTAATTTTCATATATTTACTCATTTTGTTATTTTCCAGTACTTAATTACACTTTAATCAGTGCTAATATGGGGCTCAATGTTTTCAAAATGCTTTCATAGATGGCATTGTAGTCATTTGTATCGGCCTAATTAAATGTCTTTTTTATATTTTCCAATAATAAGCATTTAATATATTATTATTGTAAATTAAACATATAAAAAATTTTTAAGTAAATTAAAAATAGCCGAACAAGCAAGTAATACTATTTCCAATAATACTTATGTATGAAGTGTTGTCATATTAAAAATAAATACATGTATTATCGATTTTTTTGAATAATCGATAACAGGATTTTATTACAGCACATTATTCGATGATGCTTTTAATGAGTCGTTGTGAACAGTAAATTTTCATTATTTTGTATTATAGCAGTGTTCCGTTTCAAAGAACGGAATATAGTAGTACATTATTAGTGTCGTTGGTTATTTACATTTGTACTGAAAAATCGATTACATAATAATTTAAAATATCGAGTACGAATCGTAGCTGTCTTCGAATACTGGCAACTGGTAAGATTAAAATAATATTTAAAAAAAGAGAGAAATCGACCCTAACTCGAATACCATAAAGTTGATTTTCCTTTGTCATTAATATCATAGCAGTTTGTTTTTAACTTGCGTATGACTCTGTGGTATGATGTTTAACGTGTATTGTTATTGTATGGTGCAAACATTTCAAAAATTATATTTTAATGTAGGTACATACACTTCTTTCATACATTTCATACATGTCAAAAATTATCTTTTAATGTAGGTACACACATTTCTTTCATACATTTCATACATGTCAAAAATTATCTTTTAATGTAGGTACATACATTTCATACATTTCAAAAATGAACTTTTTATGTAAATACATACATTTCTTTCATACATCTCATACATTTAAAAAATTATATTCTAATGTAGGTACATACATACATTTCTTTCATACATTTTATACATTTCAAAAATGAACTTTTTATGTAGGAACATACATTTCATATATGTCAAAAATTATCTTTTAATGTAGGTACATACATTACTTTCATACATTTCAAAAATTATATTTTAATGTAGGTACATACATTTCTTTCATACATTTCATACATGTCAAAAATTATCTTTTAATGTAGGTACATACATTTCTTTCATACATTTCATACATGTCAAAAATTATCTTTTAATGTAGGTACATACATTTCTTTCATACATTTCATACATTTCAAAAATGAACTTTTTATGTAGGTACATACATTTCTTTCATACATCTCATACATTTCAAAAATTATATTTTAATGTAGGTACATACATTTCATTAATGTCAAAAATTATCTTTTAATGTAGGTACATACATTTCAAAAAGTATCTTTTAATGTAGGTACATAACACCCCATGTCAGACCCCTTGTATTTGGAAGAAACTTAAAAATAATGCCAAAAATATTAGATGAACATATTTTTAATACGAATATTGTTTTATTTTTGTTCATCAACTTTATCCCTCACTAACAATACTAGTAGTAGTACATAACCTGGTTTATACCGCTAAAGATATTGAAAGATATACGAGTAATTCAGAATGTTATCAAGTTCAAAATAAGCACACATTACTTGCTTAGATAACAGAGTAATATTACTCGTAATAAAAACATTTGTAACACCTATATGTATACTACGTATGTATAGTAAGTACTTACGCTGCGGCGCCGTGAGACTCGTGTACCTCATCTACGCGCGGTAACCGCGCCGACCGACCAATAGGAGCGCGCCTCTCGTGTTTCCAGAAAGTTCGCGACTAACGGACGATATAGTAGTAAGGCAATGAGTGTCCCAGTGACATCATTATAATATTTTCTCGTTAAATTTTATTGTAATATACACAATTTCGCACTAAATAACGTGTTACCCCGTTACACATTTCTAATAATGAAAAACCTAGACCGACCCTGTTCACTTAATCTTACAAGATCTGACTTTAAAAATTACGATATCCTCATATAGAATAGAATAGAATAGAAAATCATTTATTCAAATAAACTTAATTTAAGCACTTTTGAATGAATAGTCATAACAATTTGTTTTTTATCTACCACTCGTTCGGAAAGCTGTCTCATCACAAGAAGAACGAGCAAGAAACTTGTGTGTTGCTCTTTTAAATAATCCTTGTAAGTTTACATTTACAAGTCGAAACGTGTGAATACAAACTACCAACAAGCACTAATTTTTTGGGTCAAATACAATCAGTCGTAGTGATAAGAGCAGACCAGTCCCTACAAGCAGCACTCGTTCATGAGTATGACGGATGAGCCAGCCATCACTGCTCTCGACCATATTTTAGGGAGCCCATTGACCCGGCCCACCACGCCGCCACATGTCTGGACATTTTAGTGAGCATGACTACTCATTCCACACGACCACGTCACAGCTACAAAAATTACTATATGGTAGTGGGGGGAGGGGATTGTTGGTAATGTGGATTGATAACCCCATTGCTAGCAATGTACCATGTCAGGTCGACCTCCACGCGGTTCCCCCTGGAAACCATCGTGATAAATTCCTGGTGAATTTGTCACGATGAGCTAACTGACCTGACCTCATGCTCATCTTATCATCCTCCACTGGTGCACCGCCAGCGTAAACCGTTAGCGCAGGCGGATGCACCATTACATTATCATCCATAAAAAAAAAACTATATGGTAGTTACAGTATTCGCACTTTACATAAGGATGCATGCGGCAATCAATACAAAAGCCGCTACGCTATCATATATCAAGAAAGCAGTATGAAAATTAAAATTATAACGTTGTCCGCAAATAAACTTATTGTTGCTACATATTGCTATCATCTATAAATTCATCTATCTATAGCCTTTCATTTCCCCTTTCAATACTTTTTCGCATTAAAAAGTAGCCTTTCTCAGGGTCTACATTATCTATCTACCAAATTTCAATTAAATCAGTTCAGTAGTTTTGGCGTGAAAGCGAGACAAACAGACAGACTGAGTTACTTTAGCATTTATAATATTTGTAAGAATATCGCTATTAAAAATAGGGGTTGGTGAAAGACGGGTGAAAATTTAGGCGTGTATGTATTTTCAATGTAACATTATAAATAAATAAAAAATTGTCCATAATACAAAAAAATATTTTTTCGGGGTAGGCCACCACTATGACTTAGGGGTATAAAAAATAGATAACAACCCTACCTCAGACCTGGCAAGTATACATATCAAATTTCATCAAAATGTGGGAGAAATATGACAACTAACACTGTGATACAAAATTTATATATAAGATATAGCGGAATTCTTATTAGGTAAAAGAGGGGTACATCGTAGAATACATGAGGTATATACCAGTAAATTAATTGTAGCTAAAATCAGTCTCATACATATAACGATTGAAATAAAAAATCGTATAGCCCGATTTTGATACGTACGAGTATAAACGTATCAAAATCAGGCTATACGTATAGCGCAGACGCGTTACAACATATCAAAAAAATAGGCATGGAATGTAAAATAAACCATAACATAATAGGTATATACATTGGCACATAAGCCATATCTGCAGAGTGTCGGCTAACGATATTATACCTACACAGTTACATTGAATCTTGAATTGTCCCTATTGAGGTACACGATACAGTTACCTACATATCTATTATATACATATCTTTGCAAAACAGATGTCATGTAGACTGAATTGACTGCCATCTATTTTCATGCTTTGTTACTAAGCACCCACTAGTAATCCGAACTGCTTCAGATCTAGCGACATCTAGCGGCTACGGTGGCGAAATAAAATAGCCCGAAGAATAGCCCGAGTTAGGAAGGAACCATTTTCTTGTATGGGATGGGGTATCTGTATGTAATATTATGTTATCTGTGGTAGTACAAACAATGTGACTATTTCGACTATTTATTTATATATAGGTATATTTTTGGTATATTTTCATGATTTCTTATATTTGGATTAACGTACCCAGTTGGGGGAGAACTGCCCCCCCCCCCCCCTGAAAATGGTCCCCGTTACAATATATATTTTTTATTTTTTACGTAGTTAGTACAATCACAATTAATATAAAGAACAGAACAAGACTTAGAAATCATCGCCCAGTAAAGCTGCGGTCTCTGGATCCACTGCCTCAGTTAAACCCATCTGCATATCAGTCCACTCCTCTCTCTGATTGTCAATGAAGTAATTTATCTCCAATATTCTATCACGGTTCCGTTTAATCTCGTTACTAAAACAAAGAGTGTACATTAAACTGTACCTACAGATATTCAGAAAGTATATAGGTAAGTCTAAAATTATTGCTAGCGTTGTGGCCTACTACTATACTTCGACTAGAAAGGTCGTGGCTTCAAATCTGGTTAGCAACAAAAAAACTATATATTTCAAATATAATTCTTAACTAACTCTACGGTGTTGGAAACGCCATACACATTATGCAACTTACTCATTAGTTCCTTGTACAAGATCATCTCGCCAGTTATTCGCTCGGGTCATGAGTAGATCCTCGCGTGCGTCAATGAACCGCATGTGATTATCAGATGATTGAGCCACCAAGTTCATCATCATGTCGCGGTCCATCATTATCTGAAATTTCACAGATAAATCACGCGATTTCTTTTGTGTTATCAACACCAGTCAGAAATAGAAGATTATAAAAAGTCAACAGCGTGGGACCTCAGTCGCACCTATTTCATTCGCAAAATAGTTCACTTTGTAAGCTGTACCTACGGATTGTAGGGTAAAGTTAGACAGTGAAATTAACCGTAAACGTAGCTTATACAATATGAACAGCACTGTCGAGATCTTGTTATCCTGTGATCATTATATCTTAGCCCTCTGGAATAACAATGAATGAGTGGTGGTCACTTGAAAACCTCCCTAGTGCTGTTCATGTATATAGGCTACGGTTACCGATTGATGGTAATGGTAAACGATGGGCCGTAAGCTTGTTTGCCAGTCCTTTTTCATGACTTGGACCTCACCTCAAAGACCCTAATGGGCAGAATACCGATATGGCATGTAGAGCCTTGTATGACGACGTACTTCTAAATGCATTACAATAGCTCACCACATTACATATTGTAGAATGTAATTTAATGGAAAAAAAAATTCCTAAAGCGTGGTAAGAATAGGTACGCGGTAAGAATAGGTACATATATGTATTACCACTGATTTTTATAGCCAAGAGGTCGTAAAAGTTGACTAGAGAAACAAGGTAGTGAGCGAAAGTTTCATTGAAGCACTGTTCCGTTCCGACTGATTAAAGTAGATTAGTAGCCTAATGTTATTAATTATGGAAGCGCTCTGTGGTGTAGAGGTTTAGGCGATTCTAAAACATCCGTTTAGCATACCACTTTACTTCAATGGTCACCTGTTCGATTGTAGCAACAAACATTTGTATTCATGACTATAATTTCGCTCTATTGTAAACCGTTGTCTGTATGATGCTTTTTAATAAGGCAACACGGTGTTTGGAAGTAATGGTAAAGAAAATCAGGAACAAAGGAATCACATATTTATCTGCACATATTTACTTTACAAATAAAAAATACAATCAAGAAAATTAAGCTATTTAAAAAATGTGTACCGTGCACACCCGTATTCGAACCGTTTTGGTACACCATATGTGTTTAGTAGGTAAGGAAGACCTCGGAGAAGATCTACCAGATCTACGTATAAAAGAGTACCTCGAACAGCTCCGGTGGTGCGTCCCCCAGCATGATCTTGTTACCCAGCAACTTGGAAAGCGACTCGAATTGGCGCATTGACCACACGCCCTCGTTCTCTCGCCACGCGCCAAACGCATTACGCGAGACCTCCATCAGTTTTGTTATCATCTCCGTCATATTCACCGAGAATTGAACCCGAGATTCCTAAATCACAACATAGTTAATTCTATTTTATACAATTGGTACAAACAAGCTGATGGTAAGTGGCATGGTCGTTGCCTATATGGATGAATAGCACTGCGATGATGAACATCACATCATCATGTGACACCAATGGCGCTACTCTTCCTTGCTATTCCAGAGAAATATGATATAAAATACGATTTTATACCTTTGTATCCTCTAATTTACTAACCTAGGACAATTCACACAGCGCTATCTAGGGCCAAGCTAAATAAAGTCTGAATTTTGGGTACTAGACAACTGATAAAAATACTTACATTTTTTTATTTACACAACTCTATCCCAACAAATATACCTTACAAAGCAAGATGAATCTGTACAAAGTCTATGTGAAACCAAATGGAATTATACATATTGTATATTTAGAATCTTAAATTTTTGGAACATAAATAGAGTTTTTTAAGGTTAAGGTTGTGTTAAGATTTTTTCATTACACATGATCGATGTCTATAGGTACATGGTAGATGAGAAAAAGTAATATATGACGGCAACAATTATATTACGACACCTAAAATTTTAACCTCGACTCATGTCGTATTCATTTCAATCCCCGTTTTAATTGGACAGGTAAATACACAGATGTGGCTTGCTTATTTACTACCATATAAATAAAATAGCACCAGAAATCAATTTTAAAAGATGACCGCACCTCGCATCGCTCATACAACTGCATTTCAATAATCATAAGACTCTTCCACAGTTCATATAAAACGTCGTTATAGGCCTCCCCCAAGTCCACTATTGTAGGTTCAAGTTGATCGATAGTAGCTTGTTTCGTCGAAAATTTCCGGATCACCTCGTTCATGGACTCCACTAGAGGTTTTTTCTTCTTCTCGAAATCTTCTAAAACCCTAATAATATATTATAGTTACCAATATTATTTGCTTCTTTTTATTTACCTTTTTATGTCGTTCATTATTTATAGTTGCTCAACTGTTACGCTCGTCTTTGTATATTTATATTTTATAAATAAAAATAAATATAGATATGACATATTATACATAGATATATCTATATATAATATAGAGATATATCTATGTATAATATAAAATATAAAGCCTTTTAAAGATTTTAACATTCGGTTTGAAACAATTTATATAATTAAATAATAAGCACGTAGCTTATGTCTGACCTCGTAATATAGTTTTATTTCATACATAACTTTATTAAGGTCGATTCTGCGGGACAGGCATTCTTTCTGAACCGTAAAATTGGTAATAATGTGTATCTATGACAAAGGCGAAACTTGAAATATTTGACTAAAACTTATATTACAAATTATACCTAAAAAAATTATTTCGGTTTTTGCTTAACTCATCTAAACCATGCAACTTATTTTCATATCTTTTCTCTATCAATTTCCATATTTTCTTTCGGAAAAATTGTATGCCTACCTATATTTTATAATACATGTAAATATGTAATTAGTTATACGGCCTCCTTCACATACATGAGTTTGGTATAGTATAGAGAGACATCACAAGGAGAAGCCAAGATAGGTCGCTGGTATACGAATACGAATAACACTGAAATGGACAGTTGAAAAAAAAATATATAATGCAAAAAAACGCGTTCCGTAGCGCCTAAAAAGTCCTATATGAATATTTTATTTTATTTGAAAATAAAATTAATATGTGAAATATAATTACGAATATAATGAAAAAAAAGTCAAATTCTTACTCTTTGCTCGTTTGTACGCTATCTTCCAAAGCATTATTCACTAGATCTTTAAAAAGTTTTATTTCATGTTGCCTTGCTTTATATGCATCTTGAGCAAAGTCCACTAAACCTGCCATGGTCTCTACATATTGTTCCTTATACCTGTGAATATGGAGAAATAATTATACATACAATATAGTGAGTGGGCTATGAAACACTAGAAGTTGAAAAGACAGACAGACAATAAAGGCTAAATGTTACCAAACAAAAATAAGAGCTATTCTTTTTAATTACCGAGTACTTCTCTGTAACGAATAAAGTGTAGCATGTCTATATTGTGTCGCAAATGAGATACCACACATCGTCACTGTATTAGATATTCCACGGAGAAGACAAGAGTTAAAACCCTAACATTTTTCAATTACACCACCTAATTCTAAATGCAGATTCAGCTGAGAAGAAACATCAAGGAACTCAACTGTGGCTCTTTTAAACAAATGTAGTATAGTATATTACAACTTTCTAGCTTTTTTCCAACTGGATGGACAAACAAGCCAACGACCCTTCTTATGAAAACTGGCAACCGTCACTTATACATATGGACAGCACCACGGCTAACACTTTACCATGTGACGCCCGTGCGATACGTCTCATAGTCATGAAAATCATCTCACAAATTAAACTGGAATAGCAAAATTAGGCCTCATCTCATAAATGAAACTGGAATCTGCTTGGGGCAGAAATTGATGAAACAGAGCTGCTGAGAAACGTCTGAGAGGGTACGTCAGCTTTGTATAAAGGAATTGTATCTAGGAAGATACTAAATCTAATAGATGATCTGAGATTAGCATCCCTAGAACTTATAATCTTAATTCTTTGGAATATCAACGCATGGGTAATATATGATAACGTGGTGTCATATGATGACGTGATATCCTTACTGCTATATAATAGGTGATTATTACCGCTTACCATCAGGTGAACCGTCAACGTCTCTTCATAAAAAACTTACTGTTCATAAAATCCCAGAAGTTCACCGCCGACTTTCAGTAGCAGAGATCCGTCCGGATCTTTCTCAAACATCGACTCGAGTAACTCTGGTCCACTTAGATACTCTACGAATGAGAGTGCATAAAATTCAACTTTAGCATCGTATTCTTCTTTAGCTATCCTTTCTTTTTCCGATTTTTCATCCGCCTCGTCTAATTTACGCAATAAACCCCTGTGGGTATAGGAAAATGTTCATTTTTTAAAATATTGTACTGCTTATACGTTATCTAAGTCTGATCTGTGGCTCAGTAATTATAATATTAAGTCAATAAAGATTCTTAGTTGAACCAAAGTACAGTACGAGAATGTGAGCCATCATTGAGTACAAATTTATATTCGTGAGTCTCAACCATTTCAGACATCTGTAAAGGAGATTCCTTGTTTCGGTTGGAAGGTGAGATATGACAGTGAAATTACAGGGTACGGAGGAATCATCCTACAAAACCTCCGGAATAGGCCACGGTCTACAGGAGTATAGGATACGGTTGGCACTTAGGGAAAGTAAAAAAAATGGTCTTATAAAAATATGTTTAACTTTATGAAGATACCTAAAAAGAGCTCTCCCATTTTCTCTATCCTCTTCATTTACAGTTTTATAATCAATATATGTGACCCTCGTGAGTGCCGACTTGAGGAACTGGTATGTCATCGGATCGTCACAGCATGGGTTCCCTTTGAAACTAACCGACCGCAGTTTGCGAAATCTACGCATGTATGCCATCTGGAAAACCATAGTGGATGAAACCAACATTTTAATAACCGTAATGTCGTAAATATTTAATGTAATTTCATGATTTACGAACACTATTACTTAAACCAAAATCAAATTTATATTATTTCAGTGATATTAATAGACAACAAAAAGTAATATGAATTATAATTTATACTAGCGACTAAATCCTAACATACATTTCAATAAAAACTTCAATGAAAATTACACTAAAAACTTTCATCAGAATTTAGTTAATCAAGTTATATATATATATATATATATATTACTTTGTTTAATTTTGTTTCCTACCACTATAATTATATGCATGAGACATCTAATATATATGTAGTTTATTGCGGATACCTGCCCACAAATACTAGAAGCGACTTTCCATAACAGTGACCTCCCATTTCTGATAGTTATTGAATCTACCCTCATATTTAGAGACGTGTTTCGGTTCTGAACAAAATAACCACAAAAACGTGTCGTGAACCACATTCACTAAGAAAGAAAATAGTTAATTGAAAATATTTTTTAAAACATAATCCAGACGGCGCCGCTGCGCTGCCAATAAAGAAGGAAAAGTCTTTTTAAATTTCCACTTTGATTCATAACGAAAAGGTTCAATTTCAAGCGTGTTCTACCCGAACTTCGAGTTGGTATGATCTAGGGCATGCCAACTCGAAGTCCGGGCCACGGTTTAAATAATATAAAATTAAAATATGCCTTCCAATTTTAAACTAAAAGGCTCTATACGTACCTACTATTATTGAAAAGTACAACACTTACCTCCTTGTAATCTTCTATTAAATTATCTCCAATACTAAAAACAAGTAAATTTTCAAGTGTATCCATATTTTCTAATTTACGTATTTTATTATGGAATAACGACAATACTTCAAGATTGACTAGTTCATCAAGATTTTCAATTTTTTCTATTTTATTAAATGACAAGTCCAATTCATTTAGACCTGTGAGTTGGTCTAAGTTTTCTATTTTCTCTATCAGATTATGAGCTAGTGTAAGTTTTCGTAAGGATTTTAGCATCCAAAGATGGTCGATTCTTAAAATGTTTTGGAATTCTAAACGCACAATTTGCGCTTCATCCAAATGTACCCCTTCTTCTGCAAACAATCTCCCCGCTTCTTCAGTGGGGCCTAATGAATAAATAAAACGAAATTGAATTATTATGTAAAAAAAGTTCGATTCTTTAAATTTAAATTCTTTAGATTGCAAACTGTGTTTCTAATTATCGGTCTGCGCTAATGGTTAACGCAGGCGGAGCACTAATGCATGACAATGAGATGAGCATTAGGTCACCAGGAATTTTTCATTATTGTTTCTAGAGGAAACTGCTTGGAGTTCAACCTGACATGGTACATTGCTCACAACGGGGTCATTGGTTCACATTACTAACAATCCCCTTCCCGTCCATGCTCCTACATTACAAAATTACTCATGTACCTATACAATGAAACCAAATCTAAATCTTTCTTTTAGTCAGGCATTATTTTCCGGTATTTGACATGAAAATAAAAACTCCAATAGGTATACATATAATTAAAATAAAAATTACGCACCATATTCTAATATACATCTAGTAAGCATAGAATTATCTATTACTCCAGGTTCGATGTCAGGATGAATAATAATACTGCTCAATGATTTCTTGTCTGACATATTAAATATTTTTTATATTTAGTTTTGTTAACACCTATAATCAAATTACGTGGAACTATAAATACCTAACTATTCAAAAATTATACACTTTCAGGAATACTTTCAAAATATGTACATAAACAGTATCGGTTGCTAAGCTACCAACTGTACCAAATATATTCATGGCTAATAATAATCAGACTGGACCTGGAACATCAAATTTGGTATCAGCCAATATTCTATTACTAGAAATGTTAATATTATACGAATCAATCTTATACTGGGGGAAGTAATATTATTTAGAACAGAACAATATAGGTAGATACTTACTAACAATCCTTTTCACCCTTCGCGTTACCAATTAGGCTAAATTAAATACGTTTTCCCATCAACTTTCCATATGAACTATGGAGTGCAGAGGCAAGTAAGCTACTTTAAATGGGGAGAACTATAGCAAAACTGTCTAGTTGCAAAGTACAAATGATAGTTCTATAACTTGTCTAAAATGTCGCTAGAGAAGCAGATAGTATTACATGCAAGCATTCAGTAACTGTTATATGTTGTTGATAAAGTAGGTAGGTCTACTTACTGAGTATTGAGTTCTAAATAAATAGACGTAAAATTTAAGACGTAAATATTTATTCATACATTTTCTTATATTTATTTTTTTTAATAATTTTAAAAACGGAAGTCGTACTTTCTTATTTACTTTTTATTCAATAATAGTATTTTTGGCGCTTTCATGACTACAGTGTAGATATGTCTGATGTATAGTAATCATTCAACGGCTTTGGACGGACGTAATAATAAGAACTTACATAACAATAAGTTGGTAAGTATTTAATTTGTTACATTGCATATAAAATGATAATTCTATATTTCAAAGAATGTCGCTATTGCCGCTAATTTTATACAGACGACAGAGTATGCTATTTGGTTACGCCACTGGAGGATATAGAATTTGGCTGTTTACCGCCATTTAACTTATGTTAGTGGAGCATTCTTCATAATGTACAGTGAAGTATATTTGATAATATACTGCCCCCTTAAACTTTACTTTTGACAACATGTCAATAATTATATGTAGTCTGTGCTTATTATCGTTGGTTCTGAATTGTACAATACACTGTACAACTTTTTAATGACATGACAAAGTGAAATCATTGTAATCGTTTTGATAAATATTTGATTATTTTGTAAAAATGTCCTTCTTTGGGGTAGGAAATCCCTTTTCTACGCCGGTAGGCCAAAAAATCGGTAAGTAAATAAACATTTACTGTGTAAGTAACTCGTAATCCATCTTAAGTAATCCTGTGATCGTCTTTCACTTTTTGTTGCGCATATTACATTACAAATTTCTTTTTGTCACGTTTGTCATTACAAATTTCTCTCTAGGCACTGTATTATGTTCGCAAAAATTCTTGCTAATATACAATCGTTTACTATATACAAGATCGCATGACGCCGTAGTGTTAATTAATATGACCCTCTGATTGTAATGTTTTCTTTTCCTAATAATTCCAGAGCAAGCGACAGATGGAAATCTGCCGTCGGAAAACTGGGCCCTTAATATGGAAATATGTGATATTATTAACAGTAGCACAGACGGACCTAAGGATGCTGTAAAAGCCATCAGAAAGAAATTAACCCAAAGCGCTGGCAAAAACTATACAGTTGTCATGTACACACTGACTGTACTGGAAACCTGTGTCAAAAATTGTGGAAAGCCACTCCATGTCTTGGTGTGTCACAAAGAATTTATTTCTGAATTGGTAAGTATTATTTTGAAAGCAGGTTATTATAGCAAAACTGCTATCCATGTAGCAAATTAAAATCAAGGATTATTGAAAGCATTTTGGTTCTATTATCATTGTTGCAATATTACTACTAAGCTGTGACTATTAGTATGTCCATGAGCTGAACCAGTACTTTAAGTATGCTCTTGTAGACGGGGTAGAGAGAACTGTTAAAAATGAGCATATCTGACCTCAATGCTAACAAGGTACTCTTGTCAGATTGACCTCCACATGTTCCTCTCTGGAACTATCATTGTTAATTCTTAGTGAATTTGTCAAAATGAGCTAACTAATCTGGCTATCAAGAATCAATAGTCAAGAGGATGACCTCTTGACTCTTGATTCTTGAGAATCGACTTGTGTCCCACTATAAGCATTGCATGCACTATTAGCACTTAATGACTTTACCAACTATATATTATTTTCACTTGAGAAAATTTAATATTAATTATCATGTTTAACAATATGTTGATAATATTGTGTATTTGGAATTAATTTTGTATTTGTAAAAGATAACATGGAAGTTGAAAATAGTCTTGATATTACACATAAAGATATGTGCATATAGCATATATAAAGCATTTATATCTAGACTTTATATATAGATATTGTTGTGAGATTAATTTAAATAAAAAATAAAATTAATTTGGATTTATGTCAAAATAGATAAGCAAAATCATAATAACAATAGTCTTTTTACCTATACAGTTAATAGGAAGTTACAACATGCTAATGACTAATTGATTTCAATGAATAGTACTCAAATCTTTTTCAGCAATCGGCAAATAAACTTTAATCCTTTGTTATATTTTGTCATTGAAATTAAATTAACTATTGTTTCAGACATTTTTTTCGGCATCTTTAAATGAATAATTTTGTTAGTTTATCTGATATTGTTCTGTATTGCTATGACAAGACAATATGTTTAATCTGCTATTAAATACAAAAAAAAAAATTGTTTTGATTTTAAATTACAAAAAAAAAATTATATAAAAATCACTTTGTTCACACACACAGCCATCAACTGACTATTTGCTTTGGCACCATAATGCTAGTACAATATGATTGCAAGTTTCTACATATAACTTGTATATATGGTATATACATGGGAAAAGAATATTTCATGTCGATTTAAAATTATTACAATATATGTATGACTTGCAAGATGTCAAGAAAGCATTATCAACTGCTAATATTGTGTTAAACAAAATGTTTAGCAAATAAAGCAAGCCTTATGTTATTTAGTAGGATACAACTGTTATTCATGATTTATCCTTGCAATTATGCAGGGATAAATCATGCATTGGAAAAATCATTGTATTTGGTTTTCGTTATTATTGTTAAATAAGTTTAATTTTTTTTAGGTAAAATTAATTGGCCCTAAAAATGATCCCCCAACAGTAGTTCAGGAAAAGGTACTAAGCTTGATCCAGTGCTGGGCTGATGCATTTCAAAATCAACCTGAGCTACAGGTAGGTATTTGTTTATTATTGTTCTGACAAGTAAAGTGTGTTAATTTAATGTTATTAATTTTTGTTTATGATTCGCTTCCATAATATTTCTGGTAAATTAGCTTTAAGAGGTAATGTTATGTTTGCTGTTGCAATCTAAATTTTGAAACATGCATTTATATAGAGCTATATGATAAAATATATTTCCTTCCTTCTTTACTGGTATATTAATGTTTCATTGAATTGATGTATGAATATACATATTATTCTTATTAATTAATATTATAAATGCGAAAGTTTGTGAGTATGGATGTACATGGACATATTTGTGAGTATGGATGGACAGGTAGTAAGTAATATTTATGTGTACAATTAAAACTTGTGGTCTAATTATGATATAATCACTTTAGACAAAAACAGTATAGCTAGGGGAGGCTAAATGAACATTCAATTAATACACTGTGTTTATTCAAATAAAAAATATTTATATATCTTATATATTTGTGTATGATACATAAATAATTTTTATTGAAGTTTAGTTTGTACATATATTTTTGATTTTGTTCCAGGGTGTTGTACAAATATATAATGAACTTCGAACCAAAGGTGTGGAGTTTCCAATGACAGATTTAGATGCTATGGCGCCAATATTTACCCCACAAAGGGTAAATAACATTTTATTTATTTTTATCTACCAATAACTTACTGTATTCTTGTTTAAAGAATGAGAAAGAGAAATTACAGGGTATGAAGGTATAGCATGTTAGCTTTGAGGAATGACAATTAATATTTTTGTCTCTGGTACTGTTCAAATATATTGGCGACTATTATCACATTATATCATATAAAAAGAAATGCATATTTATGTGACTGACATATATGTTTGTTTGCTTGACGTGGACATAATATGTTTATCAGTTCTCTTATGACGTGTATCCGAAGAAAGTTGACGTAACTTATCGTATAATGAACTGTCATGTGAACGCCTACTAAGTTTTACCACATAATATATTATTATTATCATCATCATAACAGTTTTTCCGTAGAGATTTATTGACTAATCATTTGCAAAATCTAATCAGCTGGACATGATGATTCATAATTATATTGAGTATGACTAACTCGATTAAACTCGATTTACTTGATTATCTAATATAGCCTAATAATAGTTGGCGAGATTATTCTCTGAGTGTGCTCGGCTAAATTGACGTAATATTCTTGAAGGGCTTCTACTTGTATGATCTGGTCTGCATCAGTCAACTTCAACTCATTGATTTTGGTATCCTTATGCTAGTCTTTAACACAAGAGAAATATGGAAAATTCTAAATTAAGTCAACAGTTGCGTGTTTTACTCATCGATCTTGGCGATTCTTCTTTTACTTTTTTCTTCTTTCTGAAGCATGCATAATGTATTTCCCTTGCTCTTTAAGTCCAACTCTTTCCTGCTGACTTCCTAATATCGTCTTCCCACCTTTTAATTTGTTTCTTCTACATCTTATGTCTGGTACCTAAATAGACAACCATTACAGCCAACTATGTAATGTTTTTTGTCCATTTATGGTTGTATTAATGTAGTTATCTCCCCAGTTCACTTTTAAATTTTCTTTATGATTGTTTAAAAATTTAATTGAAGACATATTTAGTATTAAAATGTTTCAGAGTGTCCCCGATGGGATAGAACCAGTGGTGGGATCGCCACAAAGAACCGCCATTTCACAGACGTCTCCAAGTCGACCGGCGCCTGAACAGATCTCTGGCACGGTAAGACATAGAGCTAGACTAATATGAACACAAATAATTGCATGCGAGGACTGGAACCTGCGACCATTGGGTGTAAGGCGGTGTGTTGAACCATTAGACCTCCAAGGAAGTCATATATGTTGTATAATACATATTAGAACTGCATTAAAACAATATATACTATATTAATACAATATATAGATTACTTTCTTATAATTAGTTTTTTTTTAATTGGGGGTTACATTTTTAGGGTACACTTATGTATGTTAGGGGTACTCAACTTTTAATTTTATGACTATTCTGTAGGGAACTGTAATTGTGTTTGTTTGTCTATAGGTGACACTGTCCGAGAGTCAGATCAGCAAGCTGCGCGCCGACTTGGCTGTGGTGGAAGGCAACATGAGCGTGATGAACGACATGCTGAACGAGCTCACCACGCAGCCGCACACCAACCACCACCAGAGCGACATTGAATTGCTAAACGTTAGTGCTCTCATCTTTACAAAGTTTAAAATAAAGTCGCCACCGCTGTGTGTTACCTTATATCTTTTAAATTATGCAAAGGATTTTAATGCAGTTTTCTGCAATAGATAGTGATTCAAGAGGAAGCTGTATATGTATAATACATATATTATGTCTGATGATTGAATGTATTAAAATTGTGGTAGTATGGGATGATAATGATATGGAGCCATATGTAACAAGCATCATTAGTCTTAAGCTTCACCACATATCTCAAAGGGTTTATTTTAGGAGCTGGCGGACACAGTGCGCGCGATGCAGTGCCGCGTGGCGGAGCTGGTGGCGCGGCTCGCGGGGGAGGCGCCGCTCACGGCCGACCTGCTGCACGCCAACGACGCCCTCAACAACCTGCTGCTGCGGCACGCGCGCTTCCTCAACAACAGGTACAGTAGCCAAGCCATGTGCCATGTCCGTCGGTGATGTCGCTGCTTTGTATTGTATGATATCACCGACGACGACGGCTCTATTGTCAAAAACTATTCCTCAATTTGTCCACAAACTTTAACAATAATAAAAGTGTATATATCCGTATGTGTGTCAGATACTTGGTAGTATGTGTAATGTTTTTTTTATTGATTTAATGTATAAATAAATAAATATTAGCATTCTGCACTCCTATATAAGCAATAAATATTCGAAATTTCGTATACCTCCGTCCGCGCAATTATTTTCAATACTTAAACAGGAGTACAAAACTTTTTACTTCACGTATCAATATAATACATACATATTAAAACACGTTTGTCTCAAAAATAGGAATGCTGCAACTGGTGGCGCCACGCCTTCCGCCATTTTGGGTGCCGCTATGGGAGTGCCCGGCTCTACTGAATCACGTATGTATACATTTTTAATTGAAACTGAAGTAGTTGCCGGAGGCTTCGCCCACACATGACCGAGATATGAAATAGCTTATTGAGAAGTACTACTCTATGCTAAACGCTTTGCAGTATGCCATATGTCATGATGAAATTAAGATACGAAATATGAAGTTAAGATTCGAACTTTCGAACTTTTCATATACATTGAAATGTTTCTAACTTTTAAATGTAACTGTATTTTTTGCATCCGTATTTTTCACAATAAAATCTCCCGATTTGTGATATTATCATATATTCTTTTTACAATTAACGTCAGTGTTGATATCATAATAATTTCGTAATTCAAAGAATAATACTCCCTAGTATTAGGGAGAGGAGGGTATATGTAGTAAGTATTGTTCTATATTTCCAGCAAAGAAGACAGAGGATGATGCACTTATAGATCTCAGCGATGATGTACCTGATATTGCCAAATTGAGTAAGTATTTTTTTAAATTATTTTGAAGTCATTTCAACCACTCACAGTTCACTTCTAAACATCAGCAAGTTATTAATTTTAACACTGTTTTAAACGTCCCGCACGACTGTTTATACAAATTATGGAAACACTCTATACAACACTCTAATAATATTATATAGGAGGAGATGAACTGTGGATGTAAACATTTATTATGAGCTTATAAATCTGATTAAATAATCTTAGTATTTTACTAACCACACCTACTACCACTGAAAAACACTCGATAGTCACGACAAAATGTTTATTTTAATTTATATTTCAATTTTTCAAGTGAAATTAATAATTTATAAAAATAATCGTTGCAGCTGTGAAGGACGCCCAACCGGGCAAATCTCCAGGCAGTTCCAAAGATGAGTTTGATATGTTTGCGCAATCTCGGAATGTCTCCTATGAAACCTCCAAAACTGGGTTAGTCATAATTTTAATAAGATATAGAATAATAATAAGTTTAACTAATAATAAGTCAATAAGCTTCGTATATGCAGAGACTAACTTGTGAAAATATCCACAAACGCATTATATGTGTCATAGTTATTTTTTTTTCAATATCTGGCAAGGCTTTTCAATTTATGAGTATCACTTGGTGTTTGTATTAATGTGAATTTATATTACGAAAATATTTTACAAAAAGTGACGTACTTTAGTTTTTGTAAAATATTTTCGTTATGTAAAAACACTTCAAATTTCACAGTAGGCCACGATTTTCATTTTCATTAATACATTTAAAGCAAGAGTGGGTCACTATTTTTTGAAATATTTATAATACACATGTAAAAGTGTATCTAAACCAGAAATTGAAATTCAGGTTCATTTATAATAATAAAATACCTCTGTAAAACTGTACCTATATTTTTAATTCTCTTACTATTAGTGGAAGCACTTACGCGGATAATTCAGAGGAACAAGCAACGGGCGGACTGGCGGCATCCGCTAGCCTGCGCGCTACACAAGCGCAGCCGATGGTGAGTGTTTACCTTATCCACTTCTGTCTATATGATATTCACAATGCTAAAAGCATGGTGAAGACATAACCTTTTAGAAAAGAACCTTTCCATCCGGACCTCAAATAATTTGGCATAATGATTTCATCCCTTTAAACCCAATCTATATAAATATTATGTATATCTCGTGAAAATCTATTCAAGATAAACATAAAAAGATTGGAGCGATCCAACTGTGTAATGTCTTAATACACTAACTCGATACAGAGAAAACATAAAAAATATTGTTTCAAATTCGAAATTTAAATATCTTCTCATGTTCTGTTTATTTTTTATATAAGTATTTTTATTTTTTAAACCGATTTCAATTATTTAAATAAAAGTACCTATTAGTTATATTTTGAAACCTTCCTATGTTTATTTTTCTTCTATATATTTTTCTACAGCCGTCGGGTATGGATCAGAGAGAAATAGATGAGATAGCCGCTTGGTTAGCGCAAGAGAAGGTGTGTTTTTATATTTTTATTTTGTCATTATCATTTCGGTTTTTTCGTAACATTATAATATATACATTTTTTTTTTCATTATTCACCTTCTGCACCATTTATATAATTATTTTAAATGCAATATACCTTACACCATATACATAGAAGATTGCTTATCCACAATTTGTGTATATACTCATATTGCTGACCTTATCGTTACAGTATCCTTCATTGCCCTTTGTGGATCGTTAACGCACATTTTTATGCAGATCGGATAAACTATTTAAAAAGTTTACACGAAGATTTTCTATTAAATTTATAGTTCTTCATGTTCATTAAATACTCCATGTTACACTATACATAATTATACATGATATAGGTTTGTATCCCATTCTTTTTATTTATCAATTTATGAAGCTATAAATGTGTTGTATTAGTACTAAAATGACATATAATATCTTATATAGTTTAGGAGTGAGATATACTATTTTTTTGTTTTCAATCTCTACTTGAGTAACAAAATGTTATACACATACATTGTATTTATTTTTACAATTGGAGTTGCAACCAAGCAACAGCCTACCAGATGGAAGGTGATAATCGTGCCCATAGACATGAGCCATCATTATAGGCATCAAAACACTAAACACATTGTAACAATTATATTGCTCTATAGCTTTGTCATTCCTAAGAACTGTTATGCTTCAAAGTCATATCCTATTCTTCAAACGCGATGCCAGTTCCAGAAATAATCGAAATAGATACTCTCGGGGAAAACTCACGATTTTGTCTTATTCTATATATCCTGTTGGCAGTCGCTAGCATTTACAGCTTTACCAAACTATAAAAGGGCTACTGTAGAAGGCACTCCAAACCCCGAAGGCCTTATAAGGCAACTGAAGGTTAAAGCCTGACGAATACGAATAGACGTTTGAACTTCGACTCCAGCTATCGTAATTTCAATCTCTCTTTGAATGTGATACTTAATAGAATAGAATAGAATAATATTTATCACAACACAATATGTAAATAGAAAAAATTGACCAGAGAGACTTTGTACCAAGTCGTATATATTTTTTCTATACTGAACTTTTTATACTACGATGGTGGCAAACAAGCATGCAGTCCATCTGATCGTAAACGGTTACCTGTAGACGCCTGAGATACCGGGGGCGTCACGTGCGCGTTTCCGACCCTTAAGAAACCTTAATAAATAGTCTACACTTTGGCCATCATATTATTGGTCAATTTTGATGATCAAACAATATTCCACATCTGCGTCCAGTATAATAAATACATTTTAATAAAACAGGCTGCAACCGAAGCTAATGGCGCTCAAGAGAGCGTGACCAGCAGCGATTTCGATAAATTCTTGGCTGAGCGCGCCGCCGCCGCCGACAACTTGCCCGCCGCCACAGCCGCCACCGCCGCTACCACCGCCACCAATGCCACCACCGCCACACCACAACCCACCCCTCGACACCGGCAGATCAACAAGGAGGGCCAGGACTCCATGTTCGCGCTCTGATATGTTTCACCACCTACGCCGGTATAAACCCCAGACTTTTCTGCGAACGTCTAAACCATTTCTAGTTGTTCCGTCAACTACATTCTAGAGGGAACGAGACGGAACGACCCGAAATTGACTTTTATTTGTTCGCGGCAGAAACTGGTTTACACTAGAGTAATACTTGCACTTAGTACGTTATTGTACGTCGATAATCTTCGCTTTGATTACGATAGTGTTTTATTCGTGAGTCACAACGACAGCGATGTATCTAAATACAACATACTGATAATTAGCGATACTGCTTGAGCCATTTTACATCTTCTGCAGTACTGTGTAATGTCTATGATTGAATGAGATATACTATCATCGTGACTCAGTGATAGCGCCTGTTTATGACTAATATTGATAAAAGTATCAATTTGTTAATAAGTAATATACGGTTTACCTTTAGTCTGACTTGCAACTGTCTAGGGATACAACGGAAATTTTTATATACATATAATTTATTATTAATGTTATATACATTATTGTTAACTGTTGTAGTTTTATTAAAGTTTGAGGCAAAGCGCTCTATTCTATCTGAGCTCAAAGAATAAAATACTAAGTGCTTGAATAAAATGCTAATGTAAACCAGATTAAAGTCGTTTTAATTTCTATAGATAAAATTGACAATCGTCAACATCGTGTCTGCCTCAAAAAGTCCGCAAGTAATATTAATAATAAAATTTGAAATGCACTTTCATGGATCAGATATAAGAAACATAATTATGTTTTTTCAAGTAGACCTTATGAAAAATACTTGAATGTAATTTGATCCAAGAAGAATTAATGAGAAACTCTGCTTTCAATCTTTTCAAATGACATTTACATTATGATAAAACATGCATATTGCAGTTCAGTATGTTCTTTATATCAGTTCTTATTTAATAAGGGTTATTTTAAAATACAACTGACCGAAATATTTTATACCTATCTACAGAAACTATGATTAGGTATTTATTTAAAATAATATTTTCTATTCATAAAGAATAGTAGGGCGGCATGATTATTGTCTACATTGTCATTTTTGTCTATGGTAACAATTGTAACATGAGTATACAGCCTAGAGGCAAAGAGCCGTGTGCGTCGCGACTCGCACTAAGAATTTCATATTTGAGATATTTGCAAATAGAATATATAACACCCAATAATGTTGGAATGCCGGCGAATGACATTCACATATCATTCCATTGAAGGCGGTTATGAGTAAGAATTTAAATATTTTTATATTCAGCGTAAAATCTCAAATGCGGAATTAGCGATTAGTCATTAAAATTATCGATTTTGCATTCAACCATAATGTTGTATGAGTGACCAGGCTTTTTTGTAGCAGTTATTAGTACTTCAATATGATTATCACAATTAATCCACATACCGTTTGGTGCCTGGCTAATAGTTAATATTGAAATATTTTAAGCTGTCTAATAAAACAATTTATTATCTACTAAGGCCCTGATACACAGTCTGTTAGAGGGTGGGGCCTATCAACTAAATGCACCAATTGAAATACAACAGAACGATAGTTGCATTCAGGTAACTTGATAACTAACCAACTGTATATCAGCTGCCTAATTTTAATTGTAATGGAAATTATCGAATGTAGTTGCGATACCATTCTATTTGTATGTTGTAATGAATTAATAATTATTATAACAGTTAATAAAAGTATTTTACAGCTACAATTAACGCTAACGTAATGTTATTATGGCATTTAGAGTTATAAAATAATTGATCAAGTAATGAATGAAACAGCGACTAATATAACCATCGACAAAATAATATCATTCAACTTAAAATACTTCGATGTCAATAAAATTGTAATACATAGATCATACTGGACGCATCATCGACTATTTTTAGGATAAGTTTTACATTAAGTAGATTTCTTTAATATATAACGTGTGTAGTATTCACGAGACCACGGGAGCATTTAATACAAGACCACTGGTTTAAAAACATCAATTGTATTGTAATTCAAAATTACGATTTCATAGTATTCGAGTGTGAGCGCTGATGGGGCGGAAATGTGATAAGTATTGTTTATATAAAGATATTACGGTGTTTTATTTTATTGTAAAAACAATTATTTTATTAGTTTTAGAATCTTTACTCGAGATATTCTCTAAAATAATGACACGAATAATGATAATGTTTGATCAACCGCATATTAGTTAGACGTCGTTATTGGTTTGTTGAGATTTGTTTTATGGATTGGTTATAACTTTAGAGCATAGATTTTTAACATGTAATTAGGGACCATTCTTAAATTACGTCGCACCAAATTTGAAGGGCAAGAATTTTACGAGTCCGCGAGAGTCGTCAACCGAAATTATTTGAATTAGTAAATTGAATCCTAACGTTAGAGCAATTACATTAACTATTGCAGAGGAATTTATACTGCAACTACAAATGTTGAAAATATCAACAACATAAATTACACTAAAAATAAAGGTAAAGCAACTTTATATTTGCAAAATTAACTTGAACTAAGAATAACTTGAATCAAGAAGGAAAGTCATTACGGGCAAACAATACGTACGGAAAGTGGAATATATTGGCCCAAGAGGTCCAGTTAAAGGCTAAAAAATTAACAACAAAAAATTAGGGACAAAATACAAATAACAATGTTTCAATAATTATATACAACAGTAATTTTGCGACGCTTAATCTGTGACGTAATTTATTGATGCTCCCTTATGTATACATTATTTTTTACCAGAAAATATTAACCCTATAATGAACGCAATGGTATATTGTCTGCTTTTAGGCAATACTGAGCTCGATTATGTATTGTTATTGTCTCTATATAGCATTGAGTTTATACTTATTGTACAAAATGCGTAAAATTCAGAGAACTAGGGTATTCTAAGAACAATAACTAAAATTACATTGATTGTTAAACACTTTGGGCTCCTCAGCTATTTTGTTAAACATTTTTAAGACAAATACATATAAATAAGATACAAATATTCTAGGTGTTTGCTATGTAATAAGTATAACGTTGATAGAAACACATACATATAGCTACGCTCTATGGCACGGGTGCATGTTTTCCTTAAAAATATCGCTTCATTTTATAATTAATTTTCTACTTATATTTTCAAGCTTATATAATATTTTTAAGGAGTCTTCTTGTAATTTTGTCTTGTCTAATTTTGATAAAGTGGACTATGAAGTTAAGCAAAGAGCAATCAAAATTGATTATACATTTCATACCGTGTTTGATGATCTTTGAGTTTATTTGTCTAAGTGGAAATGTATATACACTATCTACATCTATCATTAGGTAAAACGGACACCTCAAAAAATTTCATTGAAAATACTTACATCGTCTTTTGCGCATTATGTCTAGCTGAAGATGAATTTACTGATCAAATTGGATTTTCTGCCTCTTCATTTTCAGTGATTATTTTTTTATTTTATACTTTAGGTTATCTGTATTTAGATGATATTCTTTTATAAATATATTATTAATAGTCTACATAATAGTGTATATCTGGATGATATATATATATATATATATATATATATTAGCGCCACATACGAACAAATTCTATAGATTTACGTTGGCTTCACTTTAGAAATTAGAGTAATTTGTGATCTGTATTCTAACTTACCCCGCCTATTATAATTAGTGCACAAATAAATAAGGTGAAGATTTGACTTGCAAGAACTACCTACCGGCCTGGGTACTGGTTGGTAGCATCATTTAAAGATATAACGGCGTTTAAATAAATCATACACGGGAGTTATTTTTATTGACGCGTGTAGCAAATTGAATGAATGTATCGTTTATACTACTAATAAATGCACCTACAATGAAAACAAAAAGCATGAAATTATATTGCATTCAACACATATGTAAGTTAAACGCGTCTAAGAATAGGGCATGAAAGTAATATTATTCGAAATTGAGCACATGTATCATAGGACGAAGATTCTTGATAAATATTGCTAAGTGTTGATATATATGTATTTATTTTACTACGGTAATTACAGTAGGTACACTGCTTTTTATACCGGAACATTATATTGTTTAATATTTGTTATTATAAATATACCTACTTATTAAAGTTACCCAATTATGTTAATCCTTTGTACCAAAGTATCTAATGTACTGACAAATTTAACCATTCCATTTTGTCTCAATTAAATGTTCTTTTGGTGTTGATGTGATAATTTGAACAGAACAAGCTTAATGTTATAAAAGAGTTAATTTATGTTGTAATAATCGTTGTATTTAAGATAATAAAACAATTATCATACCAGACGTTTTTCATTATAATGTTCTGCCAAGCGTGAAATTTAGCGGCGTTCCGATCACGTGATTCTTTCGTCGATTGTTTTATAGAATCAAGTGTCTTTGATTACAGGATTTCACTGTCACCGGTAAACATCGCTCGTAACTAATGTCCGGAAATGCATATTGCCACTTCCATTTAAATTAATTAGTTGAAAGTGTCAGATTAATGTTAAAATAATAATAAAAATGAGCCCTACTACGTTGGTTAGAGCAAGATTATACACATTACAGGCAAATGTTTAAAAGCGTTATTGCGTTCGTAGTAGTGTAATACAACCACTAAAACTAGAATAAGTTCATTACGTGAAACTTCAAACGCACGCGTGAAACGCACTTTCGCGTCAGTTATTTGTAGGTAGCGTTAGAAATGAAACGCCATTTTTTATTATTGTTTGACTAATGCATCATTGTTTTGATCATTCCACGGCCTCTGTGGTCTAGCGGTTTAGCACAACACATTACTTCTGATAGTCGCGTGTTCTATTCCTCGCACGATGTCAATATTTTTATTCATGAGGATGTCTGTCTGTATAGTTTTGAGTGTTTTCTAGTTAATGTATGTATTTAAAAACTTTAAGTATTTCTATCAGTTGACTAATGTATCCATAATACAAGCTCTGCTTACATTGGAAATTATTTAGAGAAATTTACTTTTAATAAGTATATGACTATAAAAATAAGAAATATATATATATACGGATAAAGTAGGGTCAGCCGATAAATATACACAAATTTATCTATTGACCCTACACTATTAGAAACGTAAAAACGTCTAATACATATAAGAAGGGATAATGAATAATTTGTCAGTTTTAAAATAATTAGTTATAACAAAATAGAACTTAATACGTAACAATGAAAAACAAAAGTCCATATCTTTTTTTATTTATCAATTTCTGTATTCACAATAAATACACAAAATGCAGGTTTGGCAATGTACTAAGTATGCATATTTACATTACATTAGAATTAAATAGAAAAATATGGTTAGATTAGCATGTTTAATTGATCAAATTGAAAAGCACCTCAATTTTTACCACAATATAAAATAACAGGAAACTCCAACAGAAACAATACAAAAATACATAATTGATATAACAATTTTCGACTTATATAATCTATTTCTTGTGATGAAATAATAATATAACTTAATAATTTGTCATATAAAAAATAGTTTAATTATAAAATAACAAAAACACTTGTTCGATGTACTAATGTATCTTGTACTAAGGAATGTGCAAAACAATATTCAATTATGATACAGAAATTATAAATACAATTAGTATTGTACATAAACTAAGTTGCCGCTGGTTATATACTAAATAAATTATGCATACACCGAATAAGTTAAGTGGGCACACCGGAGAGATCTGATACTTTAACGTTGCATTTATTAAGAGTATTTTTACGTTAAATATCAATATATTGTTTAAACATAACGAGATGGTAAATGAAGTACAACCTCAATACAATTTAGATAATAACAGTCTAGCAAATCAAATGCAAATTAGTTTTATATTAAGTATAAAAGTAAATTATGATCTATACAGAACTATAACTATGGAAGTCTCATAAGAGTAATAGAGCCGAGAGCTTATAACTCGTCCCTGGCTGGTGCCTCCTCTTCTTCTTCATATTCGCTCTGCAACAGACATGGTCATCATGTATTTACATTATTTTAATATACTTATTCACTAATATTATATCCGAATGGTAGTATAAACCATTATTACCAAAACTATATATTACGTGTTTCACCCCTTAAAATTATCGCAATGACTGCAGAACAAAAGATTATTGATAGTTCTTAGATATACACAGGCTGCATGGTATAGAAGTGTGAAGTGTCACAAGACAATTTATAATCTAATATAATTAGTAGACCACAAAAGTAACCAAAGATCACTTAATAACGTTTTAAATAAAAATAATAGCGCAATGACTGGAGAGTTCAAATACAAAGTAGAAAATTCAACATTTTTCATGACAACTGTAGAAAATGTTGGTTACAGATAACATCATTACCGATCATACTAAATCGCATCATTTGTAGGCGGTATTACGTTCCAAGACCAAATGACAAATTATAATTAATATTAAAAAAACCTTGCATTTTTGTTTATTTAATTTGTAAAAGGAACTATTATTATGCTGTTATCTTCCTGTTCTTAACAGAACATCAATTGGGATGTAGTCATATTATACCTTAACATCTGTTAAGCCATAAGGGATAGTCCGAGACTCTTAATTGTTGACGGCATGGTTAACACAACACTCGACATATGTACATTTCGCACAAAGATATAATTGAAGACAATATAACAGAGGTCGAGCCTACCGCCATTTCTTGTATTAATTTGGTTTCTTACCGGTGTCTCCATCACAAGAGTTAGTCAGAAATGTGTATTCTTCTATATTATACCAGGTTTCCGCTTATATTCATGATTATGTTGTTTAAAAATAAAGGGGAGTAACTTACCACACTAGGTACAGGTTCTGCGCCTTCGCCGTCCGTCTCAACGAACTTCGTGAGGGCGGCCAGCGTCCTCTCACCGTTGTAATCTCGAACCTATGCCATGTGATTGATTAATTCAAAATTACAGTTCATGTATACTGCTTGTGACATAAACTAGGTGGTAGCAGTTTTAATGGTAGCTATGTTCTTTTGAAATCTTGTCGAGTATAGACCTAAGAAGTGGGAGATATCACGTGACTTAGACATTTCATTTTATATACATTAATTAAATAGTTCACACATACATAAATAATAAAATAACATAATTGACTTAAAGAATAAATGGGAACAATAACGGACGTATCCCTAAAGAGAGATTTCTTCCAGTCAAACTTAGAGTGACTAAGTGGAATTGTGGAGTGGTGGAAATAGTACGCGTCACAATGAAATATATACACGAATATATGCAGACATAAATAAATTATTATACGTTGTTTGATAGCTTTAGTATACGCTCCACTAAATACAGATTTCCAATGTGAATAGTTTTAATATCTATGTAAATTACTACATTTACTTTTTATATACACTAACAATAATGTTAACTAGGTAACAACATCCGTTGTTATGTAGGTGATGTATACAAGTAACTATTTCTCGAATGCTAACATAAAAATCAGCTTGCGTGATCGTTAAACGTTACATTAATTGTTCCGTTCCATTATCCTATGTGGAAATTTGATTTAAAATTAATATAATGAAACTTAATAGTATTTATACATATACGTACAGTATATAATTATGAAACCATAAAATCATGAAATGATGAAACTTCCACTTTTAATGGAATATAGTGCATTATTTTTAATTTTAACTTATAATTTGCAAACTTCGTATTATTTTCGAGATAAGAAATTTGAAATTAAATTTATTATTTATAATTGTATGCATCAATGCGTCTTTTATTTTAAATTAAAATGTCATCCTTATTACCTACTTTTTCTTTAAAAAAATTAATAGAAATATTCTTTACATACAAATTTTATTTTAAACCATTGTGTACGGATCTATTGTCAACTTTACAATGTAGATTTAACGACAGATACGATACAAACAACACGCCATACAACTATTTTTTATAGAAAAAATAAATTAAATTGTATTTACTGCTCTCTATATCCACTGAGTGTCTCCATCAAAAGCAACGGGCAAGAGACCTGAAAACGTAAACACATACCTGGTTATCCTTTGTGTACAATTTGATGGTGGGGAAAGATGTGATCTTGGTGTGCTCCAGCTCGTTGGCAGTTGCGTCGATCTTCGCGATAACTACGTCATCATCCTTCTCGAAATGCTCGCCCAGTTTGTCGTAAATGGGCACCAGTTGCTTGCAGTGGCCGCACCTTAACAATGCATAATGGTATTTAATTACTTTTAATCTATGAATGAAATGTAGGTTTTTTTCATGTAATCATTATACTTTTTAAAATACATTAGTTGACAATAATAATTAAACTAGGTCTGACGTCGCGACATCTGAATTGTGGTAAAAAGTATTCTACGTATTAATCGAGAATATTTTTGTATATAATATGCATACAACTTAGTCTCGTAGTCTTAAACTAACAAACATCCACTCTCAAAAACTTTTGCGTTTATAATATTAGTGAGATATTTTAGTCTTTGACAATGTGCAATATATAAAATACTTAGAAATGTATTGAATCGTAGCTTTATCCCCACGTTCCAAGGCTGGGCTTGCGGTCAGATTGTAACTTTCCTATACTGAGATGACGGTTCGTTTATAAAGCTTATTTCAAGTCTCATTTAGAGTTGTTCTTGCGCTGGAGTGTTACGGTTTTTATGCTCAGAATTATTACAATAAAGGAAAGACACTTAGTATTTACGTACGTATTTACCCCATTAAGTTATCTTATCACACATAGACATATACAGATATATATATATATATCTGGGATATATATATAGGAAACAGAAAGTTATTAAAAATAAACAATACTAATGATTCAGTTTGTAACTCGACTTGGCAACAATAACAATGTATTTAGACTAAATTATTATCACTCCAAGCTACCCTTTGACCTTTAAATTATTATTCAGACTTTCTGTTCAATTAACCATAACGTGTCAACAAAAATCTACATAATGAACTGTTTCTGAACCATTGAGCGATGATAGAACGACTTTTGTCACAAGCATTTATTAATTATGGTTCATTGAATACATCCCTAACAAGACAGTTTGATACCACCTACACTGTTGCTAGGAAATAACTACAGTAGGGTTGTCAATACTGTCTTAGTAATAATACCATTACAGCTATCCCCAATGATTTTTTTAAGGAAAGTTTTTTAGAACACCTAATTAAAGTGAATAAATACATTACACTTTAAACTAATGACGAACAAACAGATTAAAATTTTAACAATCATTGTTTTGCTGTCAGAAATCCAATATTTAAAAGGGGTTAAAGACTACTTTTCTTAATTCCATTACATTTTTTGTATTATGCTGGATGAAATCTTATCATAAAGAGATAAAACATTATCGATCACTTGCTCAAATACGTGTCGGTTGATATTTACTTATCGATTAAAAATAGGTTTCGAACAAAGAGCGTGAAAAATTATTATTTTCTTTTGTAAAGGCGGTAACACATGAGTAAATATAATACATATGTGATATATTCAGTAAACAGCTAAACGCGCCTTACTATGCCGTGAATATTACAAGTTTATGTACCAGTAACCTATAACGCTATTAAAACTTAAAAATCTATGAGATTGTATCGGAAATTAAAAACAACTCGAAAATTGCCACAGATTACGCAAATTAATGTTTGGTTGTTGAATTTATTTTCATAAAAACAAAATATGATCTCCCTATCTCTCTTAATATCTAATATAAGCATTGACAACTTATATTATTTTATTTTAAACAACCCGCCCTGGCTTCGCACGGATGTATTATATAATTATAAATCTTCGAATTTCTCGAATATACGTATATATTACTGATGCGTATGTAGACCTCTTTCTGCATTAATTTGTGTTTATTTCGAAAGAAAAGATATTTATTGTTTTTTGCATTCTGTCATTGAGTAATAAAAGAGCAAACTAATAAGACGGATATTTTAATTAATACATATTCCTCTTCAATTACTATATCTATTACTGAAACCTGCATTAAAATCCGTTGCATAATTTAAAAGATATAAGCGAATAGACAGCGGCTTCGACTTTGTTTTATACTATGTAAAGGTGCATCATCATTTCGCCATTAATATAACATAGTATGATATTAACGTGAAAATTGTATATAATTGTAGAATAGATTTCCATTTTAACTTAAAGTCATGCCTAAAAACTAAGGTGATTTCTCCAAGACTTCCTCAAAAATATAGCCCCACGAACTGTATAAAACGAAACTAAGGAGTTTTTCTTAACATTTCCTTAGAAATAAAGCCACGCAAGCACTGCTACGTGGCTGAATAAAACGAGTGACCTTGTAGAACAAATGCGACAGATCACACGCAGGTCTTAACATTGTACAGTCAACTTCACATAGCAATGTTGAGAATGAACTTATTATCTTTTACTAGGTATTAAATACAGATTTCAATACCTACTTTTGTTAATACATACATAGAAAACCAGAACAATAAGGATGTATATGTAAATGTAAAGTAGGTATATCTCACATGCTCCTATTGCAAATACCTTGATGTTATAATATAGCCTTCCTCAATATAACACTAGCAACTTTTTCAAATCAAACCCATAGTTTTTAAGATCGATGGATTCAACAAAACAAATTACTATAAACTAGCTGACCCGCGCAACTTTACCTGCATCACACTTACTTCACATTCATTATTTGTATTTCGGCCAATTAACATAATATATTTTTAAATTATAGCCTATGTGTTTATTCTGATAGCTATATTAATATAAAGTTTCAACAAAATTATATGTTCAATAGTTTTTCTTGAAAGAGTAACATCCATTCATCCATCCATCGATACTCACATACTTTCGCGTCTATAATATTAGTAAGATAAGATACATATCTTACCAGGGAGCGTAGAATTCAACGAGGACCCTCTTGTTGCTATCGAAGACGACCTCATCGAAGTTAGTGGCGACGAGAACCTTGACGGGCTTCTCGGACCAGTCTGATGGCAGGTCTTCGCTGAGCAGGTGTTGTTTCAATGTACCGGCGAAGAACGATTGTACAAATTCCTATATAAAACATAACATTAGTAAATAATAATCATTTATGACAGTGCAATGGCGGTCCTAAGTTTACTTAAGTATTTTTTTTAATATACATTCTCTTCTGTTGTGTACTTTCGGCAAAAGTTTTAATTGTTTGATGTGTTTCTCTGGAGGGGATGATAAGTTATAATATAAATTATAGAAATACAATGTAAATATTACGGGTACTAGGCAACTGATAAAAATATTTAAAATAATTTTTTAATACATATATAATATACATAGTAAACACCCAGACTAATAATAATAACAATCATACTCATGAATAGAATAGAAATCATTTATTCAAATAAACTTAATTTAAGCACTTTGGAATAGACATAGTTAAAAATAACGAGAAAGAAATTTGCGTGTTGCTCTTTTAAATAATCATTGTAACTTTATATTTCCAAATCGAAACGTGCGAATACATGAATTCAAATATTTGCATCGTGCAAGGAATTGAAACTGAGACCTACGGAAGTAAAGCGGTTTACTAAACCCTTAGACCACCGAGATTTTTAATACATATTTCAAGTATTATGAGACAGTAAAGAGAATATGTTCTGAACAAGAACAACGATGATAGTCCAAAATTTAAAATTCACTATTACAATTCTACTAACATATGTTATCGTCGTTCGTCTACCAATTATATACAATAATAAAATAGCAATTTCATTGCATATTTATGTCTAATTTGCAAGCACGATAATGTAGTAATAACGTTGACGCGTCATGGTTGGGTTGGCATCGCCGCAAAGGTAACTGTACGGTATCGTACGCGGTATGCCATTGTTTTCATAACACAAGCTATGGTTAATTGAGATATTAATTGAACGGGATATTGTAGCATTGTAAATTAATGATTGTAATAAAAGCCGTACATACATATGATAATACTTCAATATTCAATGTTTCGTGATTAATTTGGTACAAATATACATTGTACATGGAAATATAAATGGGGAAGGGAATTGACCTATTAGCCCCATTCCCAGTAGTAATATACTCAGTCAAGAATCTCAAGAATAATGAATGATGTACGAAAGTAATATAGCTTTCAAATTACATTATGTATTTAATTTTTTTTTTGTAAAATAACAATAAAAATATACCTGTAGATAGATTTTATCTTTAATTATTACTAGTAATTCTATTATCTAATTATAGTAGATAAAATTGGTTGAATAACAATAAATAAACTGACCTGCTTAATCGTACTAACATGGTTTCACTGCATTATAATAATATGAAATGTATGAAAGGTATTTCAATAATTTTATGTTGTTATAGTACAAGGTAACTTCAGTGAGAAGTAAATCTTATTTCGAAACACCTTACATTGAACTAGACATGCCCACTTTATTCAAGCCAACAAGCGCCGTATAGTTTGTTACCAGTGTTTCGATCAACAAAGTGTAGTCAGCAGGGTTCGTCAATATATATCATGATATATGTCACGATATATATCAATTGATTTTTATCTTGATAAATATCAATTGATGTTTTCCTGTCTTCTGAACAAAAAGTTTTGGAGATTAATGTTTACCCTGGCAACACGTAGCGAAAAACTACAATTCAGAATAATTTTGATTGTTTCCCAAAATGGCAACCTCAGTTAAAGTTGGGGAAATCCCCTTTAACTTACCAGTACGGCTAGCTTTTTATTGAAATTCAAACCTTAACTTCATATCAGTATATTGTAAACTTACCTCAACAGCATTTGCGCTAAGTTCGTCAGTGGCAGGCTTGTACTTGGCCATATCTTGTTCGAGAGCAATGAGACGGGCGGATGGTACTTCCTCCTTCTTCATGCCGAAGAACTCCAGGATTCTATAAAATAATATCTAATTAATTCTATATAAATATTAGTAGTATGACTAAAATATCAATAATTCTATATAAAAACACATAATATTGATATACACAATACATTAATATTGATGCAATAAATTCTAATGAAAATCTATTGCAATAAGATTTCTAATGAGAAGAGTTCATATAATGTTTATTACACATCGCGATTTGAGATAAGTAAAGTTGTAATGAGTTTAATATCAAATAATTTAGTGAAAAATATTAATTGCAATAGTTTGGAATTAGAGTGGCAACAGCAACATGTGGTGACGGTACAAAAACACATCTCACCAATCTTATCCAGCCCATACATACAATATATATATCAGAATAAAATAAAAATAAACTCCAATTGAAACCATATTTTAACTAATCTAAAGCTTTTGCCCACAGTAGGCTTTACAGTTACAGGACGAAAATTAGGACGTGTACAGAACGCACTTCAAACCTATGGAGTGGCTAAAGGCTATCCCTTAGGCAAATGTTGATGCCTAAGGGATACGACTATGGGATTACACCTCGATGTAGACCATCGTAATTTCGATACCCGTTGGACTACCATAAGAAATCAATCGTAGATGCTCAATCCTATATTAAGCTGTTTGCTCTACAATCAGGCGAAAAACGTTTTCAGTAGTGGAACAAAGAGCTGTAATAAAGATAATGAAAGTTTGAATATTTCATAGACGTGGTAAACCATAAAGCTAAAACGATTAAGAATGCATGATTCTAACATTAAACGTACAATATCTCCCGCAGGGAGCGTGTACCGTAACCAAATAATGTAAATACATGATGTGTAGCGAGTGATGATTATGATGTACTCGTAATATATCAACATAACGATTGTAACATACTATTTAACAAACATATTTCATCTAATTGTAATAAATAATAAGGGAATTTCGTATTCATCTAGTTTGTTAATTAAAAACCGTGACTATTACAAGATACCGTTTATATTAATGAATTTATAAGTTAGTTACTAATTTATAAATAGTATAAAGTAATTAAAAGTCTTGTATCAATTATTCTCGACTAATTCGATCGATACGATCAAACAAATTCATAATTTATTAATTAAAATAATATTCCTCTAATTAAAGTAGATAAAAAGCCTAGTTTCAGAGTTAATTCCGGAAAGCTAGTTATATTTACAGATTATTATGACTTACATATTGCGTATAAAAAGTATTAAGTATGTAAGTAAATAATAATATTCAGAATTCGTAATTAAAGTTCAATGTTAATTTTATATCGGTCGTAAAACTCGCACCAAAATTATTGAAATGGTATAAGGTATTGGATAATTAATCATTGTGTCATTGCTCATAATCAACATTAACATATGAGTGTATATTATAGTGACAGTTTACTTAGGAGAATATAATTTATTAAATTAATAATTATTATTTTTAGTGCTAAAAACTTTCCCTTGATACTAATGCGTGTATTATAAATAGCTGGTTCGGTGGAGGTGGTGGTTGTCACAGTCGCCTATAAACACAAAGGATTTTTATCATATTAAATGTACCAATTAAATGAAAGTACTGTACCTCTGGTGGTCATCCTCGTCAGTGTCGATAGCGACTGACATGATTTTGTCGCGGTAGTTCTTGGCAACGGGCTTAAGTTCTTCAACGTATTTGTCGAAATCGCCATTTTTCTAGTGACAAAATTTCAATATAGATTAAGTAATTAAATTATACGTCAAACTATGTAGTATAATTTTATTACTTATTCCATATCTTATACATACTGCATATTATGAATTTTATTCCTCGCGACGCAGATTTGTAAATACTTATACTTCATAACAGTCAGTCAGACATCTGTACAATTGCGGTCTTATTTATGTAACGATATGACTAACTATTCTCATATAAAATAGATTAAAAAATACTTTGCTATTATGTAAAGTTGCAACAATTGAGAATCGTTAACAATATTTTTACATAATTAAGGCTCTGTAAGCAAAAGTCACACAATGAAAGAATAATCAAAACTGGAAATAATTACTTCTGTATTTAACAATATGCAATATATGTAAACCATAACTGTGAAATTTCAATTTTGTATGGTAATAAATTATTTTGCTTACAGTTAACAAATCAAACATAACCAATATTAATTTAAGAACAGTAAGTTTTTACGACGCCTATTGTTATTAAACTAAATTAAATTGGAAGAGATAAAAATCGGTATCGTAATCAATTACATAGGAGTGTCTATTTAAAGGCACTTCTTGAAATCGATTATAACCAGTTGACTACATAAACTTATGAAATATAGGCAACTCTACGAATCACAATATTTAAAATAAGTTCAACAAACTCATTCGGTCGATATCTGTTGAACTAATAGAATAAGTAAATAATGTCGACAATTGTGCATATATTATTAGACACGTATAGCGAATGGATTGCTTTTATATGTGACTTATTACCTACATTTAGTTATTCCGCTTAGTAATCCAAGGTCAAAATGTAAAATTTGAAATATCGGAAAGATTGATATTTTACTATAATCTCTATAGTTTCGCTAATGTTAGCGTATCCCTGTCTAGGCATCACACTATCCTTAATACTAAACTAAAAGCTCCTAAGCACCATCATCTCTAACTTAGGTATACATTTGTATCTAGAGATCCATTGCGTCTATCAAGCGCTATTAATGATAGGCGTTAGCATAGTTTCATATTTTTTCAGATAGAGTTAATTTTATCATCTTGTCGACGCAGGAAAGTCTACTTTTAGAGAGAATCTACATTACTTTAGAGCCCGCTCTACATTTACTAGAACTACAAAACAAATTTAGCCTTTGTTGACGTCATAAAGGATAGCAAATGCGATTCCACTGCTTTAACAAATGGAACTTCGGAATGCCTTTTAGTTTTTATCGGGTGAAAGTGACATCACTGCTTCGGACAGTCGAGTACCAACGAAACTATATGCTCATTAGACCTATCAGTATATGGTCATAACTTAACAAGTCAGCTACATAGTCACAGTGAGATCTTTTGAATTCGATCTATAACTTTCTCTTTTAAGCTCTCGTTATTGCAAAACCGAACAGGTTTAATATATTTAAACATATGAATTATTTCATACTTATGTCCATCGCTAAACTTATTGAATAGGTATGCAAAAAGTATGCCAGTTTTTCTAACAATCTTATAGAGAGATTGCAAGTCAACTGATTACTTTCACAAGTCGATACGAATCGCGACGTACGCTTGACCTGACCTGAACTTTCACCGACAATTCAACTTGTCTATGCTCGAGTAATTAAACACAATACAACAAAAGACAGATAGCAAAATGTATTATACGGATTTCTCCGTATTTTATTAAAATATAATCTCAAAATTACTAAAACGCATAAACACTACTACACCGGACCCTGCCAATACCCTGCCTAAAGCAGTTATAATCATAAAAATTAAAATATCCTCTGAATTATAAGTACTAATAAATGTTAGCGAGGAACCATCTTGTTATCGTCAGCTTTCAAACAAAAACAAAATGCATCATCAGTCCATTCTTTTCAGAGGTACGATGCCACAGACATATAGACACACAAACATAAGAGACATACAGATACACGAACACATCCAACTTAAACTCCCCTTTGGTGGGTTGAGGGTTTAAAATAATTAAAATAGTCAGACTGAATATTGAGTCCCTCACAAAAGTCTTGGTACAAGATTTCAAAGAAGTATATATTACATTTTTCAAACAATCTATGAAATTTAAATAATGTAATCGATTTTTCTTTTAATGATCTTTAATTATGGTCTTACCTTGGATAAGAATAACAGGAGGTGGTATTTGATTTGTCCACCGAAGATCTTGGATGCAGTCTCGTGGGAGAATTCCACAATAGTGGGCATACTCTGGACGAATACCCACGTTTTAAATGAATCTTCATCAAAGGTTTCACCTTCATACTTGACGCGGGGCTCTTCAAACTAACAACAAAAATGCTATCATTACTCTCATTGTGTTACAAAAATCACTTTTAATAAAATATAACTAGTATATATTTGTATAGATTAAATAATTGGAATACCAAAATTCTAATTACATACTATTTTCAATTATATGAAGAAAATATGTTGGCTTCTATGTTTATATATTAGCTATAGCTATTTCTTAATTACTGTATAATCCTGCAGATATTTTTAAATAAATAAGATACAGCAATACAACAGAAAACAAGATGTGCTAACATAATATCCTGAATAGCATAAATTATGTAAATTATTTAAACCTGTTAAATATGCAACTAAATTGTTCGAATACTTCTACCTATGTATCTATGTATAATAAACTTAATAGGGAAATAGGATACATACATATATATATATTACTTTGATTGTATGTTGTTGAACTAGTTTTTAAAAATATCTAAGTACTCATTGATAAAATGTGTATATATTATTGAGGCATATGACAATTAGTTTTCAATATTTTTCTCTCATTATGATTAGTAATTCATGAATAATACCTACCTATTTTATATAGATTATTGTTTTGCAATAAAATTCATCTAAAAAAATTATTAGAGTACAAATTTTTAGAGCAAATTTCCTAAGAATTGCACATTTTATAATTAAAATAATGTAAAAAATATTATTAATATTTTAGAACATTATGTGTTTAGTGTATAGACAATTTTAATCTATTTTAATGTGAAGTGATGTATTTGAAATAAAGCTTATCAATAAATAAGAGCAATAAACTTTTATCTATTATGTTAGCAAGCTATCAAACATTATTTTATGCTCTATTTTTATTTAGCATTATATGACATAGTATTGTACTTCCTTAATATGATACATCTGTATGTATGTACCTTAAATAAATAAGACCAAGGTGAAGTGTCTCTATTCAAAGGCTTCACCAAAAATGTATATATTTCTGAATAGAGTTACTAGAACATTCTTTACCAATTCATATTGAAAAAAATTAAGTTAATTGGAGAATAATGAATATGTAATATTAGGCGAATAAGATATTTTAAGGATTTTTAGTCAAATTTTAATTTTGATTTTTAAGGACTATTCCTTCATCAAATTACATGTGACACAGGCAATTTATTTCTTTATAGAATATGAATTTTAAATACAAAACTACCAAACAGAGACAGTGACATATAAAAGGAGAGCATAGGCTTCCTATCATGATCAGTTAGGATGTATATACAAAAGAGTTAAAAGTCTGAAACTAGCTAAAAACCAATGACACTTGTTTCTTTTCTGTCTATATAGGACCTGGGTTAAAATTAATGGAGATAAAAAATTTAATTATTAACAAAATTGTATCTTAACTCACGTTTTTGAACAGGACAACATCTTCAGCCTCAACTTCCAAGTCTTTGATGATCTTCTCATCTTGCACAATAGCAAACACCTGGTCATCAACAGCAGAAGCGATTGACAAAAATGTAGAGGCTTTAACAGAGGATTTGTCAGGGAAGAAACCAATGACAATGACTGGGTTAGCAGCAATAAGCTCCTTAGCTTGTTCAACTGATGTGACTTCGACCGCAGGAGGTCCAGTCTTCTTCTTCAGCCAGTTAACAATGTCATCAGCTTGCCGACCACCTAAACATATTTAAAACATAAAAACTACTTTTAATAAAAGTATATTAATATTTATGAACACTGATGAAGCATGAACAATGTATTAACAGTGCAATCATAACATTCCATAACTAATCAAATAACTACATTTTGATATGCTCACCTGAGTAGTCGATAGGACTTCCGTTTCTAAAGAATTTGAGAGTCGGGTAACCTCTGACTCCATAATTTTCGGCGAGGTCTTGTTCTTGCGTGGCATCCACCTTTGCCAATTTGATAGGAGATTCTTCCTCCGCTAATCTGGTAGCAGCCTTAGCATATTCGGGAGCCAAGGACTTGCAATGGCCGCACCATGGCGCATCTAGAACATGTTTACAGAATTTAGAAAATAAACCAAACCGGTGGTACCTACGTGACACTAAAAGCATGCCGGTACGAGCAGGAATATTAACGTGTCAACGACCTTTCGGCTAATAAGATATATAGCGATATAAATAAGAGTATACATGTCACACAAATTAAATACAGGAAAATCTTATTATAAAATAAATAACAAAAACTGTAAAAACTTACAGAATTCAACAAGAATAAATTCTGTCGTTGAGACAACACCATCGAAATTGGATTTTCCTAGCACAAGTACATTTTCTTCTGTTGGAATTTCATCACCAAAAGCCGTACCCAAAAGGGCTATGGCTACAGAAAGTAATAAGACACGCATTTTAATTAATTACTATTCTCTCGTTGATCACTCGGAACGAGAAACTTTAAAATGCCGAAAAATGCCACTTCATTCACACGGTCTCTCGGCTCAATTTGACGTGGCAGCGTTGTTCGTGTGTTTGGTTGTGATTGGTTGATTTAATTTTTATAAAGGCAACAACAACTCATCATACTACTCGAACGAAAACAAATAAAAGCAGGCCACAAGAATAGAGGGCGCAACCGCACTATGATACTTTGTTCCAATTAGTATCCGTTACTATTCATTTAGGTAAATTATTATCAACAATGCGTTATTGCATATATTACATTTAAAATAAGTTAGGTAAAAAAATAGGATAATTAAAATCAAAAGTAATATTTAAAATAGATTTCCATTCAAATTTTGTTATTAATAATAATAATATTTATTTATTTACACCAATTTTACGTATTTAGTTTTTTCCTAAACTGTTACCTATAAGTTAAATACCTTTATTGTACTTGCTTCGGCAGTACATATACTAAATACCTTTATTATATGTGGGTGTCTAAAATAATTTGTTGTAATTCAGTCCACTGAAAAAATAACTACTTTGTAATGACTGTCAATGCCTCATTAGTTTTTTATTAGGGGTGCTTTTATTTAACCTTTCTTGTTCAGTGGAATTATATTATTCATTCACAATAATTAAGATTTAAATTTAAAACAAATTATTAGAGTATAGAATGAAGGCAGTTATCTTCATCTTCTAGTTACGGAGAATAACAGTATTCAGTCTCAGTAACAGCTGATTTTGACTTTGACATTGTATGTAACCACTATCTGTCAAAGGTCAATTTTGGCGCTTCTGGCACATAATAATCATAATTTGACATTTTGAAATTAATCAGAAGTTAAACAAAAAGTTATTTAAATGTTTATGTGAGAATATATAATAATTACTATTATATTTTAATAGTTACATATTATTACTAAATATGTAACATTTCGCGAATGTTTAAAAATATACGCTACAAGAAATAAAATATAACTAATGGTATAAAATGTAGTGTTTATGGGTGTATATTTTAGATTCAACCTTAGCTCTTTGAAGAATGCTCAATACATATCATTAAAGACACCAATGGTCATTAAATAATGCAACAGGTGAAAAACCATATTCTATAATAAATATTACGAACGTTTGAGCCAACTTAAAAATATAGTTTAAGTAACAAAAAATGTATGACGTGCTCTCACCTTTTTTTTACATTCTCTGATTAGAACTATAAAATTATATCATAAACTTCACTAATAAAAATATTTAGTAATCTTAAAATATTTCTAGACATGTTCCAGTATTAGTCACAACTAAATTATGAATACTGGCACACTATGAACTATTGAGATTTATTTTAAAATATTAAAATTGGAATGTATCCAATTTTTATAGACGAGGTCTTTCCCATTTGCAATTTATCCTATGTACTGTTAACACCATTGCAAATTTTATCAGTCTTATTAGTAGTTGCTAAGTTTATAATTAAAAGGTATGTACAGTTTATAATAAATAACAATTTCATTTATTAAATATCTATTATTTTTATTTAAATTGACCATAAAATAATTTTTCATAACTTTAACAGTTATATTGATAAGTCTAATCAGAGGAAGGTCACAGACTCTTTTTCTTAATTGTAACAGAACATTGAGTACCAATACTGGAAAAAAATCATTTAAAAAATGGAAAAGTGCTTTATTATGTTTGTCTGGTGGCATAAATATAAGAGCTAGACGCAACCTGTTATTGTCTTTTTTAATTCACAGTATGTACAAAGACACAAAAAGCTATACAAGGAGAAATATGATCAGTCTTCTAATGGCATAGGCATAAGGACATCAATTATAGTTACATTGTTTTTAAGCAGTATATAACAGGGTTGACACATTAAGTAAAACACTATTAAACAAGAAATAAAAATTCTGATAAAATTTCATTCATTAGTCAGTTTTGGCCTTCAGTATTAGAACATTTTCACATTCTTATATCAAACGCCAATAATTTCATATTTGTATGAGTATCCTATTATATAGTTGGCATATCCAGAGATGTAATGTAAACATTACCATACTGAAGGCCATAAATCTAATAGTCAATATGTACAAGATGTACATATTCACTATTAGATGTTATATATACTGTATGTTTGTACAAGGTTTATCATATGGTTGGCATCTCTGGCTATGAATAATCTTATGTAACAAATGTTATTATTACAGATGCCAGAACTCACTGTTACATCTGAGATTTATAATGAGTATGATTATCACACAAAGATATCACCAACTAATGAAGGCAGTAAGTTTTATAATAATTATTAGAATAGTAGTGTATACACACTTTAGTGAATTAACACTTACACCACATCCATATTATAAATTCAAAGTTGTGTCTGTCTGTTACATTTTCATAGCTGAACAACTGAATTTAATATGAGATAGGTTGTGTCACAAGACAAGGCTTCTTTATACTTAAAAATACAGATAAAGTCCATTGGTAACAACTAGCAAAATATAATTGACTTTAGCTTATGCATAACCCTAACTATACTATTTATCTAAGTTCCATAATGTAACAATATTTTACATTTGTACTTACATTATTTCAGATGTAATATCAGAGTTTCCATTTGTATTGGCCAAACAAACAACTGCTGCTAAATTCGATAAAGACAATGATTTGGATGTAGTGAGGCCAAAAAAAGAAGTTATTAAAATAGGTAATTCCTTTTATTATTCTATATAAAAATTTAGAACAAAAAAATTGTACTTTTTGCTTGTTTATTTACCAAAATCTTATCAAAATTTTTATAGTAGTTACATATAAAATGAAATATATCACAGAGTTACTATATACTAATACTTAGTAATATTACATTATTGATCTGACGTCATTAATTTTGCATAATCTTAATGTGAAAGCATTTACATTGTCTATAATGGAGGATTTGATGCCTGTACACTTCTCCATGTAACCTAAGATACTTTCAAAATAACTGTATTATCAAATCTGCTCATTAAAAATTGAGAAAATCATATCACAGCTAAAACTGCTAAGGCTACTACTAAACTACTAAAATTTGATGCCTTATGTTTAGATTGTATAAATTAAGAATGTACTAAGAAAACATTCTGAAAATTCTCAGGGAAAAGATATGTTGTCAGGCAGACATACAAGAGATAAAGAATTAACATTATAGTTATGTAAATAAAAATATATTTCAGAACACAGTTCTAAAACAAAATTAGCATTGGTGGGACTGCAGGTGTGGAGGGGGGCATTTTTGCTGGCCGATTTGATTACCCACCTGGGTATAAAGGGAGAGCTAATAAACAAGACAGTGCTGGAGCTTGGTGCTGGCACTGGCCTCACTAGTTTTGCCGCTGCATTGTATGCCAAAAAAGTTGTATGTACAGGTAAATTGATTGACCGATCTAGCAATATATTTATTAAAGTATTGACGTGTATTGGATGACATTATTTTAACACGAAAAAAAAGTAGAATGGACATTGGATTGATCTTAAAATGTTTAAAAAAATATATTTACCCTGTGGAAATTTATTTCATTATTTAAACAGTTTTTAGATTTAGATTTTGTTAATACATATATTAGGTATTATATTTTTTTACCATTTTCAACCAAGAATTGTATTTCTTTAAATCGTAGTCACGATACTTGGGATAACATTATTATTTTGGAGTGCAGAGAACATTTTACTTTATTTTCAGATAAAATTTAAAACACCTACTATTGATTGTAATTCTAGTTTGTAATTATAGTGATGTTATTTTATATAGCGTACCTTATATAAATTATTATTAATACTAGTTGGTAAATTCGGAACCAAACAAAGTAGTCATGGTCAGCATAGGACAGAGATCTACAAAATGTTCTATAGTAGACAGCCTCTACAAATTTTGTAAGTCGCATTTCTTTCCTTCTTGCAATGTTTTTCGAACTATTGTAAGGATAAAGCCGTGGCTGGCCTTTATAGCTTCACCGAAGAGAAATGCCTAAAGGTCTGTTAATTCCAAAAATAGAATATTTTCATATCTTTTGTTTTGTACAGTTATTATTATTTTCCGACTTTTTCAGATATTAATGTTGGAGGCATCTTAGAACTTATAAAATTAAACGCAAAATACAATGACAAGCTAATAAAGTCGCAATTTAAAGTGATGCCATTGGATTTTATGGATATTAATTGGAGCCAGGAGTTAACGGATGAAATAAGAGACGTCGATATTGTCATCGCTGCAGATGGTATATATTTATTATGATTTCTATATAAGTTTAAATATATATAAATTCGAATATAACACAATAGTATTCCTAACTATTGTAACAAACTTCTCAAGTGAACATCATTTCTGAAATGATATTCACTAGCTCTCATAACACAAAATTTACTTAGTTTGATGAGAATTGTCAAACAATATATGTGTATATACATATTTGTTCATATTTGATCATCCCTATAACACCACTTTATTTCCTATGATCACGGTACAAACCTATGTTCCTATGATCCTTGCACAGTACAAACATTTGTATTGATGTGTATAATTGTTTTTATTGCTCTGGGTGTTTCCTATTACATTATGTATGTATTTTAGAAACAGTATTTAAGTAATAAATAATTAATATCAGTTGTCTAGTGATATAAATTATCAGATCTGCTTAGCTTGGGACTTGATGGCTCTGTGTGTCACTGGGGTTATTATTATCATAAAATAATACTGTTACATTGGTTTCAGTTATCTACGATGACGACGTAACAGCAGCTTTCGTTAGAACAATAGACAAGATAATGAATACAAATCCACCTAAAACAATCTATATAGCGCTGGAGAAACGCTATGTATTTACGATAGAGCATCTGGATTCGGTTGCACCGTGCTATGAAACATTCCTTACATTACTAAATAAAGACAAAATGGACGATGTTGTTTACAATTGGACAGTCCAAGAAATGTCTCTTGATTTCCCAAAATATTTTACATATGATCGTGTAAAAGAATTAGTACTATGGAAAATATCGTCTAAACCCTCATAAGACTACCCGTAATCATTGCTGTGATATTAAATATTAGTTTCATTGGATACATGATTTTATTAAAACCCTTGGTTAGAGAACAACGTTTACTTTATATTAGTATATATAAATTAACAATATATAAATAAATTAAGGTCCTCAAATATTATGTACCATTTCATCAATTTACATTCATAAATAAGACGGAGGACGAACCGAAATTTCCGTATTTAAACAACGTTATTACGTTACGTCAACGTTACTTAAACATAGCACAAGTTAGATATACACAACATTTGTTATTTGAGGTCTGTCAGAAAAATCATATAAAACTATCACAGCTAGCATTAAAGACAACATCTGAAATTACAATATATATTTATGATTTCTTTTGGGTATGCCAAAATTCATTGTATTTGCTGAGAAAAATCTTCCTTAACTCCGAGTTTCGTGCTTGTTGATCTTTTTCCTTGCTGAGTGTTTCGACACTTTGTCCAACGCAGAGGTTTCCGGTGAAGTGAATGATCATTACTTGTGTGTTGAATGTTACATTCTTGTCTGGACTCTGTTTTGTATAGTTGGTTTGAGGACTGAAGTTCATCGGATATGTTAGCGTTAAATCTTCTGCTGCAATATTAGAGTATTATATGTATACTAATACATAAAGCTGAAGGGTTTGTCAAACTTTGATACTACAAATCAGATTTTAAAATATCATTTTTTATAGCCTAATATGCTTAAGAAAGAAGGACTATAAAGAAGCCTATAGACCGTTACGATCTACGGCTAGAAGTATATTATGTAAAAATGCGTGGATGTCTACCTTTGTCTCACCCATTTCAGTAGAGACCTAGTGGTTTACTACCCCTACTTACAACCAAGAGGTTGTGTGTCCAAATTTGGCCGACACCAAAATACTGACAATTTATATTTGACTAAAATGGTGAAAGAAATAGGGATTTAAAATTAATATAATGAAAAAAAAATATAAGATGGCAGAATGTATGTGTGTGTGTGTATGTAAATAAATTACACACACACATACATACATTCTGCCATCTTGTATTTTTTTTTCACGTTAAATTCAAATATTCCTTGTGAAATGTACGCATATCAAGTAATGCTTCACGTTCACTACCATTACAATATTGAAGGAGTATTATTGCAGATAAGTGAACTGACGAGCAGCAAGTTCCTTGGATCCCTGGATAGTAGAGTCTCCGGTGCATTCTGGATCACAGCGGCCGTCTTTCAGAATCCCTCGCATGGTCGTTAGTTTGATGATCGCTTTTTCGTTAACTTTGCTATTCTGGCCATTTCTGTGTTTGTCAATATTTCGTAAAAATTTCTTCATCTAATAAAATGGAAATATTTACAATACCTACATTTCATAGTAATTAGTAAATAACATAATAGATTCTGAGAATCGTGCCAACGACATAATTGTTGATTTCCATCTGTTTGTAATCAAAGACGTCTTTAAAAGTTAGTTTAAAGTAAGACTAAGTTTTAATATAAATAGTAAATTACTTATAGATACAATCGGCTATTTTAGTCATTAGAACGAGAATAATTTTTCTACCATTCTGTTTATTATCTCTGTTCTTCACAGAGAAAAAATTACAACAATATGTAAACATAATCAATATTTTATGATATCTGGGTGACGTTTATTAACGATATCGTACACTTTGCCATTATTAATATAAATATAATAAGTGAGAACATAGTGTTAAATGATAGTGAATAATAATGTAATTGACACATTACTGTTTTAGATATTTTTTTAGGTGGATCTTGATAGGACATCTTCGGTTCTCCGGGGTTACTACCAACAACGTATAACGTACTTTTTGGAATATCGAAATCTGAATATACATAGTTTTGACCTTCAACGGGCTCCTTCTGTCTCCCTGAGACTGTTGAAGATTTACTATTAGTTGGTACATAAGGTAGTTTACTAGAATTTTCCATTTGCGACTTTTGGGGAGCTTTGTTTCTTCGCGGTATTGGAGAATCTTCACTAGAGAGACTTTCTTCTGAAGTGGATAGAAACACATCGGTCAAACTAAGTACTTCCACATTACACACTTCGAGGAGCGATGGATTCTCTACATCTGACACTTGACACAGTTGGTCAGTGGAATGAATGCTGATAAATGACTTTTGTCCAGCACATAGGGTAACTTCATCCTCGCCTGAGGTGGATGGTTTCTTCGATACAGTCACTGTGAAATATAATTATTATGAGTTGGTTGATCTGTTTCCGTTTCGCTTACATATCTGTTCCTACATCACAGGTGGCATAAGATCAAAGCATTTTTGGTTGCGCATTTTCGTACATATTTCTATTTTTCTTATATTCAATGACAATTTACTCAGTGTCACCTAGTTTCATAATCATATATAACGACATGAATGTGTTTTTATAGTATATAAATTTTGGAATATTGAAACTACGGTGGTGTTCTCAACTACAACAGCATCAAGTCAGTCAAATAACTAACTTTACAAATACATAGATTTGTAAAAAAATATTTCTACATAATATTTATCAATATTTCACTTGTAAAATGCTTTATGGTCTTAGATAAAAAATAAAAATAAACACGTTACACATTATTATTATATAATATCTGAGTAGGTACTAAACAGTTATAAAAATGCCTAAAAATGTTAGTTAGCAAAATATCATACCAGCATAAGTACAGCTTTCTGTAGGATTGCAACTTAACATTTCATCTAAAAAGAAAATAACATTAGCTATATGGACATATATGTCTAATTTGATTCTTGAATTAGCGCCATGCATAACGTAAATACATATCACATACCTTCATATTCATATTTATCAATTATTCGTGTGTCTGTTATACATTTATCTGCTAATTTGTGATTATTTCTCGAAATTGACATTATTAAACAACAAATTTCAATGTGTGAAGTTTGTCAAATGGTATTGCATTTTTCTCATTATGCTTGCGTTTGATAATTCTATTTTTATTTTTTTTATATATACAAAGGAGAATTTATACTGTGGACTTACTCTTTGGATTGTTAGTAATGTAAATTATTAGTACCATATTGGGTTGAGATCCACGTGGTCCATCTGGAAGTCATTCATTCTTAAGATATAAATTCGCTACGATGTTCTGACCATTCCGACTGTTATACCGTTTCTGCAGGCAAGTACATACATACTTTTTTCATCAGACTTTAAAAATAAAAACACAAACAGACTTAAATTGAAAATCAACTCTATCTGGGACGAGTGTCTGTTTGTTTCCTTATTTTAAGTAAGTAAAGTTATACAAAAAACGTAAACAAATAAATGCACTCAACTGTAATTCTCGTTCGGTACGCTTTGTACAAGAACTATTTTACAAGCGAAATGTGTCGACCATTGCCTGAAAATGCAATTAAGTCCTTGGGGTGTTTTGTATAAATAAAAATATAAAATTTTATATAAGTACAATTTTATTTACTGAACGTTACTCAAAATGGAACAATACAAAAATAACAAAAACTATTTCTTTTTCAAAACAGCCTTGCAAAAATGGAAATACATCTAAAACATTTATCGTACCATTAAACATGCATAATATTAATAGCATATTTAAGTAATGTATATTTTAGATTAATTACGAGATTTAGTTTCTTTTCGAGTCCAATGAATACAAGTAGGTGCTTAAAAATAACAATCATCATTAATAATATAATTTGACTAATGTAGTGAAGAGATAGTGCAGTGCCTGCCCAATGAAAATATACAAGTACCATAAAAATTTACTCAATTTTGCCATATTTTATTGATCATTCACTAAAACAATGTTTTTTCTCATACAATGTTAAGATACACAAAATTTAACTAACGGTTTACTTAGTATCACTACTGTTTATGTGTGTTAAACTTATAGAACTTATAGATATATGTATAATAATATATAAAATAATTATTTTATATTGCTAAAATACAAATGTCCTGCCCATTTCATAATCATGTAATATTGTCAGTAGAGAAGTGGCAGCGTTCACTATAATTATTATAATTATAAAAAATTAAATATAGCCATTTAGATAACAATTTAAGATTCCGATAAAAATCGGTTTAAATTGTGACAAAATCTGTACAGGCCAGAGGACTAATACAGAGGCAAGTCTTATCGATCGCTAGAAAGAACCATAAAATCAGTACAAATTTAGTGGACATTATTAATATAGTTAAACAGGTTTGTACACATAATTTTATGCTCAACGTCCAGAGAGGTAAACAATTTTTTAACATAAAATTATTCATGTAAAATCCCGTATAACTATATAAATAATGTGTACTAAACCCGAAAGTTAGATTCGCGATATCTATTAAAAATAAGCTTTGGTGTAGATATCGCGGATCTTTTATAGACAAGAAAATCTTTATTTTATATTAGGCTGTAAATTCATCACGCTTATTTCACTACAAATACGACGGGTTTATACAACTGACAAAGTAAGTTGTCCATAAATTATTCAAGAATAAGACGCTAGATATTGCTATCCTATTCTACCTCATGTGTCGGGAAGCCATATATTCATTTGTCAAATGTCTACGTCCTCCGTACAGTCCATAAAGTCATTCTTGCGCATTTATTTCAGAACGAAACGCATAATAATTTATTGTGTTGTGCATGCACGTATAAATGCGATTGCGATGCGATTTATATTACCTAAATGATTATACTAGTAATATAAGAAATTAAATTTGATAATATCGCGAATTCTGTGTGAATTCAGCATTAGAATTATTTCCAATATTTATTTATATCATCATAACTACATCTATGGCAGTGATATGATTGTTTATTGTAACATTTTTAGCGTAATATGAAGGAATGATAATTATTTAATATTTCTATTAATATTACATTAATACAGTTCATTTAATCTTTGATTTTATAGTTCATTTTTAATATCAGTTCATATATCTGTCTGATCATATATATGAGACTTACTGAACAAACAACGTAACGTTCTTTTCAAGCAACAGTCAACACTGATTATAAAAAAAATATCACAAATTTAAATATAAAATAAGTCGCAATTTTCTATGCAATTTTTGAAAATTTCAATTGTATGCTTACAAGTAATATAACAGGGATACGACGACGGCTGAACTCTACAATCCTCAGGTATACTTACTTTACTCTTTGACAACATTCGATAAAATCGTAGTTGAGAATTTTCTATAAAATACCATTTTCACAAGTGATGTTTGTCTTAAAAATGACAAGATATAGTGCTTATTTTGATACATTTTTAATTCTATTGAATCTATTTTTAATTATCATCATCATGGAATTTTAAATTATGATTTATTTTTATAAATGGAAATATAAAAACGAATTATTATCAAAAATCACATGTTGATGCTAATTGTATTTGTACCAATATCGTAAAAAAATATCGAAATACTCGAACTTTATTTCTGCATGTTGATTTATACTTTCAATATTAGTTCATTCCATAAAAATACTCTGCTATATTAAAATAGAAAATCCTATGTACTTATTTTGATAGGTGGCATAAAGGTATTGTCATAAAAGCTGATTACTACCTATATAATACGATACAATAACTTTAGTGATCATAAAATTAACCTACAAAATACGTGTAAATAAACGATTGACAAAATCACAGCTACTAAAATTCTACTAATTAATTAGATTTGTGAAAATACAACTCAAATGCAAACATTTTTGTTAATAGAGATCCAAGTTCAGAAAGGAAAAGTTAAACATTAAGTTATAATTTTATAACTAAAATTATCGTTATCCATTTCATGGATTTACTTATACCTAAACACAATCATATTGGGCAGTAACGAATTTTTTATTATAACTAATAGTAATGAGAAATAATTGTTTAGTTTGATTGATATGGCGCCAAATATATTTAGAATAATTATGTACTTAAAAATCTGAAAAATAATTCTATTACCGTTTACTTGATAATCTGTTTTAAAAATAAAAGAAAGGGAACTTATTTTATTATGAAAATATTAGTCATTAAACTCCTGGCAATTATTGGCAACGATGTAAAGAAAATATTGGGAGTTAACTAACAGTTTAAAAACAATACTTTTAGATTACATTCCTAGTGTACTTGTTGAAGATTTTAGTTCTCTGGGCGAGTCCGTTATATATTAAACACTGAATATTCGCTATACAGAGCTTTTTCTTTCTGATATTGATGTGCGTTTTCTACTCTGTATGCTTCCAGACGACATTTTCCTCTTATTCTCAGGGTGGTTGGGTCCGGGGCTAGCTGACTTGCTAAAGTTAGCACTGGCACTAGCCATTCTATTTGCGTTTTGCAAATTCGATGTTTTTCGCCTTACTGACGGCGAAGCCTCTACATTGTTTAATTTAGCCGTATTTAATTGTGGTTTCTGCTCTATAATAGCAGGCTGTTGGTATTTACCAACCGCGTTCCAGTGCTCGCGCTGAGCTTTTAGCGATTCGCGCATTTTTTCTTTGGCTTCGGCATTGTCTGCCAACATTTGGTTGAGCATTTGAATAGTTTGGTAAAGTGCAACCGGACTGAGAAGCCCAAAGTCGTGTAAGGAGCACATATGAAGAATAAAGTTCCTATACAAGTTTTTCTCTAGGAGCTCCTTACCTTTCATCTGTAGGAACATCTGGCATGCAATAGGAATTTGACAGTCACCAACATAGTTGTATTTCATGACGTGTAGATTCCACATTTTCATCAGTTCTTTCTCACCCTCATTCACATCTGTAAACTCATCTATCATCATCATAGTCTTTTGTTGAAGCCACAACGGGTCCGTTTCACTTTCTGAATCAATGTCGAGTTCGTTGGGATATACAGGCAGGCAAGTAATCGTGTGGTGATAAAGTCTGCAAATAAAACAGTTACAACCATTAGTGTCTTTACCTTAGCATAAGTAGTTTAATATTATTTCTAATATAGGATATAACATATCAAATATGTATGATACATATAAGCATTTAAAAAAAGCTGTAAAATTAAGTCCTTAATCAATGATAATTTATCGACATTATAGGGAAAATAAAACATAGAATGTCAGTTTTTGTTGAATCACTAAATTATTTAGCTAATATCTAGCCGAAAGTCAGACTGAAGCAAACTTAGTACATGTATAAAATGTGTTAAGCTAATATATACACAGTGTTCACCGTTGACTAGCAGCAGTCTCACTAGGGTGAGTACTGACCGATTCTTGGGACGGAAATGATTGTAAGTAATGTGAACTAATTACTCCATCGCTGCAATGTGTCATGTCAGGTCAACCTCCTCGCATTTATCTCTGAAAACCGTCGTGATAAGTTCTTAGTGAATTTGGCACGATGACAAACTGACCTGGACTTCATAGTCCTCATACTCATTTTATCATCTTCCACCTGTATATATATCCACCATATTATATTTATGTATTAGTTTGACAAATTTATTTATTTATTTTATTTATATGTTTACCCAGATTTGCTACACACTGTTTCGTTATGATAACGCAGACGGTTCCACCTTCCATAATCATTTATTAACAAAAGAATTCACCTATTGTGTCCGGCGAGGTAAGGGCGCTGCGCATCGGCCATATCATCGTCCAGCTCGAGGAATTCAGCGAGGGAGTGATGCGCGCGGCGAGCTCGACGTGGTCGGCACACCAGCACCCGCGACAGCGCCGCGCGCCGCGAGGGCCCCGCGCGCGGGCCCGCCCCCGACCCGGACCCCGGCCCGGACCCGGACCCCGCCAGTGGGCCCGCCGTCGACCGGCCCTGCGCCGCGATCAGGTCGTGCGGGGACCCCGTGTACGACCCGTCGTACAACTCGTTGATCGACACGTCCACGCGTGCTCCGCCCTGAATCGGCTGCGATACGCAAATGTGTAATCTATATATTAATAGGCGAAGCAAAAAGTTGATATCCATTTTTACGAAAATTGTGAGGACGGAGAAGTATGAAATTTCACAAACTTATAGTTTATACTGGTGACCCGCACAACTTCGTTTGTAACTTACTTACTTGACATTTAACATTATATGTCGCCCAATTTCCATAATACATATCTTTTTTAAATTATAGCCTATATTATTCTGATGTATAAGCTATATTATTGTAAAGTTTCATCCAAATCCGTTTTCATCCATCCATCTATTCATCCATTCTCATAAACATTTGCGTTTATAACATTAATAAGACTACTAATTAATATTTGCATGAATAGAATAGAAAATCATTTATTCGGTAGATTGAAAAGTCATTACGACTATTCAAAAGTGCTTCAATGTAAGTTTATTTGAATAAATGATTTTCTATTCTATTCTATTCAAATAAATTTACATTGAGGCACTTTTGAATAGTCATCACAATTTTTTTAATCACCCGCTCATTTGGAAAGCTATCTCATCACAAGAAGAACGAGCAAGTAATTTGCGTGTTGCTGTTTTAAATATTTTATTGTTACTTTACATTTTTAAGTTTGATTGTGTGAATACAAACTACCAATTAGCACTAATTCAATTAAATACTCATTGATATTAGATTATTTATATAAGACACGTCAGCGACTGTTACATGTACCCATTATTTATCATGTAGATTATAACCACAGGTAGTCAAGCGATTAGTTAACTCGGCCTAATTAAATTTTAGTATAATCATACTAAAATTTAATTCCAAGTCCTTAGGGCAATTAGGTTTTAAACAATTCAATTTTAGTATACTACCTAGCATTTAGTAGTGGCTTCCCCGGGATACAAGAGTTGCTGTTAATAGTTGACAATGTTTAATTTCCTAAATATTCTATATGAAGTTTTAAAATTATTTAAATATGTTTTCACTTCTTAACTTCTTTTATTTAATATATTGTAGGTTGATATTTTATTATTTATTTTGTAGGTATATAATGTTGTAATTTATACGATTATACATATACCTACAACATAATCTATTCTATTCTATACATTTATCTGCAATAAGGTGTGTTACTAAGAACATGTGTTCTTAATAACACATCTTATTGCAGATCAATAATCTTATTTCATTTATCTACCTACCTATACATTATTCTACTTCATCCGGTACAAACAAAAACTAAAGAACATTTCTATAATATTACTTAAGATAACATGCCAAATTTTCATATAAATTGAAATACTTGCATTGTCTATCTCTATACAAATGAGTTCCACTAATATAACATTGTATGTTAAGATCAAGAGACAAGTCATCAAATATTTGATGACCTAGATTGCTCATATCTATATGGTCGACCTTAAAGGAGGTCAGACGTTCGAAACTGTGTTGGGTCATTTTGGCAACTTTTTCGTTTCACATTTTCGTTTTTGTGCTGAATTAAATAATACAAATTCAGCACAAATAATATATCAGCACAGGTTTTGTCTAGATCATAAATTTTTTACTTATTTTATCCAAACTAATAATGATTAAATTTAAGGTAATTAGTTAAATAAAAGCCCCGCATTGCCCCCTGTTATCGGATTTGTGATAAAATTCATTATCGTTTTGATAACTTTTGAGATACAGAAGTGTGCATGACACATTAATACTCAGCAATATTATCCCCTGAATAGTATGAAGTTGTATGTGAATAGTAAGGGCGTCAAGTGGACAACATGACATCCGGTGTTGTATTTCCGTATAGTGGCCACTTTCCATCAGATGGACCGTCAGTTTGCTTGCCTTTTTAGTTATAATAAAATACAGAAATCAAAGCAAATATATACTCACAAAGTATGTGAAGTTAAATCTGGAATGACAAAGTTTCAAGTGTTTGAGTAGAGAGTACAATGTGCCACAGTCTAATGAACACCATGGACAGTGCAGATCATCACAGGCCTCCGTCTGCTGCCTGGAGTTGTTGTTATATAGGAATTGGTAGATGATTTGTTGACGCTTTGATTCACCATCACTTGGCTCAATCTTCAGCTTCTCGCCTATATAAAGAAATACTTTATATTAACTAACCAAATGCTGCTTGTTTGGTACACATTCTATGTTATGTCTCTCCTTCTTCTTTCGATTCTATGGCAACTAAATGTATTTACGCCAATAGTATTAGACTCCTGATTTTCACATTAAGATAAAGCTTATCATATTTAGATGGACAGGCAGACAAACTCATCATATTATATAGTTACACTGAATACACAATTTCATTGTCCTTTCAATAAACATATGCAAAAATACATAACATGGCCCTTTTATATAAAGTTATATAAATAAAATAGTAAATAATTGAAATGGTAAAAAAACATACTCACCATTTTTACTATCACTAGTACTAGATTTTTGCATAGGTATTTTGTCTTTGTTGCTAGTAGTTTCTTTTTTAACACCATTACTTTCATTGGTCTGTTGATACAATTTGGGTCTATTCACTAAACCATTAGTGGGTTCTTGGCTCCAGCTTAATTTTAATTTCAATAATGGTCTCACTTTAAATATATCAAATGGATTTGTTTCTGTATGTATGTCATTTTCCTAAAAGTTATGAAAATTTTTATTTGTAATTTTGTACATGTAATTGTGGCATATTATAAAACTGGCTGTTCCCGCGACTTCGTCCGCGTGGAATTTAACTTTATTTTTCTAAAATAAAGGTAGCCTAAGTTACTCCTTATTACATCAGCTACCTGGCAAAAGTACCGTCAAAATCGGTCCAGCCATTTCTGAGATTACCCGGAACAAACAGACAGACAGATAGACAGACAAAAGTTATAAAAAATGTTATTTTGGTATATATATCGTATTTCTATTCATATGCATGTAGTAAAAAACTGTTATTATTTCAATATTGCAAACAAACAATCCAATTTTATTTATATGTATGTATAGATTAAATCAAGTTAAAAGTACACACCATTCAAAATAGTAGTACTCATTTCAAATATAAGCAATAAGCAATAAGCAAAATACAAATTTTATGAACAAAATAGTGCAGCCATTAAGACTAAGGGTGAACAAACTGAAAAAAATATTCATTGAAGGAATAATATATAAAATTTTCATCCACAAATAAACGTTTACTTACTAAAAGTAAATTAAAAATAATTGTCATAATAAATTTGCATTTTGAAAGCAACCTTACAACTACAGTTTGACGCAAGCTCATACGCAAGAAATTATTGAGCCCAACTAAATAATGGTCACCAATACCAGTCACTGAGTTCTACTGTCACAAATTTTCTAGGACTGATTACTGTAAAATTGTATACAAAAAAATATTTGATACTATTAGTCACACTAAGAACTTCCCTTCTGAACTTTGTGATAGCCTTATTAAGTTATTAACTAGGCAGGATATGTGACCCATCTGGAATGGCAATGTATGAGTGGTATCACACAAGTGTCCCATGATAATGTGATATCTATAGTGCTATACATGTATATAAGCAACAGCTACCAGTTAGCATTAGGTGTGCTGCTTGTTTTAAGCTTGTTTGCCATTCCAATTCCATAAAAAAATAAAAGAAGACTCAGTATAGTATTGGTATTTGTAGAAACTATTACATTTCATATGGGAGAAAATAAATATATTACAAATTGTAACCATAGGTACATTTTGTACAAAGCTATCTGCATTGATACCTCTTTTCCTATATTTGTTTACTTATTTTCTTGCTATTATAAACCATGTTACAGATGAAGGGTGTGCAGTATTGCTGTGAAATCACTGGTTGGGTGCTGAAGAAAGACTTAGTCCTCAGGAAGTGTGATGCATGAGGGCATCACATGACATGTCTGTGGTTCTGTTCATATATATCTATGCAAAATTTGTTTTTTACCGTCAGGTGAATTGTCATGTTCTTTGCTATTCTAATCTATACATATAAATAAAATTGCAGTGTCTGTTTGTAATATTGAAATAACCATTTTTTACTACATGCATATGAATATAAATACAGTACATATACCAAAATAACATTTTTTACAATTTTTGTCTGTCTGTTCCGGCTAATCTCTAGCTGGCTGGCTCGATTTTGACATGTAGCTGATGTAATAAGGAGTAACTTAGGCTACTTTTATTTTAGAAAAATAAAATAAAGTTCCATGTGGATGAAGTCGTGGGTACAGCTAGTTATATAATAAAAACTTAATAAAATATATTTGAAGTTAAAGTAATTCAAGTAAGCTTACATTAGGAATATTTTCCCACTGTGCCATTAGGGCTTTATGTGGAGATCTAGCAATTGTAGCGCTTCTCCCTCCTGGTGTTGCATCATGCAAAACTAAGTCATATTCTCCATTAGTAAGGAGACATCTATTATGTTTGTCATAGACAATTAGCTCACTTCCATAGAGCTTAGTCCATTTGTTGTCAGATGAGTTCAGATGATCCGTAGAGGATGATTTCAGTCTTTTCGTTACTGGCTCTAAAATACATTTCACTGCAGTTGTACATAGACTTTTACACAATTATATTTTGAATATTATATAAATAAGTTATTCATAAAAATATAAATTTTGTATAGAACTAATTTTAGACAAAAATCTTAAGTTAAATTGTTACACACATGCTACATAGAATACATTTATAATTATGAGTATGCATGTTTGTATTTAAACAGTTATGCTCATAAACAAGTTTTGCTTACTTTAGCACTTTGACACTCTATGTATAAAAGTATAGTAGTATATTATGTATATGATTATTACAATTAAATTTTAAATTATTCAGAGCAAGTACAAAAATAGTTACATGAATAAAAATATAATTACCATCAGAATCACCATTGGTAATTTCAGAAGAGCTTGCAGCACCATTTGTACTAATTCCTGAAGCCCTAGTGACAGTAACTCGAAGCATGAGCATGTATGACTTCACATTAGGGCCTTGGGAAGGACTAAATGTGTCACTAGATATACTAACAGCTGATGCCATCGCTGGAGGTTCCGATGTTGAAGGATTGAGGGGCACTGAGCAACTGCCAACCTGGTCAAAATGTCATGTTAGATGTTAATTGAATTTATATGTACCAGTATAGAGGAAAAGTATCTTTTTTCTTTCACACATATTTACATTATTTTATTAATGTTATTAAATCATTTTAAGAGACACTAAAATTATCACATTAATTAACAAATAAGTTAAATGATGTATGGTAATGAATCACAAGGAGAATATATTATTAATAATATGGCTCCAGTATGTGTGTATGTCTATGGAGTTAGGGTCTTCAATATATATAAAAGTGGAAAGGTTTGAGTAGAGAGACTTACTGAAACTTCAACAATGGCTGATGAACTTTCTTTCCTCTTTTTATGACAGATTTTTAGAAGTAAGGTCTCCACTTTTACTTGATAATCTCTTGGGTCATCTAGACTTTTGTCATAAAATCCTAGGAAAGTAAGAGTCATATAACCTCCCAAGCTGTTTGGCTGAAGTTCTGTGCTTTTTTTCAAAGTGATTTTGTCAAGCAAGGAATCAACTTTAAATCCAATTCGGCTTTTATTACTTCTAGACATTCTACGCTTCATGTAGGACAGTGTCCTATTAAGAAATATTGGCTGGAACGAATGAAAGTTAGTAATAGATGGTGGTTTAAGGAACATTATATTTATAACAAAAAAATCAAGAATACATACCGATAGCATATTGCGTGTTCGTAGAAATCTGTATATTTGAGTGGGTTCTGAAAAGTAAGATTGAATAAACATAATTAAATACAATATTCACAGATATCGTACAGTTATTGCTACTGTTTTAACTTACTTTCAAAAGCTTGTAAGAATAACTCATGGTCTGCTTGTAAGTGGTCAATTTTAGAGTTTTTATTAGTTTCACTATCTTTATCACGCTTCTTGGGAGGCATTTCTATAGATTTTTTATCAAAACTATTATTGAAACCGCCAAGTTCATCAGTTCGTTGACTTGACAGCGTCAGGTCAAAAACCATAGACAAGTATGCTTATTTATTTGTTCCTAGTTAACAAATGAACGCAGTTCACGAAAGAAATATTCTTTAGTATATAAATTAACATCATATTACCTATGAAAAAGAGTGTAGTGCGTATTACTTGTATAAATACACGATCACATATAGGAGCATTTCTATATAGTTCGTAATATGATACGTTATGCTTCCTTTCTGCTGTGATTCAAAAACATAACAATATGAAATGAAGAAGGTGCGTAAAGCGCGAACTATTCAAGCTGTTGGATTTTATTTTCAATTTGTAACTTTCTATTGTAAAAAATGTGACATTAGGATGTATGCCTTTATCTCTTTGCCTTTCTCATCAGGAATAAACGAAAATTATAAAGCTGACAAATGATGACATTTGACAGTTTGTTTGACATGTGTCATATACTGTATATTATGCGATAAATATATAATATAGTTAACTAACTTAAATTTGAAAACATGTTTGTTTTTATAAAAAAACGTAGTAATTAAAATATGAAAAATTATTTCTTTGTAAAATAAAATGCAAAAGTTGACAAATGATAAAAGGATTATACGAAAAAAATTGCTAATTCTCCAAAAAAGCGCGGTGGAAAATGGCTTGAATGGCGAATTGCTAAAGCAGTATAATTACATCTGCAATTTCAATAATGAGACTGCAATAAAAGGAACAAATAGAAAGTTAATAATAGCATTAGTAACAATTTTTATGGTGTTAGCTATTTGCGGCAGCTCGTTAAATAGTATTTTAAGCTCAAGATGTTTGTTACCTAGTAATTACTTGGTGTGGGAGGCGACGCGGCCCCTGGCAGATTGTACATATTGCGAGAATGTTACGAAACCTATTATATTAAGGAACGTCACGCGTCACAATTTTGCTGTAAGAACATGTTAAAAATCTCTAGATTAATCTATTCATGTCCAAAGAGCAATTTATTCAGAGTTAAAACAGAGATGTTTTTTTACTTTTTACACAACTGTAGTCCAATAATAAGTACTAATTATATTTAATTGAATAGTAACTAATGAATGTAATAGACAAACTTTCATTTGTTTTTGTTTTTTAATACTTACATTAAATTGAAATTATCTGTTCTAGGAATATTCATATTCTTCCAAACCTATAATAGTTAAGAATGCAATTAGTCATTGGAAAGCAATCAAAGAGTTTAATTATAATACATTTAAAAGACTATACGAAGAAACTAGTGGAAGTTATGAGAGTCTTGAAGATGGTTGTCAGTTTCTTAACTTCAAAACAGATTTGTTTACACTGAAAGAAGTGTTTGATATGCCTGAAGCTAGAGTAAGGAATGAACCAGGCCATAAGCCTTGGTATGTGGGATGGTTAGTAAAATGTTACCAATATATTTACCCTAAGTATATCTCTACATAAGTTTGTTTTAATAATTTACAAATCAAATACAATATTTATATACAACAGTAGGTGTAGTCCCAGCTCACATAAATTATCCAGACTGTATTTGGTAATAAAAATATTTTTTTCGTTTTTAATATGACAACCATTACTTATTAAGACTGGTTATTGAACCATCAGCCTAAAAAGTTGTAGTAACAGTAGAAATAATAGTACAGTAATTAAAGTTGATTATTTTGTATTTAGTATTATTACATTATATAGCATGTACAAAAGTCATACTTTTGGGCAAGCTATGTCTCTGAAAAATAAAACATTCAAGTAAAATAAGAAAACTTTGGACTATTGATTAATAGACAATTTCCCAATAAACATGATAAGAAAGGAAAAGAAGTATGTGTTTAGTTCAACTTATAAAAACAAAACAATTTCTTTAATAATATTCCAATTACAGTATTATACTTGAAATTTGTATTTTATTGTTATATGTAAGACAAATAATGATAAACTTGTAAATATTAATGTGTCTAGTAATTAAATCTTAATATTTTAAGAGATTTATGACAATATTATTATATTGTATAAATCAGTAGTTGAATTTTCACCATTTTAAGTAATAAATGTAGTATTTTATTTGTAGGGGCAATTGTCATCCTGACATATTATCAAGAGTACGACAGTATTATAGTAATCCTGAGTTTCTGCCTGATGATGCAGAGTTCCCGGCCACAGAAAATATATTTTTCGGGTATGAAATGGGAGCAGTGATGCATGTGAGTACATACATATTTTACTCTGAATAAATACTTGCTTAATCTTATGTTTTAATAAAACAAATATTATTTTTGAATAGTTGGATTATATACCAAGACTGATGTGGCAGGGACAGGTGAAAGGGAACAAGAAATGGTCAATAGCACCTGTTCCCGAATGTGATCATGTGTGCCAAAAGTTTCAGTATTTTGTGGAACCTGGAGATGTTGGTAAGTTAGCAGCATCTCATGTAATAAACCATTAACATAATAACTTATCCTCAAATAACTTTAACTTAGTGAGGTAGACATTGTTAATCTACATTGATACCTCAGTCTCACCTATTTTATCTGGCAAGTACTTTAATTTGTAAGATGTTTTCCATTGAAAGGTTAAGACAAGTGAATGCAGTGAAATTACAGAAACAGAGGTATGTCTTTATGACATCATACAATTTTTAATTTGTAATATTTTCCCTCTGATAATAAGTATGTTTTATTATTGAGAGATAGTTTAATTAAATTATAATAGTGGATAAATTATAATAATATTTGCTTTCTTTCAGTGTTACTGGATACTCGTGTTTGGTACCATGCAACAACAATTCCAAAGGGAGAATTCTCCCTGACGGTTCAATCAGAATATGGATAATTTTCATTTTACACTTCTTTAGTACAAAATAATTATTTACATATCAAGATGCCAAATTTATACTATCTCTTTATTTATACACTATTTATTACTTTTACTATTTGATCATGTGCCATTTTATGTAGTTTAACTACTGTGACTTTTAAATATGCAATATTGTTTTTACAAATTATTTATACCTATTTTCTTTTTGTAGGTAAATAAACTTTATATGATATTTATCACTTTATTGAAGTTTCATTTCTGTAACTATTTATATGAGTAATATGTTCCAGAGTTAATAATTAAATAATAAACAATGTGTTTGTTTAAAACGTTGTATTTGTCTATTCTATTATTAAAATTTTTCAGTGAAGGATTGGCGTCAAAACTTATGCATGTACTTATTTATTTTTTAATACACAATAATTTTAAAACCACTACAATCATCACAAATTACTCTAAACATCAATAAGAAATGACAGTCAATTATGCAAAAAGTTCTGTCCAATTCTTCACTAAAATGTAATGTTCCAATAGAGATCAGGTTTGAAACTTGAAGGGTCAATAAGCTCATGGATATTTATCCAGATTAAAATAACATTAATAGATTCATTGTAAAATCAGCATCAATGAACAGCTCACCTAATGCACAATGCAACTTACAATAACAATAAATAATTTCGCATTTGACCAGATAGATGCCAGTACTTCAATATTTCCAATGGACAATTTTAATTGACATGGCATTGTGATATCACAAAAGAAATGGTACCATTATATTGTACCGGTAAGAAATGGACACCATATATATTATATTTATATTGCAACTACCCATTTAGCTCCATAAAGGTAGATACAGAAATGGACTGAGAACAATGAGTGGTGTGATTAGAAAAATTGCCAAACACCAAGAACAGCATCCTTTATAGCCTCTATGTATTGAGCTGGTACCCAGTACACCCAATATCTAGAGGCTTCAGTAGGTCCCAGCTGAAGACCCTGGGAAGATAAATAACAATCAGGTTATCAAGTGTACAGTAGTAAAATATTATATTGAATTAAAATAGCATAGCTTACCATGATGTGATACTCTTCATGATCTTTAATAGGTTCTGATGTGATGCCTGTAATATGTGAGTAAAGAATTAGTCCAGAATTTATAATCTATGTACCTTGATAAATTAATGAATATAGCATCTTATATGTTGAAGAATTTATTTGAAATATAGTTTGGATTTAAAATGTTACATATATACAAATGGGCATAATTGTATGACTTACTTTTAATAGAAGTCATAGCAAGCTTTTCAGTACGTTCTTTGGTACCAAGCCAAAGCTGGTCTTGCTCTGGTTTGAAGGTAAGTCTCACTTTGCCTCCATGCTTATTCAACATTCCACTTAATGGAATTGGTGGTAAAGGTTCCTTTAGATACAGAAAATAAGTTATTAATAAATGCAGTAATCATTTAAACTCACAAATAAGACTAATACTAGGAACAAGGAAGATGCAATGAACATATCACAACATTCCTCCCAAATGTGCCATTTGACTTAATAATTTTATATACACTTATAAATAGTATAATGAAAAGTCATTGTTATCATATATCTGAACTTCGGCTTACTTCTACACTACAAGATACATACCACAACAACTTGAAATTATATAGAGACATTATATAAAAACTACAAAATATTGGTTCTATTACTATTTTGTTCAGCAATCTACTTAATATTATATACTGTTTTAATTTTGATGCTGTCATTATTTACTTTTAATTAGTAAAAATCATGGGATCTTACCATATTTTTTATTTATCATGGCAGTTGAAACACTGCAGAAATATCTGTAACTCAATAAATAAATAAAAAACGTGGTAAGATCCTGTGATTTATTGTTACTAATTCTATTGTTATAATTACACTCAACTGTACAGTGTGCTCTAGTACAAATTTTTAATGACATCATGTTTATATTTTATTTTATATATTAAAAAGCATGATAGTGTGACATTACCTTGACTCCTTTGATTCCTGGCATGACATCAGGAGGGATGCCTTTGTCTAGAACCTTTCTATGGATCTTTTGTATGGAAAGTGGCTCTTTACTTGACTGACTACTGGCTTTTTCTTCTAATATTTCCTAAAATATAGTATTAATTCAATGAACATTGTAAAATTTATGATGAGAGTGGATATTTATCCACTGTTTAGAAATTTTCTAGTCATAGAAAAATTATATTAGAAGAAAATAAAAAACTGATGTTGCCCCCTCAATGTTGTGTGTTTGACATATACTACTGAAAGATACTCTGCTATATTTATCAGACTAAATACAAATAATTTAAAAAGGTTCACAGTATTCAAAACCCAATGGTGACAAAATTAATTTTTGATATTCTATACACAATATTATATTTAACTTAAAAAAATTCAGTGCAATACATTTTTTATAACAAATTGTCTAAAATATTGGCTATTATTCTATAATAGTTGTACTAAACTACTAACTACTACAGTGAATAAAATAACAAATATGAATCATTTTCATAATCTATTTTAGTAATTTCTATTAATAATACTGTTAAGAGAAGTGTGTACATGAAATAAAATTACCATGTAGGTATTGTACAGTATTCATTCTATCTCTATTCAGCGACTTTGCACCTTCCCTCACCCAAGCACAATAGCAATACTTTCAATCGAAAATTGGTTGTATATATTTATGTTCCACTCTACTCAGCTTACAATATTATTTCAGTAGACACAAACCTATATTTTCGACATTATGATGAATACATTAAAATTTCAATGACTTGCACATTTTTTGGATATTTTAGACTATTTTGGATTGGTAAATATAGGGTTGTGTTTTGAATTAGCTGAAGATAGATATGGTTATTAATGGAATTTGGGTTTTTCAGTTAAATATGATTCCAAAACCGACTTGTTTAAAGATAATCTGGTTACCTTAGCACATGGTTAATATTTTCATTGTGTATTACAACTTATTGTATACAATTTTCATAGTAGTATGTTGTGCATGGAAATGGGTTGGGCACATGCAGCATTAACATATTTGGATACTTAATGTAAATGTAGGTATATAGGGCATGTGTAATATTTTATTAAAGTTCCATTATGAAATAATAGAATAAAGAATTAAGCATATTTTTCTATAACCAGCCTAAGACTTATTTACCTTGGGAGCACTTTTCACAGCAAGGATGTCATCCATCTTAGATCCGACTAGCATTACTTTTCCACTTTTTACAATTCCCGCCTTCCTGAGCGTCATGTCGTCTCTGGCCATGCCTTTAATTATGAGTTTCTGTGCGGACTGTGGCACACCACATATTCTTTCCAAGTGTGCCTTTAATTCTAATACAGATGCGTCGTACGCAAATGTTATGTCATGTTTCACTTTGTTAAAAACTACAGTAAATTCGACCTGTTCCGGAATCTCGCAGACTTCTGACTCTTCAGTGGACTCCGAAGTACATGGTGCGCTTTCAGTAGCTTCCATGTGTGTTTTTTCACTGTCCACATTTGGTTTGTTATCTATCGCAGTCTTGGGAGTGCCATTGGATACTAATGAGTTCGGGTCTCTATTTTCTGTTGAATCCCCCTTTTCGGAAGCTGGTAAATAATGAAAAATCATAATTAACAGATATTCTAGAACAAAAGGTATCAATACATTCGACTACAAAGAATGACAACAATATTCCAAAACTCAATTATTATAAATTGATCGTAACAATAATATACCAATATATTCCATAATTTGACGAGAACCGTAACTTTAAAATTGAAAAATTGATAAAAATATTATATTTGTTTTTAAAAAAAATATTAAAATACAGCCGAATGGCTGAGTACAGTGAGGTGACGTGAAGCAACAATTTTTGATTTTGAAATGTAAAGCAAAATTGAAGGACGCAAAATAAAGACAGCTGCACAGATTAGCAAGGCAATGTCTATGAGACAATCGCAAACTATGCCGTAGAACAGGAATCAGATATTGTAAGCTCTACACATATACTAAAAATGAAGTTTATATATATATTAAAAGTCAAGAAACTATTTCGCTCCATTTAAATAAACCAATTATACAATGACGTTCCATAATTTCATTTGTAAAATTATTTGCTAAAAAAATACTTGACAAATTAAATAAAAAAAAAGCATAATTAAAATGCAAATGAAAAAATTGTAGTTAGTTAAATTGTGTACTTCACTTTGACTATATATGGGTTTCAATCAGTATTTTCTCGAAAAGTACAAAACTTCCAAGGTATGTATTTTTCATTGGGTTATGGCATTATAATGGCGTTTCTTAGCCTAGATATTAATAAAAAAAAGATGGTCTTCCGTTTCCATGGCGCTGGATTTGTAAACAAATAGAAGTTTTTGTACATTCTATCAAGTCTTGAATTATACTTACTTTTCTTAAGTAAACTAGGTACCCGTTTATTTATTGGAAATGAGTTTTAATGTTGACGATCCTTTAGCTGGTATACTTAGTGATGGAAGCGACGATAGTTTTTTTGATGACGATATATTAGGGAAGAAAAAACCCTCCAAAAAAACGGCCACACCAACTATTGAAAGGAAACAGTCTTTGTTTAACATAGATTCAGAATCATTAAAGCCCACTAATAAAGCTGATATAGAAGACAAGAATATCAAAGCTATAAATGTTACAAAAAATGATAATAAAGCAATGGATTTTGGTGATCGAAATAAAAGCGATTTTTCTAGAGATTCTTTGAAAGGCGAAGCAAAACCTAAACAGTTAGTTGACAAATTAGAATTCGCTAAATCTCCTAGTAAACTAAAGTTAAGTGCGAATCATGACACTCTTGACATGTTAGGTGAGTTAGCAGTCGGAAAAAAAGACATTGTTAAACCACTAGAAAAAGGAAAAAGTTCGCAGTCACTATTGGATGATATTCTAGGTGGGTCCTCTAAGACTGTTTCGAGTCAAGCAGCAAAACCGACCACTGCAGCAAAAAGCCAAGACTTTGATTTTGATTCGATTTTAGGAAAAAGTGATTCAAAGCAATCTGTGGCAAAGAAAAATAATAAACCAAAAAGTACAGACAAGATTAAAGAAAACGCTGCACCTAAGAAAAAGTCTGGTGATGATTGGCTTGGTATATTTCAAGATAAAAACGAGAACAATGATGACAATGAAGATGATGATGCAGGTATGCCGTCGTGGTTAGTTGGGTCGGATGCTAAGAAAAAGAAACCTGTAAATGTAAATAAAGCAACTCCAGAACAACCTCTTGAAGAACCCCTTAAGCAGTTGGATGAGGTTAAACAAGAAACAAATGTAAATGTCAACGTGGAAAATCCTAAAGTTGCTAGAGCTCCAACTCCAAACCTATTACCTACAGGGACTGAAGATATAACCACTGAAGGTGCAACTCTATATCTGCAACAACAGGAATCACAGCTAATGATTGCTTTACAGTTGAAAGCACAAGAAGAAAAACTAGCCGCAATGCAGAGTAAGTAATAAAAATTTATAAAATGTTAATACATGCATGTTCTTATTTGCATAAATAAATGAATAAATCTCTAGTAGGACTTCTGTCAGTTATAGAAAATTAATTTCTTAGTGCGTCAGAAGGAGAGTCAAAGGGTCCAGCGTGAGGCTGAATTAGCGCATCATGCTCAATTAGATTCCATGTTGCAACGACAATCTGCTCACAGACAGCAGATGCAAGCGATAATATCTGCACATCAAGAACGTATTACACAAAGAATAAAGGTGATCTGGCTTTTAAGTATTATTATACCCATAAATAATATATTTATATTATAGCTTACGTTTAACCAGTGCTATTAGCTTCAGGCAGTAATATTTTTGAGGAATATAGTAACACCAATAAACAAGTTACGGAACTAGATATTACCGATTATTACTTTATTAGGTGCTTAAAAGTGACCTGAATTTCATAAGAGACTTCATTATTTCCTATTGTAATTTACAAATCTGAAATTTAGGTGAACTATTAAAATTTTTTATTTTAATAATGTCTTGTTAACATATTTTTTGGAATTTTGAGACATGTTTGCGTTACCCCTGATCTCGTATCTATTTGTGGTATAACAAATCAGGGATTGTTGGGTGACGTAACAATCGTCAATCAACATTTCTAAAGTTAAATTATATATTAAATTATTTCAGGCGCTATTAGGTACAACTAGTATAGAAAATAACCCAAATAATTCCGAAGATGTGCTTGTTACTACCACTGAGGCAGAACAGAAAGAAACTCCTTACATGAAGGAGAAAAGGCAGTTGCTTCAGTTAGTTCAATCGTTACAAGAAAATCACGATAAGGAAATAGACTTAATGGAAACCTCATACAGGTTAACAATGATTTTTATTGTATTTTAACATTCATGTCTTTAATTTTTAAATAATGATTCTTATTTTATTTTAATATTTATGTCTTTCATCACCATAGGCGTCAACTAGCTTTCTTAGAAATTTCTCTTAGTCAAGCAGAAGAAAGAATGAAGGAAGAAAGTGACAAGTTAGTTAAATATTACTCTGAAAAGATAAATTGGCTAGAACAACATCATCACTTGTTCAAAAAGTTAACTGAAGACAATGTGAACGCGCTAACGGAGCGCCATAAAGCAGAAAATGAATTGTTAAGAGAACAGCATCTGGAGAATATTAGAATTTTACAAGAACATCATGTAACGCTGATGGAGAATATTAAGTAAGATTTTATGTTTGTAGATAGTAAATGGCAATTAAACATGTTAGAAATATATTTTAACATTTCACAGAAAGGCAGTAAAACACGAACATGAACTCATTCAAGAATCAGCAGGTTTTTCATCTGATCTGCATGAATTAGTGACAGATGTTAAAGAAAATAAATCCCAGTGCCAAATACTATTAGAAAAAGTTCAAGCGATTGCAGATAACGCTCAGCGAGATACCGAAAAAAGTTTAGTGGCAAGAGAAACACAAATAAATGGTAAATAAAATATATTGCTGATAGATCTATATTTATTAAATTTACTATCGTCTGGAACTTTTATTTTTAAATAGATATAGACTGTGTAGATAGGAACGGATATAATGTCTAGTATTGTTTACAGATATGGTCCACCAACTGAAAAAAGAGCGTGAAAATTTTGAAAGCGAAAAAATAGAAAGTAAAGAAGTAGTTAAACTGCTAGAAAACAGATTAAAACAAATGACTACGGTATTTATTTTTAATATTTAGACATGATGTAGAGTAGTAGAAACAATAAAAGATATTTTTATTAAAATTTTAACAACGTAATTAAGTTGTCATTAGCAACAATTTAAATTAATGAAAATAAATAATATTTTATATTTTCAGTTAATTGAGGAAGATACAGCGGCTTTAAAGCAAAGAAAAATGGAATTCGAGTTTGAAAAAGCTACCTTCAATAAACAAACAGAATTCGCTAAAACTATTCTTAAAAAACAAGACGAGGACATAAAGGTATGTCTATATGTGTAAGTTATGTACATATGTTAATTTTTCTATGGGCACCTATTGTTGAACATTAAAAAATGTGCTTGTGTATACTTACGTGTAGATTTTATTACAGATGTTGAGAGAAGAAATACAGAAAGAGTATGATGAAAAAGTAACTAAGATAGATGATGAAAAAAAGAAAGCAGTGAAGGATAGCGCAGTTGCTGCTAAAGAAAAGGCGACCATACTTAGCATCAAACAAGAATTAGAAGTTTGTTCACAATTAGTGATGCTTATCGTTTAATACAAATAATTCGAATTATCATATTCATTCATTTGATTTACAGACGATGAAATCAGAACTCCAAGCTCAATTAGAAGAGGTTACCGAAGATAGATCGAAATTAAATGTTGAAAAACAACACATGCATATGGAAGAACAGCGAATTCTAGCTAAGTAAGTATTCATTGATATAGGCAGTCAATTCTATAAAGTTGTTTATTAACAATTAACCGTATGTCCCTAGGAGTCGTGATTTAGATTTACTTGCAAAAACAGCAATAGATAAACAATCACAAGCAGACAAAAAATATTCGGAGGCAGAATATTTACAAAGAAAATACGAGGAAAGAATTCGACGGATACAAGAGCATGTTGTCTCATTAAACACAAGAGAGAAGCAAATTGCTAAAGAGAAGGTAGCATTGTCTAGAGAAAGATTAAATTTGCACAATGAAAGAAAACAATTGGAAAGTAGACAACAATGTTCTTTATGTAAAAGCACTCAGAATGTAACTACATATACATATGAACCTAATTATAATATGCCAGATACTTTTCTTAACGTCTCTGTGTCTAGAGACTACGGTGGTGCTGAAGTGAATTCTGCAATGAATGCAATCGAACACGAAATGGCGTATCTTATGAGTAGAAATTTTAATCTAAGACATAGTACAAGTCTTACTAACGAAGAAAGGAGTTTTATTGAAAAAAAGACTGCTGCCGAAAGTAATTTACAATCTGTCCAGAACGAAACAGGGCCATTAAAGGTTTGTTTTAATAAATTATATTTGTGCTTGTATAAAGTTGTACGTCTGCTTTTGTTGAGTATAAAAATAGTGAAATCACGACGTGTTGATTTAATACATTGGTTTTATTTTAGGATTTTATGGACCCGAAATTTATGATGCTACGTTTAGATGTTCAACAGGTTTTAAGTAATTTGGAACAAAACAAAAATGACGATGACCATTCAGGTGATGAAGAGAAGTAGTGTGTCTTATTATAATTACTACTATTATAGTTATACTTGAAAATGATTGATTTTGGTAATTTGATTTTGTCGACTAGCTTAAAAAAGATATGTTCTCGTATACCTACACTACGAATTTATTATATATAGCATTTTATACTGTTTATATACATAATATTACAGAAGTAACAAGGATTTCGATACGAAGATTTTCACGTTTCATTCGTAACCGATCCGAATATTTTAGTGGTGATGTAATCGCAATGTTTTGGATAAGCTGAATAACAGCGGCCAGATGTAATGAGTAGACATTCTCGTCCACCTTTACACATCTTCGTGTGTTACTATAACCAAAACTAGCTCGATACTTATCTAGACAATACGTAAATAGTCACTCATTGTATCGGCTATTTACGCAGACACTTTCCGATTGATATTTTTTCAAGTTAAATTGTATTAAGATCAAGTTATTTCTTTAATATTACGAGAAAAGTATTAGCTGTCTATGATGCATAAGAGAAATAAACAACAAAATAAAAAGACTGAATAAAATTAGAATTCATTTAATTTATATTCAATGACTATTAGTAGAAGAACATTTTTAATAGATTTATTTCATGTTATCAAAATGTACACAAATGCCTACGTAACTACCTAACTTAAAAGTTATAAATAGGATTTTCATTGTAAAAATATCATATACACAATCTCTCTTAACAAATACACATTAATTTTAATCCATCTACAGACAAAACAATTTGACATCTGATTGGTCGGGCCGATCAGTTGAGTCTACTTTGCTATGTTCACACGCACACGCATTTTTGCAACCTTCCAACTTCAGGTCAATTTGGAGGATAAGAGCATTAATGCGTTAGAAATGATGATTCCTTTTCTATTTTTTTTTTTTCTAAATTTAGACTTATTTGTAAAACCGTTTATTTGTTCAATTTTTTTTTTTTTTTTTTTTCAAATATACATAATTCCTCAATATCAATTTTCTATATAAACAATTACAAAAAACAATCATTGTAATGTAAATCCTTTTCTATTTAAATGCCGTCGCAGTAGTTAGCTTTTCTAAGTTGAGTTTTATTTATCACGACCTCGTTCTTTGATATGGATGATAGGGCGTAACAATAACAAAATAAGTTATTCGTATTTTGAACTATTTTCGAGATGTACAGGAGATAATGGGATAAAATATCGAGAAGAGTACTACTAATTCAATACGTGTTACTTAGGACAGCACTCAGCACATCGGCCCGAACGATCGGGCGTGAATTTGATCCATAGAAGCTTTTAGGTACTATCAAGTGTGGCTACATATACGAATACACACTTTACATTGGATGGCTTAAATAATATTAGAAGCCATAACATTCTTATTGGAGAAAATATATTTGCATCTAACATTATGAATACTTACCAGTCTTTTATAAAATTGGCTCTAAGTATTATTGAAATAATATCGTTATGGACGGCCTGGCCTTTGTCGATATTAAAATTATACTAAACTATTTTTTATACAGATCTCTAAAATTGCTTATGTTATCAAAACATTGTTTAAAAAGGCCACATGCCTTGAGATATTATAAGGAACTTATTAACTATTCGGTATAGTCGCTTACAATAATAATAATAATTACGTTAAGTTTATTACAAGTAAACAAGCTACAGTCGTTTACTTGTTATTAAAATTATTTTATGCGACTGTACGCGTACATTAACTATTATTTATGTCTATAGGTACAATATTTACAACAAAAATGTATTTAATTAGAGTTACATAAAGCTCTATAATAATGATTAAATACATACAATTCCAAATGACAATACCATCTTGAATAATATCTACCTAACGAAGACAGAATAAAAAAATCCTTTCATGAATTTTATCACAGTATTACACATATTTATTTCATTGTAGAATCCAACATTATTATCAAATTTTTGAACTAAACAACACTTAATTTTATAATAATATATATAAGTATATAACCATTGAATTCGATTTGTTAATTACATAAATTTTATTATAACAATATTGATGTATAATTTTTATGCATATAATTTATTTTAAGTAATTAGATGATAATGATTAAACGTTATGATTTATTAACACCAGCTTCTTTTTGGTATTTCACCTCTAATAGTTGTGGATAATTTTCCACGATCGCCAATAATATGCCGTCGATGTAATTTCTTAATTGTACGTTTACGTCTTGTTGTTCCTTTAAAGCTTTCTGCAACTGTAAACAAAGGAAGTAGGAGTTAGCTGACTTGACTAAGACCGATTTAATAACTAACTGTGATAACTACATTACTTGCACTTTTATTAAAAGAAATGGGGCATGGCCTTAGTTCTTGTTCCAAGACCGCATCGCATCAAATCATCCGCCGGCTTTATAACTACATATGTATAGTATTTCTTCTTGCTTTTTTGTTTGGCCCTAATGTAAAAAAAACAAGTCCGTAAAAGTATGCGTGGCCTGTGACTGAAGAATAGATATAGATATCAATGAATTATAGATACTGATCCGAAGGATTGCTTATAATTTCTCCCTAAGACTAAACTGCTAAAACATTGGACTAAGAAACAATGAATTTCTCCCGATTTGACCGAGAATCGAACTCGGACTCTAATATGCACAAACGCAATGTACTTGCTATTGTGTTCGAGTAGGTACTCGTTAAGTCGGAAATACCACAAAAACTTTATAGTTTTCAGTAATCATTTGCTAATAAAAAAACGGAAGATGCTGGTAAGACAAAATTATAAAATCAATAAAAAAAACAGTATTGTGTGTGATTAAATCATGCAATGCAGTGTATCTGTGTAAATGGTATGTTAGTAATGGGTTAAGCAAAGATATTTCATAAAGTATGAAAAAGGTACAGCTTGTTAAAGTAAAAGCATGCAAGAAGTTAACCAGTTCCTGAAATGTACATGCACAGTTAGTAAAAATGTCGTACCTTTTCCATCTCTATGCTGAGATCTGATTGTGTATCACTACCATCGAGCTGCAAAGATGTATACATAAAAATATATATGACTGTATCGAGAATATTCTGCAAACATACAGTACACGAAGCAAAGCGTGGCCATGATGACAAGACATAACAATAGTTAAATTCTTACAGTGCTCAAATCAAAAATGTCTACAAATTACTAAAAAAAAATGTGTAAAAATAATTTTGCTACTGATTTTTCTTATGTGACTATGGAATGGAATGGTGCAACTACCTACAATGAGGGTATACGCTGGCGTCGCAACAGTCAAAGAATATTATTGGGAGGATAACTCCCGTCAGATAGCACTGGTACCCCTAGTCTCCATTAACAATACTTACCCCCATAGTTCCATTGCTTGTTACCTATCTCGTTTTTATTTTTTTGAAAGAATGGTATTGAAATTTCAAAACTACCTACTATTTGCCTACGCACTGTCAGAATTCAAACTTAAACAAGCACATTAGTATATAGTTAATGCACCTATCGTACTAGTATGCGACTAATCAGTATGCAACAAATATTAAAGGTTTGACTTTGTATACAATTATATAAATCATAAGATAAGAAAATGACATAACATGAATTGCGGACTAGTATAACAAGCGACCGGAAAATACGTCGGTATGCAATGGATGTTCAATAACAATCTATTAAATGCATTTTAAAAATGATGTTAGTACGTCTGAAGGTAGATTCAGATGAAATGAATAAAGAACATGAGCCAGTAGAGAAACTAGGTTGAAAAAATAATGTTATAATATTGGCATTAGATTGAGACATCTTTATAAAGTTTTCTCTTTTAAGGTAATAAAAAAGATTCAATATTCGAAACTATATATATATATATATATATTACTTTTTTAGTTGATATTCAAAAGGCAAAGCGTTCTATTTTTTAAATATTAGTGTCTTATTCGAAATGTAAGCTACAAAGAACTGAAAATTATATAATCATAAATTCAGCAGTTTCATGTTAAAAAATACTAAGAAGAGATATAAATTAATAAAAGCAAAAAATTAAATAATGAAGCCATTGTAAGGTTGTAATTATTGAGTATTGTCATAGTATCTACAAAATTGTTTTTAGATGTAAATAATTCTAGGCTGTTAAAAAAAATACTCCTGGCCATACTCTAGCATATAATACATATATAGACATATGCAATGAACGAGAATTTACTACATTGTTTTAAATCCACCCTTAAACGTAGCAGGCAAAGTCCTCGGCGCGTGTTTGCTAGTCCTTTAGAAAATGTATCCAGAGTTAATTTTGATACGATATAATTTTGTTTGTACTCATTTCAAGAGCAGTGCGTGCCAGCTTTAGTATTTATGATGGAATTAATAATCAAATGGATTCTTGATTGATTACAGTAGAAATTGATGAAGTGACTGTCATTTGTAATGAAATGTTCAATATTTTATGTTTAGGTTGTAATCTATACCTGTATCCGTATAGTTCTACCGTAATTATTTATTAACAGTATCTTAGTAAAAACCGAAAGAATAGGGGTTTTTTTCTGTTTATTTCCTGACACAAAAATATTACATTTAATTCTACATTAGATGTAGCTACCTACAATAAAGTGTAATAATGCTTCATTCCTTAAAAATCATTGTATACACAACGAGTGTCCTACTTACTAGGCACCCATTCACACTTCTTCTGATTAATCTATATACAATTATGTTTACAATGTCATAGAGAAATCGTCAGAATGTATTGACACAGATACTTGTGTACATGTGTCCAGTCAATTAACCATCTAAGTAAGTGAATAATCAGTTAGCGTGTACCATGGACGGGCTTGAGTAGGTTTGAATGCTTGAAAAACTTAATGTTTAATAACTGTAGTGAATTGTTAATAAATTACCTCATCGTCGCTCATTTGAGAAAGTTCGTGTGCGAGGGAGGTGGTGCCAACGAGAGGTCCACTTACGCCGTCGAGCAGACTGCGACCTTCCTCCACGCCGCGCGTCAATATTTGTGCTTGAAGTTCCTCTTGAGCTTCTGATAAAGCTGTAATAGTAATTACGTTTTTAAATGAGATAATGTGCACAATTAAGATTTATCTTCGTAGTACAGTAATCAGATTTAAATACTATTGTAAAAATTTTGATGGAATGCTCAACAAAGTTGAAAGGCTTGACCTATCATTAGAGTTATTTATTTTTAGCATATACCATAGTATTTGGAATGTTTGTTCAAATGTCTGGTATCAAACATTTGTTGACTTTCACGTATATAGTTTTAGAGATATGTTAAGAGCGTCTACAATCTACGTCTATGGATAGACAAGTTAAAAATATGATGTATCCAGAAATGTATGTAAGAATAACGGTTTTGGGACCGGTTCCACACCCTGGATGACCTGGCCTATCCAACTGGATACTATAAAACATTAACTTACATTTGTTTTGTGTTCTTAGCAATGTTAGCTCCTTCCTTAGTTCGTCTAAACGAGGATCAGGAGGCGGGGGTGGAGCTTCCGTTACTTTCTGGAGTTCCAATTTAGCAGCGGTCAGCATTTCAGCAGTGGCAGTGGCAGCTTCGCGTTCTCGTCTTTCAGCTTCACGGGCAGCGTTTAGCTGAGCCACCAGTTCTCCTATTTGTTCTTGAGCTTCGCGATGTGCCCGCGTAGAAATTTCAGCGTTTGCTCGTAGTGTTTCTGCTACACCTCTAAGACGTCCCACCTGACGATTGAAATGTTAATCTTTCTATACAGTAGGACTTAAAATAATCAAGTGAGAGTGAGTCTTTTTATCAAGGGAAATAGATATATGGGTTATCTGAGGGGTAAGATCAGTCTGGTCTAACTTCTTAGGTTATACACTTTTCTTAATATTAATACCGGTATTTTCTAGTGATTTATGTTTCTATTATATTATTATATATAGTATTTATTTATACTATAACAAATATCCGAAAAAAGTAACTTGAATGTGCAGTCATATCCTAGTGTATACATATAATTTACAGTGCAGATTAAATTGATGAGATCGCTTAAATTCAACTGTAGTTTATTTAGGGATCATTACCTCTTGTTTAAGATCAGAAGCTTCAGTTTCTGCGGCTACAAGTCGGTCATTGAGTGCAACTTGTTGTGTATCCCTCTCACGCTCCACGCGCGCGATGGCATCTCTACATCTTTTCTGTTCATCAGCTATGCGTTCTTCGCAGCGGCATTCAATCTAGCAAAAAGTATTAACTTTACAATCCAATAGCTTTACATTCAATTCCGCAAAAGGATATGAATTAATCGCCTTTGCTATAATTAGAGGTCATTACGATATTACGGATACAGTTGGGTATTATTAAAGTGATTTACCTAGATTATGTACTACTATAGGCACTAGTAACGATTCTTACAAAATCCTATATACAATTTGTCAGATACATAGATTCAAAAACAGTTACTACCTAATGCGTAAGCTTTATTTAGAAACATGGAACCTGTACATTTAAGTTTAACCATATTTAATGTACCTACGTTGTAAAATTGGTGATCGTATATCTTGGATACCACCTCCATACTTATGGATATAAGTAGATGTTAACGACGTCGCATTAATATTTATTGCAGCTTCATTTATTACTAAATAAAGGCTGTATTTTACTGCAAACTGTTAACTGTTAGTCGGAAAAAATGTATTGAATGTCAAAACCTAGTCTTTGCCTATATTTTCCTTCATACTAAGAGAGTCTGATAATGTAGCCAAATATATATAATATATATTATCCTCGATTTTACAGCTTATCTAGTCATGTCTATCCGGGCCCCCGAGACAGTATCTCAAAATATGTTCTGACGTCGGCATAAGTTGATTAGTGTTATTCGATCTCAGACACTATCAGCCCGGAGTCTACTCTAAACTTATGTAATATCATATCATAGATAAAATTTACATAAAGAGTAGATTGTAATTTTCTTATTAGATTTTCGGACAGAAAATAATAGATAGAATTTTCGACAATGTGCGGTTGGGTGAAAGACTGATTGCTACATAGTACCTCTTCCAAAAGATGGATGTCAAATATTGCCAAATATATCTCCTAACGTCATCCACTTTAGTAGATAATCCATTTAAGAATATATTACTCTCATGATATGGGCTAAGGAAAGAAGATAATAATTAAAATGAAGACGGTAGACCATACCTCTCGTATTTGTTCGTCGAGCATGTGCAACCTGGCCTGTAGCACTGCATTGTCAGCCTTCGCCCTGGCGTAGCGTTCATCTGCCGTGCTCTGTGTATCCGCCAGTGTCGTCACTTGTTGTTGTAGTAATAGAACCTGGAGAGAAAAAGAAAAAGATCCAATATTAGTGACATGTATTTTGATATATTTCTTTAATGCAAGGGGGCAGGGGTGTGGTTTATGATATTCATAAAGTAAACCACACCCATGTTTGTAAGAAATGTCGAAGCAATACCAGAAAAAGACTGCAGCAGACGAAATCAAGTTTTTGAAAATAACGTTGAATAAAATATTAATAAGACAAATATAGTTAACGAGAATGTAAATAAGAATAAATGGAATGTCGAATGTGATACCATGATCATCGTATCTATCATGGTCAGAAACGTCTCAGAAGAAGATCAAGTCTCCGGAACTGTCTTGAGTGAATGTGACAAATGAGGCCATAAGATTAGTGTTGGGTGGGAGTGTAAGTAAAGGAACCTATATAGTACTAGCTAATAGTGTCTGACTACGGACAGTAGTCAGACACGTAAGTGTCAGTTGTTGAATCAGGGTACATCTTAAAGACAGTAATAGTTATTTCAGTAAAATCTGAATCACTTTGTTCGTGTACGAGAAACCTTGAGTCATTTTCCGCGCGTTCGCCAGGATTGCGCTGTAGGCGTCACAAACGCAAATAATTTTAATTTACGATTGCGTATTAATCAATTTAGATCGACGGATGTAACGTTTTTAATGAAGTAGCAAATTATTTTATATTTATTTAAATTTCTATGTATTTATACTAATATTACAAATGAGAAAGTATGTTTTTTCTGTTTCTTAGTCCTTCAAGACTAAATGGCTGAACTAGTCTTAATAAAAGTTGACGTGAAGATTAATAGTATCACAAGGACTGACGAAGGTTATCTTCCACATCTCAAAAAAGTAGGCCTCTACGCGGTTCCTCTTGGAAACCATCGTGATAAATTGCCGGTCAATTTGCTACGATGGGCTAACTGTCCTGACCTTATGCTCTTCTTATCATTCTTCATTTGTGCTCCGACAACATAAACAGATAGCTCACTCGGGTGCACCATTCCATTATCACAAATTAAAAAAAAATGTGAAAACAACATAGAGACAGGTGACTAACTTTTATTTTCTACCATATCGGGATACCAGTCAGTAAGATTTAACATTTTGGCAATAAAATCAATGTCTATTAAATAAACACATTATAAGGTCTACTTTAAACTTAATATAACTACAGAATTGGGCTCGTAAACTCAACAGCTGCATACGGGATCAGTAACTATAGCGAAGCCGATCTCGTAACTTCGGACACCGAATTGGATTTCGCCTCATTTGCATTAGAATATATTTACCAGCTCAAAACAGCTGCTTGTATGACCAATGGGGTATTGAAAACGTATATACCTATGCACTATCTATACGTATGCAAGTAGTAAACATTTTTATTTAAATTCTTTTTTTATTTTCGATTACTCTAAATGTGTGTTTCTAAAGTTTTCATTCATTAATTTCCTTATTTAACCGAATAATAATTAATATACATCAAAGAAAACAGTGTTTTTTTTAATCATTAATGGAGGTCGTTTGGCCGTACTGATTTATCAACGTACAGCCAAAACTACAAATTCCAGAAGTCTACGTTGGTATTTGGAACATAGGTTTATTTCTAATTTAGCTAAATAAATAGGTAAATTCGTATGGGAACGGAAAATAAATGGTGCCGCAAAGGTAAACCCGTGCGAAACAGATTACAACGCTAGTTACAGATTTTAAATATAAACATATTGAATTAATTTAGGTAATAGTTTTAATAAAAGTAAGTATAAAAAAGCAAGTAATAATGAGAAGTAGTTAGATGTCTACATAAGTATTTATGACATTAGTCATAAGTGCTTTTACCATTACGTTATATAGTGAGACATAACATGTATTAACAGGAAGAACAGTCATAAATAGGAAGAATACAGTTTATTGACGTTCAGAAGAACACACGCACTACTAATTCTCATGAATATGGTGTATTATTAGTACCTACTTATATTTACACGTGCGTGAAACATAAGACTTGTAATGACTACTATGAACGGAGACGGCGCGATGCTTTAAAAACTAAACTTAGAGGGCTTATTAGGTCATTCACTAAAACTGCTCAATATCAGTTCACTAGGGTTCCCAAGTTTTCTCTGATAGGTAGTATTAACACTAACATCTAGAAAGAGTTATGCTCATTTTGTACCGAGAGAAATTGACCAACTAACATCTGTCCATCGCAACGTGGTGATTTTGCTACGTTAACTGACCTGACTACATGCTTATACTATCATCCTCCATGATTAATTTGTCAGCATAAAGTAGCGTAGGCCAGTGGTATCATCGTCATCCATTAAAAATAACATCTGCCAAAGCTAATCATAATACCGTCTTAAATATTACGAAACGAAAACCAAATGACAGTTGTCCAATGAATATCTATTTATAATCATTTTTAATTAGAATTTAAAAATATATATTCTGAAACATCCTTCTATAACATTAAAATAATCTAATATTATTATAATTAATCTTCAATACTCATTTACAAGTAAAAAAGGCAATAAGTAATTACATTATATAATTACATAATTGTATGTCATCCCTATTAAATTGCTTAGATATTACTTTCGATCAGTACCTATTCAAAAGTAAGAGTAGGTAAATCTGTTTACGATTTTACTTTTGTTAAGCCCAAGACTAAGGCGCAGTTTCACCTGCTCGGTGCAGTTGTGCTTTGAGTTGCTTATGAGATAAGTAGATATCTACCAATACATATTAGAGAAACGGAACAATGGTACACACATATTTATGAATTTTGTTTTTACAGGCGAAATATTATTTATAGATAGAGGTTTAGATTAAATATTAAATAAACCGACCTTCTTGTTTTATTCAATATTAAATTATTAATAAGATTGATTGATTTTTGACATAAAAAAATATAAAAGTTAAAATGTGATGCATATAAATATATATATCTACAATCCGACGTATCTATAATATTATAAGTATATAGGAGTAAAGCGTACAATGTTTTATTTACAATATTTTATTAAATTCAGTAGCGTTTGTACATGCCATAAGATTACAAAAACTTACACGCAATATATACATAAACAAGATAATGACGGACAGTGTTTACTTTCAAAATTAGTAATTTTCAATAGCATTCAATCTTTATAAGAATAGAAGCACAAGATTATTATGTATACAAATCACGGGAGAAAGTGAAACCAATTATCTACCTACGTTTCTCTGATGTAGTTAATCGTTAAATTATCGATTGCTGCCGAAATACAGATGGAATTAAGAGAGAGAACTCTATTTATGCATTAAACGTAATTGTGTCCTAATAATCTAACAGACATAACTTTATTATATGTCAATTAGAACGTGCGTCAATATAGATTCTATATCTATATACACAGTATTTACATTAATGTACATATGTAGGTATTTACGGATATAGATAAAAATATGTCAAATATTCTGTATCTTGTAGGCTGTAGTTTTAAAATAAGAGTAAAACGATCAAAAAAGAGGAATAATTACATCATTCATTTATTACTTTAATGTTTGATTGCCTATTGATATTGAAACTGGCAACTATTAAAATATATCGAGAATAATAAAGTATTCAAATTAATGAAGACTCAACAGCACGTTCACGTCAATAACTGATAACCTCGTTATTTATATAATACCAACGGATATATTGCAACGATTACTTTGTTGACAATTGTGAGTTTATTCCTTACGTTCCACACAAGATATTTGGATACATTTTGTTTAGTGATAAACATAATGTATCCACAATTGTATTAAATCTTTACTGTAGCTGTTATTAAATATGAATCGACTATATTTTCAATTGGATATTGCAAATTAGTAGTAATACTCATTCGTGTATTGTACAGAAATAACAGAGAACGTTTGTGGTAACAGATGCTATGTTACCATAATTGTATTTAAGTGCTATCAATAGTCACTTTACTTTAACTGAATAGCTTGCAAAGTGAGCGCTCGTGACTTCCTCAAGTGAACACATTTTCTTGCTGGGCTAACTTGTCTTGCAACTTTCCAGCATTTGTTAACAACTATACGTTTACTGATGGACATATTAGCGATTCGTTTTCGTCCATACCAATTTTAACTGTAATAATGTTGGAGGCAGCGAAAATAATGGAGACGTTTTTATGTATGTGTATCAGAAGTTATATAAAAACAGGTTACCAATTTTATTTCTAATTAATAATGTCGAAATACATAAGTATATTTTCTGATAATAATTGTTAGTTAATTAATAGTTTTTATATACACACATGTAGGTATGTTAAATATAATTAATGTAACAGTAATTATGTGATAGGAAATTATAGCAGTTTAAAAAAAACAGTGTTAGTATTTATTAAAGTATGTAGTTATTTTTTTAATAGAAGATATCTTCTTCTATTATAAGAGACCTATGGGTTTGGGGACTAGTACGGAGCAATATTGATCATGGGGGAAGTTTTTTAGTATTTATCGTATACAATTAAAAAAACTCTACTTTTTACCCTTTAAAATTGATTTGCGATAACTGTCTGCATTGCTCTGTAATAACTAACTAGTTAATTAAACCACTTATAAGCTAATTATAGATTTAAAAAAAACTAACATGGTATATATATATGTACGTTGTACAGGAAATATTTAACAGGAATAATACTCTTTTCACGGTTGAACAATCCCATACAGAACTAGGCAATTAACTAAGTACAATATTGCAGATTAGTACTGGTCAACGGTTGGTCGAAGTCCTAACTAATAAAAAGGTCGTTGTGCGGTAAACGAATAGCCAGGTTCGATCGATATCAATTACAGATTCAATTCTAGTCAACAGTATAACGTAACGGTAAACTGCAACCGAGTGTAAGTTCTAGGTTATTTTGATAGATTTATTAATTAAATTAATTATTAATCATTTATAAGCAACTCATTCCTTCCTATGTATATTTAAATACTAATTATGATAGTTAAACAATAAAAATATAACTCAATAAAATTATTAATTGTCTGCTAATTAATTAAAATAATCAAGAGACCTTGGTAAATTAGAACATTTTGTTATCAAAAGGATGCTCAATTGCAATGTACAAATACCACGCTACTTATATACAAAAACGTCGATGATAAATAAATTAGTTTTTTTCTGATAGCATTAAGTATCAAGAACACAATGTAGGTAGGTATGTTTATAAAGGAAGTGGAGTTGTTGAATGTTCCAGAAGTTGCATACTATGCTAACCTGATTATTAACTTATTATGCAGAAAATGCCGAGCTGGTATGGCCATGACTTACATTTTGTACGGAACAATGTATAATATTTATTTATATTTTCTTTTTATTTACAGTTTCTGTTCGTGTAAGAACAGACATGATTTAATACAACAATTTTTATTTGTAACAAAAAAATATCCTGCCGAGGTTAGTATTTTTTGCATTAGAATATTAGGTCTACTTTAGAAATGCTTCTCATTTGAGATGAACATATTATCTGAATGCTCTGTTCTTTGGATTTCCTATTATGATTAAGAATTGTTGATACAAATATTGCTTTGCTTTCAAATAAGTATCAATTACTTATAAATTATTTACTTCCGAGACATTTACCAGCTGCAACACTTAAACTACTATTAGTTAACATTAGTAGTGGAAATAAGTTATTAATATACCTGGTTTGCATATATTAGAATCTAGTTAAGTGGGGCAATAACTTATTATATGTAGTTGGAAATACGGGATGTATTAACACGAAACTTGGTATAATACGAAATTACTCGTAATCGAGAAAAGCCTCTTCTGTTTTCTGATTCACGTAAAAGAATTAGTTATTAATCTATCTAGCGATTCTTGCATATATTAGCTTGTTATTGTTATGTTATTGAACGTTATAATTTATCTGAAGGGCAGTAGTAGACTTCGCCCATCAGATAATACCATTTAAACTTTCATAGTTTATTAACCTTAGTGGCTAAAGTGATATGCTTGTTATATAACGTATTTATTTTATTATACCATTAGGCAATTTATTTGAAACATTTATCAGTAAAAGTCGGTTATCAGCATTGATATGTTAACTCTGAATATTCAAATGAAAGCATTATGTAGAACAAAAAACTTCAAAACCGGTAGTAGGTACTTCTTTCTCAACTATTGTTTATCACATGGAATAAATTAAATTGTGGTATTGTTTTATGCGTTCGCGTTCACTTCATAACTATATTACGCTCGAATTGGCTAAAAGTGTGTGAAAACTGTGTCTATTGAATAAGTGATCTTATTCAATAGCTTATCTGATGGTGCTAAAGTTACGCAAAATGAGATGGTTTCCATAACATAGTTTTCCTGAGACTGTTTACTCGTTTAAAGTAGTACTTAGTAGAATTGTTTGTAGTGAACAATGAAGCGTGAAAGTGAAGTAATATTATCAAAGTTTGCACAGAACAAGTTATTCTTCTTTGACATGGCGGTAGATAGGTTGCCTTTTTTACATGTAGATTCAGAGGTGTAGTAATGATTTTAAATTTTTCATCAATGCCACATGTAAATAATAAATATTTGTTAGTGTTTCGTGTAGCTAGACAAATTTAGCTAAATTACTCTTTTGTATAGTAATAGATATTCATTTTATACACGTTAGTATTCAAATTAAGACAAAACAGTGATTATGATACTTTATATACTAAATGGACTATGGACATTTAAATAACTATACTATTTGTTTAACAGCATGCCTTATTTTTTCAAGTCATGTTAAAAAAAAAGACTACATGTTTTCAAAGATAAATATTATAAGTAAGCTTCATAAGATAATTCTATGGAACAAAACTCTCAAGGAGAGTGATGACAAGGGTCATCAATCAAGAATTCATGAGCACCGATATTGATAACAATCAAATACTGATAAAAATTTACTGTAGTAATATGTTTGTTTGTAAAATCCGAATATTCTAACATTTTCATTTAGTCAGTAGAGATAATCCTTTTAGTTTTGGCAATCTAAATAAGAGTATTTAGAGATACGAAAAATTTAATCAGAACAATGATATATGTTAGTTAGAGACAAATTTAGATTTACATTATTACATACTATTACATTATTACATATAATTTAGATTACAAATTTCTATAAGATTTTCGCATAAAATCTTATATTAATTACCTATTATTATTACAAGTCGCTACTGAGCTAATCATCAAAATATAGCAGTTAGTCATATAAACACTTCTGTCCCGACTGAAGAGACCATCGAAAATTTTAATAAACTATAATTTCTTTCTTATTCAGTATATCGACTGTTATACATTAAGATGTACTAGTCTGTTAATATTACGTCTTCAATACGACAGACCTGCAGCTTGTACACATAAACCCTTATCGTGTAAAATGAGTTTTGAAAACCTTCGAGCGAAATCTTTTGCTGAAAAAGGCTAGCATAAGTGTATTGAAGAATCAAAGTTAGTTTAACTATAAGGTAGTATATATATGAAGTATGATGATTGGTGTTGTTTGTTCGATGAAAATACATTAGATGGAGTGTAAGATCGCGTGACGATGGTGCACAAATCAGGGGCCGCAACAGCGCCGCCAGGTCGAGGAATTGCGATGGCGCGGCTCAGTTACCATTATCGATAACAAAAAAATACACTTTTGTTTTCGATAATGTTCTGTAGCTAGCGGATACGCACTGTCTGTGACCGGCTGGTCATGATAACTGTTTCCCTATTATTTTACTTGCAATATAACAAATAAAAGATCAAATCTATGTCGACAATTTTTCTGTCACTCTACACAATGTTATATAGAGGATATTATTTTCGTTATGCTTAATCTGCTGGTAAAATATGAATATTTTTACGTTTACTTAGTTGCATGTTACAGAGTACATTGTATTATAAGTAGGTACTTGCAGTACATACATAATTTACCGGTGAGTCTAAGTGAATCAATAGAGGATAGTTTGCTTTTACAGCGGACTGTATGTCAGTATGGGTAAAAATGATATGACGTTATAACAATTTATTACTAATTAATTTTGATGACTAACAAATAAATTTTATGAAAAATATGAACCAATAGTTTTAAAATAATTGTGAACTGAATTACTACTAATATAATAATAACGGTTCTCACTTGATCAGACAGATTATCACACCATTGATGTGCAGCAGTTTTCTTTCCTCCATTCAATCCATTATTCAGATGAGGAGTCAGTGGTCCCCCCGTGAACAAATCCTCCGTAATGCTAGCATTTGAAGTTACCCGAACACGGGCCCCGGGTGGCGGGTCCTGGGGTCCTACGAAGTCAAATTGACCGTCCCACATGTCGTATTCAAGCTCGAGACTATCTTCTACTTCAATTGGTTCACCCATCGCGCCTCTTGAGCGGTTGAATATTCCCGATTTAAACATTTAAAAGTTAGTTCATTCACAATATTGACGATATTTGGATGAATTCCAATAATTATTTATTACAGCACTTCACCTTAAATTTACGTATATAATTTGACTTTAATCAACGATTAGAATAATTTGATTAGAGATAAAGCTAAGTTTTTAATGGCACTACAACAAGTTGCAAATGTTATTAATATTTAAAACAATTTCACATCACTCGTAAAGTAAGACTTATTGAAATCATGTAGCACAGGGAAGAAATATCACTATTCGTCACATTTTATTTCACAGTCCTAATATGAAAAGCAAAGTTCGCAATGTTGAAGAGACTAAATGTCTTCTAGTTGTCGTCGTACACAAGAATTAAAATATCAGGCAAAAAGACACACCGGCGTAGTCGATTTGAAATTTTCGAAATTTGTTCTGGCATTATTTTCTGGATGAGTAAACAGCGCGTGTAAACTACGTCACGTTAGATTTGAATTGTGCGACGACGTTATAGACTTTGTGATATGCCGTATAGCAAACTTGAAGAGCGTCGTTCACGTGAAGTTGGCTCACAATCGCGATCAGCACTAGCGGCGGCACAGTGGGCGCTCGGCCGGCGCGCCCCACCCATCGTCATGTCATGATTATCAAAGTTCCGACGTTGCTGCACCACACATAAAGTTTATTCGCTCCCTGCGCATATGCATGACCGTCTAATGGCTAGGTCAGATTCAATAACCCCTTTCATAAGCTCCCCCAGTTTGTTGCATCTCGTAATTTTACGGCCGAGGGGCTACTATGATTATGTTCGACGGTGCCAGATGGAGGGACGACACATATCGACTTTGTTTACAGACGTTAAAACAAAACAGATGTATATGAAAATATTCATAAATAGTGGTTAGAATAATAATCTAATAGAAATTATATAATAGTTAACGTTGATATTGTATTTATATCAGATGTACACAAAATACAAGCTCTTCTTTGCTCGGGACTAGATAGCGCTGTGTGGATTGTCCTGAGATATTATTAAGGAATTATTCATGCAAAATACTTAAAGCAGCGTAGTAGCAGCAAAAATATACATAACAATGAAGTGTAAGTAACAGATAATTACTAAATTACAACAAATAACAAAGTTATTTAATCCGCTTTAGCATTATTTCAACGCTATTGTTCAGAGTGTGTGAAATCTGTGTTCGGAATTTGGAATTGAATACCTGTTGCAGACACCTTTTACGTGCAGGTTTTAGAACTATGGAACAATAAGTAGTAAAAAAAAATAAAAAGTCATTGTCTAGACTAAGCACGATATATATAAGAGGAGCGGAATGTATTATTGATGACATATATAGGAATTGTAAGATTTGCTTCTATGTAATTTGCATATTCAATGTAATGTCATTGTATTAAAGTTACTGCTATTACTTATTCGTATCGAACTTTGACATGCGATGTAAAACGCGCAGTTTTGGGCTTTCCCCTTACTCATATTGTAGGGATTTTCAGGGCGATTCAGTTTTGATGGTTTGATCTACATAGTTCATGAAAAAATGTAAACTTAATATAAAAAATGTATACTTAATATATATTCGGGCGGGTATATATATAGCCTAGTATACTTTTGGCGTTTATTAGGTGTTAGGAAAAATTGTTACTTGAACAAAATGTTGAAAATTTTCTTGTAGGGTGTAGTAGTTAGTAGTCCTAGAGATTTATATCTTTTACTGCCTAATTAAAATAAAATGATTGGATAAAATGTTAGTAATAATTACTCTACATTATACAAAAATTATATTTTAAATTAATATATTTGTAAATTTTATCGTTGTTTATCTGCATTTCCAGGGTAGAATATCTAATGTGGCGTTTAATGACTTGGTATACAACTATATAGTTGATGATAAAATAATGATATCAGTGATGTGCCGCTATTTCTTCGTGTAGTATATATCTCCTTAAACAATGCGACGACCTTGCTTCAGTTCAAGGTGAAGAAATGCCTAAAATAGCTACATAGTTAAAAGCTTATAATTATAGATTTTAGAGTCCTGATGGTATTATCGTCTACATTATCATAATAATCGTTAAAACTTCACTGTTGGACACTACTCTTCAATATATTTTTATTTCTTTTTAATTATATAACATACATATAATAAAATAGGAACAAAAATATATTGAAAAACTAATAGTCAGAGAGTAGTTTTTGCCTTATAGTTCTACAGCCTAATTAGCAATGAAATGAAATTAATTTGCGTATTATATAGTTAGATATTCGGTAATATGTCCAGGTAATACGAGTAATATTATTGGCAACTATTTAATAGGTCTAATTTAAGGGCATGCAAATGTTGGGTATATTAAAATTAAATAATCTATTATGTTATAATTTAAAATTAATGTCTTATGCACTATTATATTAGCTTCTAGATAACAGGCATAAAACAATACAATTATTATATAGTATTATATAAAAAAAAAGAATAATGATTAGTATATACGAGGATGTAGTTAACAGGAACGTCATTACTCTCGTTGGTGACTAACGATGGTTTAATGACTAATTTATACATTAATAATACTAGTATTGAATTATACCATGCGGTTTTCAGACTGTTGACGTCAATGACATAACGTATTTGTAAATAATATATTGTTTCAGAACAAAAGATAGGGAATATTAAAAAATCTATTGTGTAGTGTTGAACTGATGGCTCTATTTTAAATAATTGTACAAATATCTATAGCTTGTAGAGGTTTTGTAGTTATGCTAATCAATAACAACATGTTTTTTCTGTATGGGATTGTGTTCAGAGCTGACACGGGGTCTATTACCGCTATTTTTTAGATGCTTGATATGTCAAATAGAATTCTTAAACTAGTGGATTTCGTTAGAAATTGTAATTAACTTCGAAATTTTTGTAGCAATTCTCAGCGAATGGTGGTAATGCAGGTTTTGTATATTTTTTATAATGGTCCAAAAATTAATATCTGCTTACACCCACAAAAAATTGAGTAAAAATCTCCTTATACAGATATATAAATATTAGGAAATGGTAGTATATTTTGAAACCTTAAACCTTAAACATAGCTTTTAATATTTCATATACATACTTAAGTTAATATTGATTTAAGATTATATATACTGTACGTTTTACATAAGTAGAGTAAAATAAAAAATGTCTGTTTAAATCCAGGCCGTAACATAATTTTGTACATTTGTCCAATCCGTGGTGTGATCTCAGTTTAATTATATCTAATCTGCTACGGTTACAACATTATCTGCGCTCTGTTAGCTATAGGGTTGTCATTGATTAGTTTAAAATTAATTTGTAGAGAGCATAACAAGACATCTAAATTAGTAGGTTTAGTATTATAGTTGAGAAACAATATTAATGCTCGTGATTTGTTCCTGGTCGAACCAACGAATTCTTTCGTGATATTGTATTGTCTAAAAAATAAAGAAAGATTCTTTCTATAATTTTCCGCAATAATAATCATATAAAGATAAAAGAAGACAGCACTGTCTTGAATTACATAAAGTATGATTTATCTATTTTATTAAACAGTACTTGGAACGTTGTCTAGTAGTGATAGATTTTGATAGGGTATTATTATAGTTGATAATTTTTCAAGTATCTATTCTATGACAAATAACATAGACGTATTTTATAATCGATAAACAAAATTACTAGTAAAAATAATGTAAACAAGGTTTATTAATTGAAAATTTCTAGTTAGACTTTGTACAAGGTCTGCGTGGGTAACTCTCAACTAATTCAGTCGCCAATAGTTTGTAAGCTGTTTCTGTTTAAAGGGTCAGTTCAGATATGACAATAAAATTTACGGCAACATGATACCTTGTATATTTATACCAGTGGTAGACTGTTAAAGGCGTCTGCGTAGGTATCTCAGTCTCACCTATTTCAGCCGCCATGTAACTTGCTTTGTAAATTATTTTTCGGTTGTACGGTGGCAGAAAGGGAAATTACAGGGATTAATCATAACATATTAGTTCTTTGGAATGGCAATGCACGTGTGGTATCGCGGGTGTCCCACCTAAAGTTGGCCTTCAGCCGCTTCATAAGCCATTCCGCAGGTTTGGATTATATAAACAGAAGCTTAAAATAGACTGTTCATGTATATAAGCATCTTATTTACCATTAATGTAGTTGACATTAAACAAATATTAAGTTCTTGAAAAATATAAATAAAATGTGTATAAATTTCTTATATTGTTGATGAGACTATAACTTACTAGACTACTTTAGCTATTAGTCGTGAGACAATATTGGTTGTTGCCAACCCTATTACTACCGATATAGCTGATTCACACACGTTGTTTGCGCCCCAAAAACTTTTGTCTTCTTACAAGAATTGCGTGTGGGTGTCCTACATGCGTAACGTTGCCCTTCTGTTTACCCCTATTTTAATTGTCTTCCTGTAATTTTTATGTCTTAAAATATAGTACAAAGTATATAAATATACATCTACTAAATATATTGTTTTCGTAATTTCTGTCAGTTTCATCCGTGCAATGTCCATCGAAATGATAATTGTAAAATTATTGATTATGGATCCAATAAGAATAATATTATTTACACAAATAGCTAATCATATCTATTAAAAAAGTACAAAGTGGCGATAAATAGTATCAATAATATAATATGTATGTTCTGATAAAGCGGGTGTTTAATTAAAACATTTATTTTTGGTGTACCTAAATTTACCAATTGTGCTATACCAACCTTTGTAAAAAGCTGAGATAGCAGTGTATTAATATTATGAATATACTATGGCAGTTTATATTTAGTTAAATAATACAATGTTTTATATATTAGACGTACAAAGAACCTGTTCTATCTATCAATCAGCCCTAATATACACCATTTTGAAATACGTGTGCATGTATAAATATCAATTCTGTTTGCTCAATTTTTATATTCATCATCATCAGTCCTTTGTAAGATATAGGCATCTCCTTAGGCACTGCTCTACTCTACTGAGCACTCTTTATAGTGCTTCTTTCCAGTTGTTACCCGCAACTCTACCTATGTCATCTGGCTATAGTTTGTCCTGCACTACGTTCGTTGACAAGTACTCTCCACTCTTAAACACTTTAAACACAAAAAACTAACTGTTATACGACAAATATAACACATCTGCTATTTCAGCTTACAAAGCAAACGGGTTGGTGGCTGAAATAAGTGATCCTATTTCTATGGCGAATTATATACTTCGTTATGGATTTGATCCTTCTGAGATAATTTTTATATTAGCAATACAAAATGAATAAGTTAGAAAAGTACAATGAGCTTTGCTACATGTAATTAAGCATATCGATGTAATGAGCTAAGAGCCATCTGCATACAATATGTTTGTTCACACGTGTACGTTCGCACCACTTTCCGTTTCACATTGTGATTTTTTGTCAGACGTAATGCTTCGTATGTAATATGTATACGATGAAGTTAATTGCGTCTATGTGCGTATGCCAAATTTTTAATACGTATTATGTATCTTGTGTTGTTTGTATTACAGTATCTATTTCTATTGTTGAACTACGTAGTAAGAGTACTATTAGCAACTCAGTCAATA